GTCTGATGCGAATTGGATGATCAAACTGTTATCCATGCAGTGCTCTAGATATAACTATACGTTTAAAATTTTTGCTCTAATCTTTTTTTTTACAAAAATGTTAAGTTCAGCATTTAAATTTAAAAAACCTTCTTGAGACATTAATAAAAAATCTTTTTTTTTTTCTTTTAATCTTTAGCGTATCGGCTACATTCTTATTTATCACAATTTAGCAATATGCCAAAACCAGTTCTTAAAGAAAAAAAAAAATGTTTTATCCATCCCACAGAAATTGTCACTTTTCCCTTGTGGTACGGAAAGAGCTAAGCTACAGTCCTCCGGTCCGATTGCTATTCCCTGCCTCCTCACGAGACTTTGCTGGTTGTCTAGACATGACGAGGAATGGCCACAAAAGCCTGAACCCAACCCGAATACAAGTCACACGTCACTTCAATGTGGACCACAAACCGGTGGATGTGCGAGACTCCCGAATATGAAATGCAGCTACAACAGCGTCGCAGCGTAAGGAAGCGTAAATGGACAATTAAGCACTCGTCCGGTGTTTAGTGACGGCTGCCAAAATACGGCCATGTGAGAATACTAAAAACGCTGCTGTTCGTCATCCTGAATGAGGAAGCGACGGAAGCTTTATTTTGCAAGGAAGTACAGACGTGTTTCACGAGTGCTTTGGACACGAAGACACCTTGGGTTTTCAGGTCAGTAGACCCTTTGTTCAGCCAGACTAGAGACATTTTAAACTTTTCATACTTGGACACCCAAAACGATTACGCCTCATGAGGAATTACAAGCAGCGAGGGTACGCACTGAATCATAATCATAATTACATGCTGTGGTGACATGAATACATTAATTGGAGCCTCGAAACCCTTGGCAGAGAAGCAGTTAGAGAATAACTTTGTGCATTGGAAAGCACTCGCGTTGGAATACTTTTGGAAGGCAAGAAGATTAGACAATGTCCGGGTCCTTTCTGAGCGCGGTAGGCTGTCACGAAGACTGAGTCAGAGCGAAACATCTCTGTGGCGGCTTATAAACCGGGGAAAAGCGTCGCATTACTCTGACAGCAAGGGCCGACACATTAAGTGGTTTTTTTAGTCGGTAAAAGGTTGAGAATTACGTAGATGCTCCGCCTCCAGCAAAGCTTGTTGCCTTTGATAAAACTTTGCCCATGGGCAGCCAAAGCGCAACGAAAAGTAGCGAGTGCATGCTGCAGGCATAGCTTCTACAAAATTCTTAGCCTGTCACTGACAACAGTTTAACCCAGGAACCAGAAGCATTCACAATATTACCGGACCTCCGAAATGATTAAGACTCCTAACGAAATATCTGACAGCATAAAAGCCCGTTCACACTCTTGCAACCGAATACGACCGAGAGAGAAGACACCTGTTGAAACCTCTAAAAAAATTTCTTAGGACAAGAGAACCCACTGGCACTCTGACGCCATCTATGCGGTGACCCTGGAACTGCATTTCACAAGAGCGAAGGTTTTGCAGGCTTTTTGAGGTCAAATGTGCGTAATAACTAAAAGGAAGGCTCGTTTATAACGTTGGCAAAAGTTTTTCGAACCAAGAAAGAAAGGACAATGCGCGAGAAAAATAAAGAATATGACGGACCGCCAAGTTTACACTGCTACCCAATAGATGGCGTCAGTGTGTCCTCTCAACAGGACAGAGTTGCAGGAATTAATGAGTATCTGTGGTAGGGAAGGAGAGGAATTAGGTTTAGAATTCAGTAGCGAAAAATCGGCAGTCATGATTTTTAACGAGGATGAAGTTGAGAGGCTGAAGATACAGAATATTACAGTTGAGAGAGCTAGTAAATACAAGTATCTAGGAGTATGGATATGTGATGGTGCAGAATATCTCAGAGACCATGAAAAGTATATAATAGGTAAGGGCAACAGAAATGCAGCTGTAATGAAAAATAGAGCACTTTGGAATTACAACAGGTATGAGGTGGTGAGAGAGATTTGGAAAGGGGTCATGGTGCCTGGCTTGACTTTTGGAAATGCAGTGCTATGCATGAAATCCGAAGTGCATGCGAGACTAGAAATAAAACAGCGCGGAGTAGGCAGACTGGCTTTGGGGGCACATTGCAAAACGCCAAACCAGGGAGTACAAGGAGACATGGGATGGGCATCATTTGAGAGCAGGGAAGCGGTGAGCAAGGTAGAATTTGAGGATAGGTTGAGGCAAATGGACGGGGAGCAATGGGCACGAAAGGTTTTCAGCTATTTATACATGAGGAGTGTAGACACAAAGTGGAGACAGCGCACTAGGAAATTAAGAGGAAAGTTTTTGGGCTATAGCGAAGATACGGAATAGCAAGTCTCAGTTAAGAAGAAAGTTAAGGCCACAGAAAGAGATCGGTGGCTAGAGGGAATGCAGACAAAGACGGCTCTGGAAAGCTATAGATTAAACAAAAGAGTTATTGCCAAAGAAAGCATTTATGACAATTCTAGGGGAAGCTCATTGCTGTTTGAGGCAAGAACGGGTGTTCTGCAAACGAGAACATACAGAGTGAAGTACCAGGAAATTGATACAGTGTGCACTGCTTGTGGAGAGGAGGACGAGACGGCTGAGCACCTGGTACTCTACTGTAAAGGGCTTCACCCTATGCCTACCGAAGACAACATAGATTTAATAAAGTCATTGGGTTTTAGAGACAGCGAAGGGAGAGTGGATTTCAAGACTGTAGAGATTACCAAGCAAAGATTAAGTGAATGGTGGCAGAAATCGAGAGAAAACTAGGTATTTTCTTATTCACTGATGGCAAGGGGGTTTCATAGCCTCACTTTCTTTGCACTGCGGAGTAAATATAGATTTCACATTTAAATATTCTAAGCTTAAATGGTAAAACAAAATGGCTAGGTGGCGTAAGCTACCGCCCGATCCAAAGGGCTCAGCCGTATTCATCCATCCATCCATCCATTGTAAGAGATATTAAGAAGTTCCAAGGCACCCCGGTTCTAAGAGGTCTCAAGTGTGTCAACGGGCCTCAAAGGGGCCCTGCGAGGACGTTTTTACTGGTTTTTAATTTGCACCGATCCTGAGCGCACTGGACATTGTAACTTAATGAAACTTTTCTTTTTTTCGAATTTCGCTTCATTTTAAAAGTTATAGGCCAATGAAAATTACAAAAACAAGCAAAAAATAACCTCCTTCATGACGCCCTTGGTTGCTTAAGTGGCTGTAAACTTGAGGAGGAGTAGTGAGCTCATTGAGCGCTCACGGCTGCCGCACTCCGTGCCAACGGCTGGAGAGGGCGCCACTAAAGCATGTTCTGGATTAGGGAGGCTGTAGTGAGGGTGGGCGCAACTCAAAACCTGGAGAGCGTTTGCAATTTAATGGCGGCGCCTGAGGGAGAGGATTCGAGAAAGGATATGCGCCAGTGTTGCCTGCACGAGAGCAGGCGCCCGCTCTGTTGCAACTCTGTTGCTCCATGCGCCTTTCCTCCTCTCGCCTCCCATTGCAAGCAACGAGCGCCTTGGCGCAGCCTCTCTCGCTTCCTTCTTGCTCGGAGAAAGCAAAGTTGCCAGACAAGCAGCAACGTCCAAGATAGCGGAATTTACCATTTTTCGCGTTAAAAAAATACTTAACCTATCGCAACAAAACTGGTGGCTATGGAAAAGTAATCATTTATACCTTGTGTAAATTATTCAAGCACCTTAATGAGCTTTTATGACCCGAGTTAGGAAAGAAAATGTCCCTTTACCCCATAGACTCCCAGCAAAATTTAGCAATTAAATGGCGTCCATGTCCCGTGATCGCCGATCTAGCAGTTGCACCCACCCTCACTTGAGCCTCCCTATTCTGGGTAGGCTATATAAAGCGAGCAGCCAGGGCAGCTCGCATTGCATTTGCTGCGCGATTGAACACTAATTCGGCATGACACTTCATTGGCCACAAACGACAGCAAACACGGGGTAAAGATCAGTTCAGAACGGGAGCCACTTTGCACTGCCAAACCACGAAACAGCCAAACCGCAAGCCACAGCTGCTCGCTGAAGGCCTTGGGAATGCTCGGAACCGGTCGGATCTTCCGGTCCATACGACCGCAGCACCGACGTGCACCCCATCCAAGACCTTTCTACGCTCGCCGCTTGTCGGTGCCTGATCTTACAACACCTTTCTAGTATGCGCCGCCTTTTCCAGCGCTTGGTGAGTATGTCAACGGGTCATTTCTTGTTTCCGTACTTTCTAGACTGCATTTGTTTCTTTTCGGATCTAAAATACTGAACAAAAACTACTTTTATATATAACTGAAACGGTGCGCGCCACTTATATTTTGTACTTCGACTAAATAGAAGCTTTTAGCGGCTCTGACCAGTTTCAAGCAGATCTAGACCCACCTATGATTAGCTTCCACCTTTACTTTGGCTTATGTGACAAAATTTGTTTACTAATAAAAGTGACGGAGCTGATAATACTGTAACTCGACTTGGGCAAGTTTGGATTACAAGCCTTTCTCGCGTGGCTACTTTGCAGCTGAAACCATACCGTCCTAGTTCAGATCGCTTTTGGTTAATTTCTCTAGACACGCCATACGCCCAGCGCATCAGAAAGTAAGTCTAACGTAATTTCAGTCGTTGGTTCTTGGCTCGCACTCAAATAGGACAGTAAAAAAACTGAAGTTGAGCAATCGGAATTATTTCACCATTAGTGGGGTAACATAGGCTACACGCTTTAAAGACAACCATATCGCCAGTAAGTCGGTACTCGAGTAACCTAATCACATACGAATTGAACAGTAACGGACAAAACGACGAAAAACAAAATGACCGCCGACAGATCCTACAACGCACATCGTAGGTGAGCCGTTCATGCGGCAAAACAAGGCCGTGGGATGTCGTACAAACGATCGCTTATCATTTGTTGCGCGATTCTCTGACGTTTCAGGGAGCTGCAAGATTCTGTACGTGAATTGCAAAAGACAAACAAACCTAACAAATGTTATCCTCGAAATGCAGAAACGCTACTTTCAGTTCGCAGTTCTCTTACCTCGAAGATGACCCTCGGTGGCAGTTTCTTTTTCCAAGTCCATGTCTGGGGGTTCCACACAAAAGAAAACAGGCTAAAGTTCCGTTGTGCGAGCGGCCAAGTTGAACCAACGGTCTTCGGTTTAAAGCTAAGGACGAAATTTAAAGAACTGCATCCCACAGGCTCTTCCGATTACACAGCATGAGCAATGGGAACACAAACAAACGGATTAAAAATCAAAAAGTTTCCTTCGTTTATTCAACTTTGACGACTGGACGAAAAGAGTCGACTCTTTTAAGACGTAAATAATTATGTGACGTCAGATTTGCTTAGGATTATGAACAAATCGAGGGTCACTCGGGGTAGGTTTTTTGAACTCGAATAAACGAACGTGATAACAGCGAGATTAAGCTAGCCACCTAGCGGTTTACAAAAGTGTTCTTTTACGTTATTTCAAGACAAATTAATTAATATGTAAATTATAATAAATTTTAGAACTTTCAAATAATTATTTTTATAGGTGTTGCAAATTATAATTGAGTGCAACGATAAAAAAAGTGAAACCGCCCCTCCTCTGGGAACGAGGCTGGCTGACCTTTCTGGCTCCTCGCCGCCATTGCTCTCGTTTCTCGGCACCTGGCAAGCACCGCGATGGCCTTCGTTTCAGCCAGAATCACGGGCGCCCTAGCCAAGCAGATCGCCCGCACGGTCACCAAGTACCCAACCAAATGCATTGGGGTAAGTTCGGTCGCCGTGCGCGCCCTATCCACCTCGAACCGCCTGTACGCCGGTGCCGGCTCAGCCGAGGTTTCGTCCATCTTAGAAGAACGCATCCTCGGCCAGACTACCACTTCCAACCTCGAAGAAACCGGCCGCGTCCTCTCCATCGGCGACGGTATCGCCCGCGTGTACGGACTGAAGAACATCCAGGCTGAGGAGATGGTGGAATTCTCCAGCGGCCTCAAGGGCATGGCGCTCAACCTCGAGCCCGACAATGTGGGTATCGTGGTCTTCGGTAACGACAAGCTCATCAGGGAAGGTGACATTGTCAAGCGTACGGGCGCTATCGTCGACGTCCCCGTCGGTCCCGAGCTTCTGGGTCGCGTGGTCGACGCCCTCGGCAACCCCATCGACGGCAAGGGACCCGTCGCGTGCAAGGGCAGGGCTCGTGTCGGAGTCAAGGCCCCAGGCATCATCCCCCGTATCTCCGTGAAGGAGCCCATGCTTACGGGCATCAAGGCCGTCGACAGCCTTGTCCCCATTGGCCGTGGCCAGCGAGAACTCATCATCGGCGACAGGCAAACTGGTAAGACCGCCATCGCCATCGACACCATCATCAACCAGAAGCACTTCAACGATGGCAGTGACGAGAAAAAGAAGCTGTACTGTATCTACGTTGCCATCGGCCAGAAGAGGAGCACAGTTGCGCAGATCCTGAAGCGCCTCACCAGCGCGGACGCAATGAAGTACACCATCATTGTGAGCGCCACCGCTTCGGACGCCGCCCCTCTGCAGTACCTGGCCCCCTACGCCGGCTGCGCCATGGGAGAGTACTTCAGGGACAACGGCATGCACGGCCTTATCATCTACGACGATCTCTCCAAGCAGGCCGTGGCCTATCGGCAGATGTCGCTGCTGCTGCGTCGTCCCCCCGGCCGCGAGGCCTATCCCGGTGACGTCTTCTACCTGCACTCCCGCCTGCTCGAGCGTGCGGCCAAGATGAATGACACCTTCGGCGGCGGCTCCCTCACCGCCCTGCCAGTCATTGAGACCCAGGCCGGAGACGTGTCCGCCTACATCCCGACCAACGTAATTTCCATCACAGATGGACAGATCTTCCTTGAGACGGAGCTCTTCTACAAGGGTATTCGGCCTGCCATTAACGTCGGCCTGTCCGTGAGCCGCGTCGGCTCCGCTGCGCAGACCAAGGCCATGAAGCAGGTTGCGGGGTCCATGAAGCTGGAGTTGGCCCAGTACCGTGAGGTTGCAGCCTTCGCCCAGTTCGGATCCGACCTTGACGCAGCGACCCAGCAACTGCTGAACAGGGGTGTCAGGCTGACGGAACTGCTCAAGCAGGGACAGTATACGCCCATGGCCATTGAGGAGCAGGTGGCGGTCATCTACACCGGAGTCCGCGGCTACCTGGACAAGTTGGACCCGTCCCAGATCAACCGCTTCGAGGCAGAGTTCCTGCCACACATCAGGTCGACACAGAAGGAGCTGCTTGCCACCATCGCCAAGGAGGGCCACATCAGTCCGGACACAGATGCCAAGCTGAAGAAGATTGTGGTCGACTTCATGGCGTCCTTTCAGGCCTGAGGCGGTTGGAAGCCAGCACCGGGGGTTGAAGGAGACCATTCCGCCGTGAAGGGGCCATCATAGGACTATATTTCGTATGGAAGTGGCTTGGGCCATGCACGGGCTCTTTGTGAATAAATAGTTTTCCCACAGTCAAACTGGCGTCCTTGCTGTATGCAACGACCTTGGGGAATGTTCAAGGTCATTCTTAGTTTTTAAGGAGTTAGTACTGCTGCAAGCGCAATGGACCTTTTTCCAGTAAGGAGTGCCCCATGACGGTTTCGCCGCCTACTACAAATGGAAGGCAACCGGACTCGCCTTCTCCCATAGGAACAGATTAGTGTAGCAAGAAAACAGTGCCCCCCAAAAATGGCGAAAGGGTGGTCAAGGTCAAGTGGAAAGGGCGTGCGCGTGCGCAGACGCTTACTGGAAAAAGGTCCATTGTATTGGTCAGTATGCAAATTACACCAAGTTTTATTTTTTTTTGCCTTTCTAGAGCATTTGTTTTGTAACAAATACTCTCAGAGTACTTGTTATAGAGAAACAAGGTGTTTTGGTTGCCCTCCACAAAACCCCCATTGTTGAAGGGATGGGTACTCAAACTGGGCTCCTATACTTCGTCTCACTAAAACCGTGCAGTACAGCCAAAGCTACAGGGAGAGGGCGTATCTGAACCTGTTCAAGAAGAGGAATAGGAGAGAGAAGCTGGGATTCCCAGCCTTTCTCTCCTCTTGAACAGGTTGGGATGCGCTCTCTCCCCTGTAGCTTTGACTGTACTGCACGGTTTTAGTGAGAGGAAGTAGAGGAATCCAGGAGTTCCCTAGAGTACCCTTAGAGTTCCCCAAACTCCAGGAGTTCCCAAACTCCGGGAGCCCCCTAGACAAGGTTCATACAGGTTTAGAAGACCAAAATGCAGGAGTTTTCAAGGACTTTCAAGGCCATGTAAAAATATCTTCAAGGAAACCATAGTGGTGTACCTGGCAGTTCTATAATAGCACATCTTCTTCAACCACGGACAAAACCAAAACTTCTTCGAATGTTGCCAGGCTCAGCAGACATACATTAAATGTATCTTAAAAGCGATACTGCAAAGTAAAACTCGCTCATTGAAAACCTACAATTTCATTGAATATAAGCTAGGTACAGTAAACAACTTAATTTTCGTGAATTTCACAAATCGCCGACAATTAGCGAAAAATAATTCCTGCGAACCAATTCCGGTAAAATGTAAAAATATTGGAGTCTATATTAAGATCCCACCGTGTCGCAAAAATTAGAACCTGTAAATTATTCCAAAAGTTTAGCTTTTACCTAAATTGTGAAATATTCAGCACGCGAAAAATAAGTAGTTTACAGTATGTGCGAATAGTAGATTTTGAGTTCAAAGCAAATAGTGGTTTTGACTGAATCTTTTCTAATTGAATATCAAACAGTTCTCCAAGCCTTTCACTACTGCACCATGCTTAAACGAAAACACAGCTGATCTCGTTAAGGTTGTTCCCAAGTTACTTGTCCATTTGTAAGCATTTTAGCAATATTTATAAATATTAAATTAAAATTACCTTAGCTTACACATGGACAAGCGACTTGGGAACATCTACAACTTGAGCTGGGTTGCATGGTGCAGTAGTGAAAGGCTTGGAAAAACTATTATATAAATATATGCCAGTTTATTTATGGACTGTGGCCTTAGAAAATATAATGCCCACATTGGGATGGCAAGTAAACGATGCATTTGACATAAAATTACACCTACAGAGATGCTAAGTTATACCTTATTGAGGAGAATTATAAATCTTTTTGCTCTATAAAAAAAAAAAAGTTCTTTGATATTGATTTAAAAACAAAATAGACAATCACAAATGAAACAAAAAAAATAGTGGGGTGTGGGTATGTTTATACAGCCTGAACTTAGCCTGCCTCAATGGGCGACTTGTCTCTCAGCTGTAGATGAGAAATGTAGGCAATGCAGTACAACCACTAGCATGGGGTCTTTAACGTGCACCATGCAGTAGTGATGCATGACCGCACGCCGGTACGATGCTCAACCAGATCGAAACAAGCAGGGGTAAGGCCCTGGGTTCTGCAGCGTGAGCTTTCGCTCCGCACGCTCCAAGCTGGTGTGCACTAGCCCACCAATTCGGTGGGCTAGTGCACCGAGCATTTTTGCTTAACATGCGCTCTTGTACAGTAGCCACAGTTTAATTTTGAGAATATTACTGAACTCATATGTTACAGAGTTTCTGTTTGTTTTTTCTAAATACACCAGGTGCGTGTGTGTACCCTTGCACTTTAAAATGCTTTTCTTTTAGTGATAGACCGAATCTGCCAAACTTCAGATTCGGCAAAGTTTGGCACATGCGGAACTTTTGAAGGAAAGTTCGGCAAACGTCTGCGTATGCGCGAGAACGCGACAAGGCCATGGATTGCAAATGGACGCCGCGCAGTAGCCATCGTACAGTGTCGTACTACCAGCGGTTACGACAAGGTGTGGAGTAGGCGACATGGTAACCGTGTGTTTGACAGCCTTTGTGAGTGCGGTTCTCTTCAATATTTTCTGCCTCAAGAACAGAAGATTGATCAGAAAGGGACGCAAAAATGGCGCAGTCCACTGCACAAGTGACAAATGATGCAGAACATTTGGGATAATATGACTTTCTTTTGATCTTTCCAGTGATGCAACGAGGTAGTTGCAACATTGACTGACAAACACTTTAAAGCACTCCTCACCATTATAGCAATCCTGTTTTTGGCTATCAAGTAGTTTGTGTCAAAACAAAATAATACATTGCACTGTATTTGCACAATCCCATTATAAATATAAGAAAACATAATGTAATTCTGGTTTATTACTCTAAGAAGACAATGCCCATGACTATTGTTGTTGAATTCCAGCATTTTCAAGGACTTGAATATGGCATTTTCAAATTTGAGGTTTTTCAAGGCTCTTAAGGACTGAACTAAAGTGGCGAAGCGGGCAAGTTGGTTCATGACCTATGAAATTGAAAGCGCTAACAAAGACCACGACAAGAAGGAAGGCGAATAGAACGAGCCCGTGCAAAACCTGCTAGAGTACCCTCAGGGGTTCTCCAAACTGTCCAAATTTCCTCGATTGTCTCCACTTCTAAGTAAAGTGGTTTTTCGATTTTAGTACCATTGTAGCTGATCTGAGCCAAGCACTCCCTTGTATATGCATTATTGTTTACAAGCCTCCTCTACCGCTTTAAGGGGCAACACTGATCCTGAACATTACAACAGTACAAACATACCGTAAAATCCCAAGATATAGCCCACCTAACAACAAGAGCAAATTGGCTGAAAATATGGAGTTGACTAACTTTCAATGTAAAATCAAGAAAAGTTTTAAAAAATTGCTATTTTTAGGTTGCATCCCTTCCAAGCTTGTTGTGGTGGTGAGGGGCAACGAAGCAAAGATGACTGTACTTCCTGGTCAGCCCCGTTCGCTTATATCCCGCTATAGTGAACTAGCCGCATTTAAGCCGAGGCAATCATTGATCCCAACAGCAGTGGGCTATCGTTCTGTGCTTAAAAAAATATAGCAAATCAAGCCAAAAATAGGGGTGGGCTATCTTTTGGGGGTGGGGCATCTCTGGATTTTACGGTAAGTTCATTATATTTTTCTATTATAGTTTTCAAGAAAATCTCAACTTCATCACAAATATTTCTGCCACTTTTCTAGAATACTGTCGAGACCGGTTATAACGCAGTCAACGGGAATCTGAAATCACTTCGCTATATCCGCGATTTCGTTATAACCGACTTCTTCGGTTATAACGAAGTGCAAAAAAGGAATGGGAAATCGTGATCGCTTCGTTGTAACCGCTATTTCGTTATAACCGACTTTGTTATAACTGGTCTCGACAGAACCCTCAAGAAAAAACATGGCACAAATTATGTCGACATGTTCTGCAGACAGTAGAAAGTGCAACAACAAAAAAATCTTTTAATTTTAGCATCATTTAAAAAAAAGTTATCACAAGTTGAATTGTTTTCACTGGTAATTAGAAAGGAGTCATTAAAGTATTTGCCAATTAAACATTTTGTGGTTATCATATTCCACATATATTAGTCTTGTTGCACTCACTGGCTTTCTTGAAAAAAAACTTTAGGATCCAAGTTCTAGGTCAGAAAGTGCCGTGGGCCAAAACCTGTGTTGCGACGAAATTATGAATTCTGAGAAAACGGGAAAAGATTTTCTACACATGCTTGCAAACAGCCTGGACATGAAGCCTCGAATAAATGTAACTATATAAATATGCACCTTCTGAGTGTTAAACTTGGAAAAAAGTTGTTTGTAACTTATAGATACAAAAATATTTTTTATTTTATTTTACTTGGGTTTTCTGGTTATCAGTCAAGGCAGGTGTGGATTCCTCGAGATTACAAAGTTTGAGAACTCCTGCACAGGGGTACAATTAAATGCTGCAGTCGCACGCTACCAGTACAGAGCAGTCGACAATTGCGTGTTCGCCTTCGTATGGATCATGACTGTACCTGTGAACAAACACCTTTCCAGAATTTGGCAAAAATACCACCAAGATAATAAAACTTCCAAACTGAACAATAGCCCATACTACTTATGGTACCTCTTCGACGGAAAAGAAACAACTCAATCGCTCGGTTTCCATGAAAACATTTTGTTTCTCGCTTTATTGTCCCGAGACAAAGAGTCTCTTGCATTAGAAAAAAACTCGAGGAGTGGCCTCGCAAATATAAGAAACTGCATCTGCACAGTTTCTTTTTAAGTTACTCCGGGGAAGTGCAGGTGGCCAGTGACGACAGAGATCATCCGTATCAGGAATTATGTGCGCTGCAGTTTGCGACTGGCTACACACGTCGATCAACTCAAGCCTCGCGTTTCGTTTTGCAGTCGAGGTACAGAGATGTCGACCGACACCTTTCATGTCACCTGTGAGAAAAGAGTAAGGAAGAAAAAAGGTACACATCAACTTCAGAATGGGCGAGTTGATTGTTCATGTTGGTGGACGTTGCAGCGCACTAAAAAAACTGTCACTCACGCTTTCACACAACTTGAAAATCGTCTCAAAATGAAGTAGAAGTGGAAGCAGAAGTTAATCACGCAATACAAAGTTGTTAGTGAGCGCCGTGGAAGAGTTTTGTTCCTTGAGTGTGTGAAAGCTTGAGTGACAGATTTTTTTAATGCGCTGCAACATTGACCAAAGTACACATCAAGTGGTGAGCACCCTATCTTTACAAACAAATGCTATGCTGGGGGAATGTCAACCCTAAATTCCCCATGCAACTTGCCTCAAATTTCGCCCTAACCACTTGTTTTAATGCAAAAGTATTAACTGCGCCATGAAGCAGAAACGGCGTTGTTCGTAACCGCGAGAAACGGCAGAGAAATTCCTTCCGCGGAAAGGCTCTTAAAACGGCTGCGACGCGGCCGGCGCGTCGGATAGTTCCAAAGAATGCCACCCCACAGTTCGGCACTGCTCCCGCACGCCACCGCAGCAGTGTACACCCGCCACTCCCCAGGCTGCCCGGCTGGCCTCCGCAGAGAATGGCGGGGCGCGCAGCTTGTAGGAATACGCTACATATATGAATGCTTTCACATTCCTACACGTAACCAGTCTTAAGCTCCTCCTGTAATTTTGTTTTTGTTTTCCCTAGCCAAGTTCAAGAAAACTTAAGAACCATTAGTGACAACAACAGTAAGGTGCACTGACTGCAACCTCCAGCGAGTTTCAAAAGAAACAAAAGGGCTCGCATCTGAAGCTTTTTTGGGGTATGTGCATGGCTGTGATGACTTATTAGCCGATTGAACAACTGATGCAGCAAAAAGAGTTTTGGGGTCTTTTACGCACGAGTCAACGGCTCTCGCATTGATTAGCCCCAGCAGTTGACATTTTCCTTTCTACATTCCTCTGACAATTTCAAGATTACACTGTTTGTATGGGCACTCTTTCTAGACCAATTAGGCTAATTTAGGTCTGGTGAAGTTAGGCTAAGTCAACTTCAATCATTTCAAGCTACCATAAAATTCCGTAAGGACGCCGTTCCCCAGAGGTCGCCCATCCCGTTTTTCTGGCTAAATATCTGTCACATAAAAATTCAGGAACATCACCCATTTCCCAATTCCTGTCGGACGTCACGCAATGTCATGGGAATTGCATTAACCGTGTGATCTGCGATACCAGTATGTCTGACAAGCAAGTTCATAGTGGGTCCCCACGTTTCTGCCCGCAATCTCCGCACGCTATATCGGCTCCCGTAGCACGCGAGTTGTTCCTGCGTGTATATTGCATCATGAAATGCGAATCTGCAGCATCGGCGATTTGCGGTATACATACCCGTGACGTGCGAGTTTGTAGCAAAATACAGCGTTTTTGTCTGCGATCTGAGCGTGTGATATCGATTCCCGTGACAGACAAGTTTGTAGCGGGTTCCCGCACGTTTATTGCACCATGAAACGTGAATCTGCTGCGTCCGCGATTTGCGGTATCCGGTTCCTTGAGATGCGAGCTTTCGGCGGGTTTTCGCAGGTTCTTCACACCGTGAAACGCAAATCTGTTGCATCCGCAACCTGTGGTATCCTTTCCCATGACACGGGAGTTCGTAGCGAATTCCCGTGTGTTTATCGTATCGTGAAACGCAAATTTGCGGTGCCCGCGATCTGCAATATCAGTTCCTCCGTCACGTGGTTTGTAGCGGGTGCCCAGGTGTTTGTTATTTATTTTTTTATAAAGGTTTGCAGCCGCATTTCTAAAGATAGCTTCCCCCATCTGTTTCACCCTTCATCTTTTCATTTTGGGTGGGCGCTCTTACGGAATTTTACGGTAGGCAAGGTTAGTCTAGGTTAGGTTAGGTCAGGCTACATCAGTTTAGGTTAGGCCAGTTTAGGCAAGGTTAGGTCAAGTTGTTAAGTTAGGTGAAGGGGAGACACTAGCTAGAGGTCAAACTTTTGAACTACTCAAGTGATCAGAGTGAAATTTGCAAGGGAGATTAAACTTCAGATGTAGGTGTAGTGTGCAAACTTTCAGCTCTCTAGGATAAATTTATATACCTGCATAAGTTGATGTGTCACTCTTCGTTAGGAATCTATGATATGCAAATGAAGCTATTAAGCACCATTTTGACTGCTTGAACATAAAGTGGGAGATATGGGACTTTGGGCTATCTAGTTTTAATAACTCAAATGTAAATATTTTAGAAGAGTTATTACCTCAAAAAATGAGATGCATATCTGTCCTATGTCAATTTTTGAAAACTTTGTTAGAAAAATGCATTTAAACATTGAACTCCTTTACTTTGTTACTGCCTCACAACGAGTTGAAAATATTTTATATCAACGTAACTATTGGGCGTATGGTTATCAAACTTAGTGTAAGGGAGTATAATTAGTTTCTAAAACTGAAAACCTCAAAATTGAAAAATTAAGTTTTTCAAAAACATTTGAAGGGTTCAAATAGTAGGCTAGTTTAGTTTACATCAAGTTAGATGCAGCTTTGCTAGACCACCTTGGGTCAGGTTGCATCAAGTTATGTTAGGTTAGTCTAGGTTTGGTTAGATTAGGTTAATTTAGTTTAGGCTAGGTTAGCCTAATCTATGCATGGCAAGGTTAGGTTAATCTAGTTCAGGCTAGGTTAGCTTAACCCACGTTAGGTTGCGTTAGGTAAGGTTACGCCACATTAGGCTGGCTGGACGCGGAGCAAGCTCACCTCGGTGATGACCCCGGCGGCCACAGTACAGCCGCCCGAGCGCAGAGTGATCCGTCCGAGCTCCTTGAACTCCTTGTACAGCTCCACGCAGACAGGCCGGCTCACCTTCAACTCGATGATGCCGCTCGTGTTCTTCGTCAGGCACCTGCCATCCGCACACAACTCTACGTCAGGCACTCTCCCATTCCAATGAAAGGACAAGGTCCAGAGCACACTCATCAGTGCCTCATGCAAGGCACCACTGGGCTCTTGCCCCCCATGTAAGGCACTTCATTGAAGTGCTTTGAGAATTATTAAAAATTAGTGCTGCCTTCCTTTGAATCGTCTGTGAGCAGAACCATGAGGGCACTGCTGGAACGGTGGGCAACCATCCTTCAAAAGATTGTTACCCACCTTCTTTTCTCACGAGAAAACCAAATGTCTTGGGTCACGTGACGCGATGTCACGTAATGTTGTTACTTGACTTCATGGTGTGACCTGACGCGATGATGTCACATGACATCACCTCACATGACCAAGTGACCTGACATCGGTCACGTGCCACGTCATACTGCAACGTTTCGCGTCACATTACAGCGTTGCGTGACATCACGGTGTAGCATGACGACAGCCCTGCCGACGATGTCGCACCGCGACACCATTGTCGTGACGTCGCCATCGAGGCTACGTGCCACAGACAAGCGGGCACCAAGAGCTGGGCCAACCGGAAGCAAATCCGCGGTGTCGCACTGACCTGGGCTTGTGTCGCACCACCTCCCCGGTGCCCTTGTGCAGCTGGGACAGGATGCGTCGCACTGAGGCCTGCTCACTGGTGCTCTGGTAGTGGAGCACCAGGGGGAAGCCCCTGGTCAGGGGCATTTCCACGTTGAACACCACCACCCGGCACTGGATGTGGGTCCCCACCCGGATGGGTGCAGAGGGGTCGCACAGGAAGCTGCCCACTGCGACCTGCGCGCCGAGGGACATGCCCCCAAGTGAGATCGGCGGCCAAGCGGCCAGGGATGCTCATCACTCGCGGAAATGCTGGCGAGTTTGTTTTACTCGAGGCTATGCCAATTAGCAAAACAATGACTGAGAACTGCAATCCTAAGTGTCTCGAGGAATTCCTTCTTTTTAGTTTTGAAGCGAAGAAAAGCTAAAAATGTTTTAACAATGTCATCAAATGGGAGGGGTCAAACTTTGTGGTCTCAGGGAACTACTGTGAGCGGGAACTGGGACCTCTCAACCCCCTTGACAGTGTTGTGATAAAGCAGTTCAAAAGTTTACTAACTTTATTAACAATAATTCTTATACTTGGAAGAAAACTGGGACTCTTTGATACAAAAGCCACACATCAATATACGGACCTACTGTAAAATCTCGAGAGATAGCCCACCTAACATCAAGAGCAAATCGGGTGAAAATATGGAGTGGGCTAACTTTCGGTGTATTATCAAGAAAAGTTTAAAAAATTGCTATTTTTATGTCGCCTCCCTCCCGGCAATGAAGCAAAGATGACTGTACTTCCCAGCCAGCAATGTTTGCTTATATCCCGCCATAGCTAACTAGCCGCATTTACGCCGAGGCCATCATTGATCCGAAGACTACTTTTACTAAAAAAGGGTTCCCTTTTGGTATTTAAAAAAATATAGCAAACCAAGCCAAAAATAGGGGTAGGCTATCTTTCAGGGGTGGGGCATCTCTCGGGATTTTACGGTAGTACTATGCTCGAACTGCGCTCAAACTAGAAAACACACTTCTTTACTAGGAGTAGAGTCCTTTGAAGAAAGCCAAAGTACTAGAGGACCCATTTGAGGACCCACAAGGCCTAAAAAATAAAAACTGAAGAGTTTGAAACAAGGTCGACTGCTCAGACTTAGAAAACTAGCCATCCCACTCCTGTTAGTATACAGTATAGACCACTTACAACGTAACCGCTTATAGTGCAGGACCGGGTATAACGCGGTTTTTTTAAACCACCGGTTCGCCTCCCATAGAACTCCATGTAATTACATACCGCTTAAAATGCAGACGCGCGAAGGGAAATACCGGTTATAGCGCGGTTTCTGGCACAGCCCGTCGACTGCGCCGACGACCGGAGCAGCGAGCACGCTTCCCTGTGCGACACTATATAACGGCGCGAGCCGCAAACGGCACTCGCGGGGCAAGGAGGTTGCTCGGAGAAGCGAAGAGAGAGGCTTCATTTGCCATAGCGACGGAAGGACGCACGCACGTGTCGTTCATGTACGTGCGTCCCTCCCCGAGATCAGTGGTCCCTCCGCTGCGTTGAAAACAAACAACCGAAACGACAGACCAATCGCAGGTCGAGAAGTGTTCGCGCGCGTTGCATGCCAATCGCGGGCTGGGCCGGCTGGGCCGGCGGCTTCTGTCCGCAAACATGGCGTCGGTTGTGGCGTTCATCTCATCGTTCCGCGTAAAAACGCTATCCTTGACAGTGAATTTTCGTTGTGTGTCGCTATGATAACCCAGCACGTACTAGAAGGGAAGATCCACCTACTCGTGCGGCGATGTCGTGGCGGCGCTCTCAAGGCGGCAGAAACGCCCGTGTCGTCGTGTTTGTTTACTTCGGCTAAAGTGGTGCTTTCTAAGCATTTGTGTTTTCGAACATCGCCCGGATTTCTTATTTGGAGCATTTCATGCCTGTGCTCAAGTTCAAGGTATTACTGGCGCGTACCGTATGAAGGATGCGAATTTTCACGCGTTTTCATCTCCGGAGAAAAGTGATTAGGTTTAGCAATCCTGAACGCTCGCAACGTCCGTCCGCAACCCGCGACGCCGTTAAAAGGCTGCGCCAGGCAAAAGCCGCTTATTTCTTTCAAAATGTGTGACACACTTGAGAGAGATGTGTACTAGTCTGGTGAAATAAAGACTTTCCTCAAACTAAGCTTTATTTTTCATCTAACATAAAATAAATTTGTTTACAAAGGTAGGTTGTCTCACGGCATGTATTTTGGCCTGAAAAATTGATGTTTTGGTTATAACGCGGTACCGCTTATAGTGCGGATTTTCGCGACTCCCGCGACATACGTTATATGCGGTCTACACTGTAATACAAAAAAAAAGCAAATGGTGGAAAAGTATACTTACATTAATGATGTCGACTCCGGACAGCGTCAGGGCCACCTGATCTCCCGCAAAGGCACGCGGGGTTGGCATGTCGTCGATCGTGATACCTGCATGCGGCAACCCAGAAGAAGAAAAAGTAGGACAGGTTTTTATGTGAGAGTCAGTGCTAACATTCTTACACAGCATTCAGAATCTAAGGGTGTGAACATCAGTCTTTAAAATGTTAAACAAGCCTAGTTCCAAACAGGTGGTACTATGCAAAGAGATTAACTTTTTCTTCTGTCCACTCACCACTGGAACAATCCTTACCAAATATAGTTACTATGAGGTATGTCACTATAGTCGGTGGCAGGTCAAGAACGAAGTGGAAGCTCCTCCCACCTTTTTCCACTTTAGTAAAGCAAACACTGGAGAGGAGGCGATCTCCTCTCCACTGAACGCTCCGCTGAAACGAAAAGGGGTGGGAGGGGCTTCAACTTCCTTCTTGACCTGTCACAAACTATAGATTTAATGTATTCATCTGTTGCTATCCTTTCTGCACTATAGATAATCAAATTCAGTCATTGTTACATTGTTACAGTAACTAAACTTCTTTTTGCAAAGCAACAAGTGCTTAGGCAAAAGGCTTCCTTAAAAAAGACAGTTTGTAGAAAAAGGTGTCTTTTACAGCACTGTCACTTCTTTAATGTTGTTCACAGTACTGCTGCTTCGTTTTTGCTCAAACACTGCAAGCACACACTCCGAACGTCTCCATGCTAACTTATATATATGCGCTTATTTATTTCGAAGCATCCTCAGGGTCTTATGAAAGGGAAAACACTGTTCCTCCAGGCACTAATTGCCCTTGACCCCAAAGTGGCTACTCCATCCATGCCCGAGAGAAAGTGGAATTAACAGATCACAAAAAAGGGGCATACCACGAGTCAGGGTTTGTCAAACTTTTCAAAATCGGAGAATGTCCGTCTCTCTCGACGGGAAGCCACACCTTTGACGCTGCCCTGTTCGCCGACCGGCATGACCAGCACGCGGTCTCCGTTGGAAATTCCGCCGGCGTCAATGCGCCCCGAGACGCAGAATCCCGACCCCATGCCCTTGAACACGTCGCTGACGCACAGACGGAACGGCTTTGACACCGGACGCTCGGGCGGCTTGAATCCGTCTGAAAAGCAACACAAAGTCGCTCGTCAGAATTCCACGAAACCAAGTTCAAACCCATTGGGAAGAAGGCACCTTCAGCACGCGAACCAACTTACCTCACCGACAATTGGCAGACACCCAAAGCAAACCTTGCTCTAACAAAACTTGCAATATATTGAAACTGTATGACCCCAAAACAACCTAGTATTACCAGCAAAATATTTCGTAGCATTTTAAAAAAAGTTCCATGTTTTCAGGATACTCTGCTACAAATTCGGGGGTCTTTTTGGCGGTTCATTTGTTTCTCAAATTGCACGTTTTTTAATGGATGGATTTTTCCAAACCTCCGGGGAACCCGACCATTGTACAAAGAGTAGCGAAAAAACGTCCCAGTACCAACAAAAGAAAGAAACCAGAAGAGTGGCACGGTTCCCAAAAAAAGCAGCAATCTTGCAGGCGCCTCGTCGGCGCAGCCGCGTTCCAAGCAGACAGAAAATAAAAGCGTAGATAAAGGTTTTCGGGGTTTTTTTCCCCGTGAAACTCGAGCATTTCCTCATTTAAGGAGAGCTCGCCTCCGGGTTTTTTTTTGGGGGGGTTTTCCCGATTCCGGTAAAACAAGCTTGGCAGTTAATTTTCGGGGTCTATCGGTATGTTGTTGGGGACGGAGAAGGATAGACAAAACGTAAAACTAAAAATAAAGGTTCAATCGGTGAACTTGTGCCGGAAACCAAAGAGAAGACGAGTGTCGAGAAAGCAAAAGCTAGCTTGGAGATGACGGCCAGCTAGCGCTAGAGTGACTCGACGAGGCCACGTCACCTTCTTATCTATTACGCTCGGTATCTCGAACATTCGAGCGTCGAACATTTGGGCTAAGAGTGAACGCCGATCTTCTAGAAGTATAGAGCAGTGTTCCCTCTCGGTCGCGCGCGCAACAATATAAAGAAAACGTGCAACCCTACTTAAAAGTTTTGCATCACTCGGAAAGACGGGAAAGCCCAAAATGTGTCGCCGTCAGTGTGCTACGCAAGCCTTGTATGCCTCGGAGCGCCACACTCGGCGGATATTCCTAGGTATGCGACATGGTACGCCTCAGCACATGAATCCCGGTACTGATGCAATAAAGCACTGCAGGAGCTAACGGATCTAAAAAAAGATAAACGCACTTACAAAAGAATGTTTGCCACAAAGTTACCCGTCGATGCAAGGGTTCCCAAACTGGGTTCCTCAAAACACGGGAGTCTCTTAAAGTACTCTCACGGGTGCCTGAAGCTCCCAAATTTCTTTGACCATCCCTGCCACTAAGTAAAAACTTTTCCCAGTCTAAGGGGCAACGCCGCTTCTAGGGCTTCTTCGCATAACTTGCAATACTACTCAAATGAAAGTTATGTAGCTTATCTGCCTTTAGAATCTGCCTACATATATGTAATTGGTTCTGACGTAACCTAATGAGTTTTGTTAAAATTGAGTTTCACTTGGAAATATTTAAAAACAAATTAAAATATTGAAATAAAAAAAAGCAGTCTCAAAATTATTTCCTGCAGGATGTAAGAAAGGCCTACCTGACGCTATATTTATACTATTAACTGGATACCTTTCACATACACCACCAGAGAAAGAAAATAGTTATAAAGATTGGATGTATACAAGTGGAGGTATGACTTCCATAAAATAGCAATGTAAGTAAATAGTTAAAATATTAGCAAATTTCACAAAATATTAGCTCATTTCACAAAAATACTTCAGGCCAAGATGATATATGCTTTTCAATCTTCAAAAATGCAATTTTAAAAATGTGCGTTTTTGGGGCCTTTCTTTCTGGAAGAGCAGTGTCTCTGCTAAAAGTCTGACCTACAGAACCCACTTCTGCAGGGCAGAAAACCAGTTCCCAGTTTCTTTCTCTCCTTTCCTTCTCGCACTCTTCTCTCCTCCTCTCCCCACAGAAGCAGGTCTCAGAGCTACCCTCCCAGAAAGGAGGCTCTCCCCCTCTCTCGAGTGGAAAGGAGGAATGAAGGGAGAGTTTCCTCCTTTCTGGCTGTTTGTCGCAGATCCGAGCCACCAATTGATGCATCACTACGAGCCAAACACTCCCCCTGATATGCATCGCTGTTCACAAGGTCTGAAGGCTCTTGCCTTTCTCTACTACACCGGGATGGAGGAGGCAGGTAAAAGTTAATCGAGATTGCAAAGGGTGAGAATTCCTGCATCAATGGACGGCTCTTCTGGATTCATGTATAAGCTGGAAGAAAACTTTGCTTAGCTGCAAGGACGGTCAAAAAAATCTGGGAGCTTGGGGAGCCCTCGAGGACCATTCTGGGAACCCCTGGGTTCCAGGGAAACGGTGTTGTACACATTCCTCCACGACAGGAATGAAAACTCGTTTCTCGTTTCATCCCAATCTTGGAACAAGTTCCCGTCACACGTTACAATGGTTTGAAAGGAACGCGCCCCCGTTACGTTAAGGTAGCGTGGGCATGTTTTCATCAAACGTAGCGCCGAATGATCCGCAGACAAAACAGAGTGGCAAAGATGTGACGTAAAACTACCTACAAGGCGGGTCGTCACGATCGCGTTTGTTACAGTTCTTTCTCTTTGGCCATCTCGGACACTTTGCCATCCCCCGAAGTCAGAGGTTGGAGCGGTCGCTAATGAAAAGCCTAAATGCCTACCACATCTGGGTGAAATTTTAAAAAGGAATGCCATTCCTCCTGTTGTACTCGAAAAATTTACGAGTTCCGGTTCCAGTTTCACCGATGCAGGACGGAACATTCCTCGATTTTACTCCTCAAAAGACATCTCTACGTGGTGAATTTGGGGCGAAGCTCTGGCAGTGCTGACACGCTCAGCCGCAGCATGCCGAGCTTTTCGTTCGTTTTCATCCATGTCAGAAAGCAAATCTGTGGCATGGAACGTGGTTATATACGCATCTGAGCATTTGACCGCAGCACCCTGTCGTCTATAAACGTTGAGTCAATGCATGCAAAGTTTAGCGCGATTATATACGCATTTGACCGCAGCGCCCTCTCCTGCATAGACGTTGAGCGGCTACATGCAACGTTTCGTCCATGACATCCCCAGCTCTTGAGTTACTACCACATCTCAGAGCCCCTTACTCGACCCGCAGTCGTGGTCGAGTGGTTAAGGCGATGGACTAGAAATCCATTGGGATCTTTCCGCACAGGTTCGAATCCTGTCGACTGCACAAACATTTTTTCTTTTTTGAAGAAGACAGACAGGATGGCAATCGATGTGAGCACGGACACCGGACGGACAAGGCTAGACCCTAAGGAGTTTCGCCCCTAATATAGTTCCGTTTGACGCTGCTAGAAACCCAGTTTGCCAGTTTGAAAACCTCCAGTCTTTCTAAAGACGCACAAAAATTTATGAGAAGAAGGCGGGACACACCGATGACATCCACCAGACAGGGGCCACTGTACCACTTGGCGAGTCCCTCGTCCTTGGGAGGCGGCTCTGTGAGGTTAACCCCCGTGAGGCCGCTGCAGGGTACGAAGGTGAAGTCCGCCTCCCGGTAGCCCGCCTGACGCAGGAAGCTCTGCAGCTTGGCCGTGATGTCCCGGTAGCGCCCTTCGTCCCACGACACATTGTCCAGCTTGTTGATGGCCACCGCCAGCTGGGAGACACCTAAGACGGCCAAAGGAGAACGTTCCACAAGTCCAGCACAGTCCAGCGACGAACTCGCTTTACCGCCAGCTTTAAGTCACATGACATTGTAATGTGACCATGTGATGTTATAATTCTTAATAGTAAATGCGAATCTTCTAGAAGTATAAAGGAGCGTTCCTTCCTGGACGTGCGTTCGACAATATTCACAATACCCTTGCAACGAGCCCTTGAGTGGCCTCTTTACTGTGCCAACAAAAGGAGATATGTGAAAAGGCCCTATAAATGCCGTGCATTTAGAATACCGTCAGGATATGCGAGAGACGGCCGAGTTTTTTCCGAGCTAGCCGTACACCATCTGTGAAGGTGTACCTACCTAGAGATCGGACGAGCAGAGTGTGCTCCCGTGTCTGCCCGCCGGCTTCGAATCCGGTCTCAAACTCTCCCCGTGTCGCATCCACAACCAAGATGGCGACATCTGCTTGGGCAGCTCCTACAAACCAGAAATGCAAGTTTAAAATTACGAACATTTCGTAAGACCGTGATGATATGCAATTCGAAAGATGCGTGACGTGCGGGCTAGCAGCTTATCCCGGCATTTTTTTCTATGATCCAAGACAACCTTTGTCCGTTCACAGCACCTCGAATATAGTGGCGTTGCCAGAAAAAAAAAAGGATGAGTTCACTCACATGGTGACCCCAGTTTTCTACGACGAGCCTTAGAGTATTTAACTTCCTGGTGAAATGTCAGACAATGAGCCTGCCTCTGCCATTGCATGTCTGCAGTATTGTCATAACCAACAACTTTGCTCAAAATCTACATTCAAGCATCTTCAAAGAGTACCCGAAGTAAATTTTCGGTTGGTATTTACCTGTCAGCGGTTGCAACAAAGCTGTGCCCGAGAAAGATTTTTTGCACTGTTCAATACCAGTGAAAAAGAATCCGAATAGGTATGTACTAGTGGCGACATGCAACAATTCCTGCCAAAGGAAGCTGCCATGACGATGCAGTCAAAGAAGACTTTGCACGCAATTCTGACACTAGCTTGTAGCTTTAAGAAGTGCTTTGGGGATGCATGCTGAGATCACTGCCTGTCTCAAGCTCACTACCAAAGAACTCTCTGAAGCAATCTCTGGGCCTATGCCATGGCAACAGCCATTTTAAGGATGAAGAGGAGAGTTATACAAATACAGTAGGCTTGCAACGACTGAAACTTGGATGTTTCATACTTCTGGAAAATTCACGCAAATTTCAAAATTTTGGTAATTCTCGCGACCCATTGAGCGTGCTTCTTTCGGAGCACCAGTGCACTGCAGTGAGACAACACTAATGGATCTCGCTTGCGCGGGCGTTGCTTCCCCGCAGTGCATCCATGCTCGGTGAGAAGCGCACTCAACGAGGCACAAGCAGGGCACACATGAGCTATGAAAACGGGCACCCTGTGGAAATTGCCATAGCAACTTGCACGGATGCTGTGACGTGGCGGCATGGCATAACTCCACTCACAGCACCCGCGCAAGTTGCTATAAAAACTTCCACGCGGTGCCTGTTCTCATCGCTGGTGTTTCCCCTGCTTAATAGTCTACATTAGACAACTTCTTGGAATGATGAACAAACATCATTTTGTTTCGAGCTGTCATGTGCTGTCCACGATAAACAACATTTTTGAGAGATAAATAAACTTATGTCATACATTTCACAAATGTTTCATGAGTTGCAGACCTGCTTATGATCAGTAGGCCTATGCAGAGGAAATCCTCAAATATCTGCTCTGTCTCACATCATATTTTGATGAATTTCTGATAATTAAACCTTTCAATAATTCAAACGAAACTTGTGGCTTCCTGGAGTTTGAACTCATGGGAGTCTACTGTATTTTATCACGACATATTTTGGAGGCCTTGAAAAAGCACTTTTTTCACGAATTGAACACTCCTCTTGAGATTCCTCTGAATTGCAAGACGTCAAAATCGCCAAAAAGATTAAATTAGGATCGGTGACCTTTAACCACAGCCGGGCTGGACAGTAGCATTCCTTACGGTCTCTGCTCTCGCCTAAAGCAGCGGGTGGTTTTCTACAGCATGGAGGCGTAACCACGCTGAATAACTCCAATTCGACCCAGGAGCGAAGAGGTCAACATGGTGAGATTGGGGCGCCTCCTTAGAACGAGGTAAAGTGCCGTAGGAGGGGGCGAGATCGTAGCGACCCCGCCGAGCTGACGGTGGGAGGGAGAGACTACACCCCAAGTGAGGGCCATCAGAAAACTCGCATTTTCATTCAAGCACAGCCGTGCCTTAAACGGATTGTCCGGTAAAACTTTGTCTTTCAGAAAACAATTAAAACAATCAAACAATTTAACAATTAACAACAATTAAAAATATTGTCATTGCTTTTAGGAATATCATCCGCACAATATCCGAATTGAGAATCCTCCACCGCACAAGTAATTCAATTTTAAACAGAGCCCAACTGCTCAGATTGCACCCGCAAAACACACGGCGTCCTAGTTGGCAGCAGTGGAAGTTTTGACGTAACGTAGTGCAAAGAGAGCCACGGCAGCCCTCGAGTGCTCAGTAAAACAACTTCGTTCTGAGAAAGACGAGACTTACGGTATTGAGAAAAGCTCAATTCTTCGACAATCTTTGTGAGCACCATCAACCCGGTTGATTAAAACCGGGAATAAGTCAACACCCATGACTCTGACGTAACCATGCCCCATGTGACGTCGCGACACGACCAGCCATGCATACTTGCCGAATTGGGCGTGAAGTTTCGTTATGATGTTCATAATTGATTCAACAAATATTGAGGTGCGAAATCTAAAAAAAGTTTATATATATATCAGGGTGTCGAACCGGAACCGAACCGGTATTTTTTCCGGAATTGAACCCGAACCCGAACCGTTATATTGTTATCGCGATGAACCCAAACCGGAACTGAACCGAAAAAAAAATAACGGTTACCGGCTCATGTCAAAACGGTTCGGCCACGCGCTGTTGACAATGAATGTGCTATCAACAGTATTTGAGCTTCGACTTTTTTTTGCGGTTTCTACACGCTAGTGGCCCCGGAAACCCAGTGGACAACGAAAGAGTTTGAAAATATTAGCGCATCATATTTTAATTTGACAACTCGGAAACACCTCCTCCGACGGTGGCGCCGCGAGGTGCCGAATGCGCGCGCATAACGGCGCTCCCTTTCACTATACGTCACATTCTCTGGGCTTCGTGATTGGCGAGAGCCGTCCCAAAAATTTTGAAGCGAAATAAAGTATATCACACGTTAACCGCCATTATTTCTCTAACAAGTCATTTTTATAGAGCTAATAAAGTTGCAGAGTAAAGTTCAAAAAGGGCGAAAACAACGCCTTGTCGCTCATGCGCGCCTCCCAGCGGCGTGCGCAACGTACTATCGCAAGCAGACGACAAGTGATCTGAGCAGACAACGCGCATCGTATTTTCACTTGTGCGCCCCCGGTCCCGGTCAACTAAAAGCAGTAAGAGGAGCCAGGGGAACCCTTATTTTCTTTTAGTGCTGTGACGGAACCCAGCTTATATCGTGCCCAACGGGAACGCTCATCAGTTTGTACCTCCTACTCCCCGAGGTGGCTCCGGTGGCGGAGTTGCGGGAGACGAGTCTTCCACGGCTGTCGAAGCGGACTGAGGCAGAGACGCGTCGCGGCGCTTGCGTGGAGTGTCCTCGTACAGCGCGACGCCCAGATCCGCACTCAAAATCCGATAATAAGCCTGGTAAATTCATCGATGATGGCAACCCGATCCCAAAGCTACGATGGTTGCAGCTAGGCCTAATGGCCGACGAGTCAACCGGGCCGACGGGCTATTAACCAAACTCGCGTCCAATTGGCCAACCGCTTTGCTCCAATCGCTAAACTGTTTCATTTTACGTCATGAAGCGCTATGTTTTGCTTATTTAAAGTTTTTTTCTGCAATATTTAATTTGCTAATAACTCACAAAATATTGCGAATTTCTGTAATATTTTTTTTTTCCTCGGTGTTCCTGCTTTCATAGAGCTCCGTTTCAGCGCGAACTTCAAACCGGTCAAAAAATTGTAGGTGGGCCCCTTTAAAGGGGTCATGAAACGCTTTTCCAACTTTTTCCTGTTTCGCTTTCCTCCTCAACTCATAAATCGCACATTCCACCAAACAGTTCAAGAAGACGAAAAGAAGCGAGGACCCTCTCGCTCGGAGAGAGCCATTGTCCCCCTAAAAGATTAGCCCGTCGCTCAAAATTCGGACAAAAGTTTCTTTCCCTACCCCGTTCACCCCTAAGCTGACAGTGCTGTGGAAGCTACGTGCTCCTTGGGCTAGCCGCACTTTTGCCAGGTGAGCGTGGCAAATATGGCTGCAGAGAATGAGGTCAGGTGATGAAACGGAGGCGGCTGATTGGTCCGGTAAGCGCGTAGCTTCCACCACAATATCAGCTTAGGGGTGAAGGGACTAAATGAGGTCCGGTTTTGTGTGACGTCAGTTTGGACCCGATGACACTTTTGGGACCGCGGATGTATCACAGTGAAAAGGCAGAGAGGTTACGAAGGGGAGGAGGTGCGAAATAGTCCGCTGTGTTTTCAAATTTTCGCACTGAAAGTCAGGCTTTTGACTTTCTACCTTTTTTCTTTTGGCCCACTGAACGACGTGCTATTAGTAAAATCCCAATCTAAAATGATTTGTCCCAACCCAAAAATCGTTTCATTGGCCCTTTAAGTGCCGTCAACTGACACACACCTCGCTTACATATTTTTCTTCTCCACTCAGTCTTAGGAATATAAACGCTGTATCCATGAATCTTGACAAATGCTGCATCCATGAATCTTGACATAGGAACCAGTATTGCGCTGGTCGCGGCTTGCACGGAAGAAAGAGAATTGGAAGGCTGTACAAAAAAAATAAAAAATAAATAAATCGCGTCACGGGATTTCATTTTCCTACAATCTTGTAAATCCTAAATGCTGCTGTGTGCTCATTTCATAACACGTTTCTAGAACGCGCGAGTTCTTGAAGCTTGCTTCCATCGGAATGAGAAAAGAAAAGGCTGTGGAGTTTGATAATAATGCATCCGGTTTCGTATAGGCACTTAGAAGCTAACATATTTGTGAGACAGCGAACTCTTCTATTTTAATATTTATCCTAATACGTCCTTCTGGCGTTGCGTTCGGTGAAGTGTTTTTCATATTCCGTATCTTGTTTAATGAAAACTTCTTTAAGGGTCTAATTTGAGTTACCGAAGGCTAGTTCAAATAAAGAAAGCTGTATTTTCTCCCCACTGTTTCTTCAATTGCTTACACGCCGAGGTGGCGGGATAGTTAGTGAGTTCTACTTGTAAGTGGGTTTGTAAGAAGGTCGCGGATTTTACAGCTACTGCGTCGGACCCAATTAGATGAAGTCCGAATGCGTAAACGTCGGTGAGGTAACCTTTGAGTGCACATAAAGAAACCATTCCTGGTAGAAATCCCTGAGCCTTACACTACGATGTATCCCGTTTCGTATGTGCTGATTTCAGATGTTTTATTTGTAATTTATTTTGATGTTGCAATTTTTCATTTATAATTTCCGAACCGGTTCATCACCCTGAACCGGTTTGCGAACCGGTTCGCGGATCGAATTAATCAAACCGGAACTGAACCGGAACAAAATTAATTTACCTGAACCGTAACCATAACCGAACCCGTATTTTTTTCGGTTTGACACACTGATATATATATAAAATATATATCACATCTGACTATAGTTAGGCCCTCTCTATGTGACCAGCACAAAAAACTTAGTAATCTCCGGATATCACCGGACAATCCCTTAAACCCTTAAAGATAGCAAAAAAATCACCGCATAGACTCTTACAGACTAGGGTGCTCAAGTTAAAAGACACCACAGAAGAGGTAGTTCGGTTCTGAACATGCAACCAATGAAAACTCGAATGACTCGGAGAAACAGGGTGACATTGGGGGCACACCTCACCGGTGATCATGTTGGGGATGAAGTCCTTGTGACCTGGCGCATCGAGGAGCACGATGCTCCGGGCCGGCGTCTCGAACTTGGCCTGTGCTACGTCCATCGTGATTCCGCGGTTCCTTTGAGAGCAAAGTGATGCCAGTTACCGTATGAAAAAAGCATTCATTCTACTACGGAAGCTTCGATGTTACAGCAAATAGACAAATAGGCGCAGCACTTTTTTTGAAGCATGAACCCCCATCCCCCACCCCCTTATCCCCGAAATTCACCCGTCCGTCCAAACATTTTCCCACTAAATTCGGCAGAGAAATCGATAAAAATAGGTTTGTCTCCGCTCTTCAAAAAGCTGCTTGATGTATTCTAAACAAATTTAAGGGGAGACCCTGGTCTTAAACATTTTTCTGATATTCCTTATCTAATTTATATTACATTTTTACAGCTACTATAAGTTACTGTGCTAAGCACAAACAAAAGCTAAATTTTTTCTGTCAGTATTATAGTTTCCAAGAAAGACTAAACTGTACCACAAATGTTTCTGAATTTGTTTCTACAGTACTCCCATAAAAATATGGCACAATGTATGTCAGCATGTTCTACAAGCAGTGAAAGTGCAACAAAGCCACCGTTACAGTTTTGGCGTCATCACAAAAAAGTTATCACAAGTTGAAATTTTTTTGCTGATAATTAGGAATGAGTCATTGAAGTCTTTGGCCATTCTAATATTTTGTAGTTAACATTCCTCAAAAAGAGTAGTCTCGTTGCACGTATTCAGGTACCGCTCTTAGATCCCAAGCTACCGGGACGAAACTTTGTGGAGTGACGAAAAATTAATTCTGAAAATATAAAAAAAGCTTTTCAAAACTTGCCCCAAAAAACAGCCTTGACATGAAACTTTGAATTGATGTAACTATATAAATGTGCACTTCCCGAGGGTAGTTCCGTGCACTTCCCGAGGGCGTCGGGCCCTTGGTGCAACTGCCCGGCGACAATGTCGACCCACCTTTCTTCCATAGTCTCGTCCAACACCCATGCATACATGAAGGATGCCTTGCCCAGCTTCTTGGAGTCCTGCTCATACTTGTGCATCTGCTTCTTTTGCACGCAGCCCAGCCTGAAAGGACGAAAGCAGACGACAGGCATGATACGTCTGTCCCTCAGCTGGGAGAGTGAATTGCCTTTTCCCTTATATCATCCCTTATTAAAGGGAGCGCCGTCGAAACTCAGACAATCATTGATTTGCCTCGAAAACTGGTTCAACACATTAATAGACACACCTGAAACGATAACCCGGATTGCAAGCCACACTAATTTTTCGTTGCAAAGTTGTTTAAGTTTCAAAATTGACTTGAGGCTGAGAGGCTCTACTACTACTGGCAACACAAAAATGTGACGTCAGATGTAATAATATAGGTCAAGGTAAAAGCATAATGGTTTGCTCGCAACAGGTTATGAGGAGTTTGATCGTGTCAAATGAATGCTGGTTAAGCTCAATGCAGCAAATAATAAAAAAAAACACGCGCAAAAAAAACATTATTCTCTAGATTGCCTGCTCAACTTACAAGTCATACGTGTGACGCTACTCCCCACTGGAGAGCGCATGAAAATTTTAACGTTGGTTTTGGTGTCACCTTCGTCTGCTATTCTCTCAATAGCTATTTTGAATTTAGAGATAATGAATAGCATGCAGGGAAGAGTAAAGCCTGGATATTCCAAAAATGTCTTTTGATTGGGTAACTCAAGAAACTGCCGGAGCTCCCCACTTTAAACGATACCGCCACCAAACAAGAGCGCTTCAGCAGGACTTCCGAGTTAACTCGGGGCTTTCGGAGGGCTGCAAAGATCACCCGTACGACGAGACAGATTGCAGTTTTAGCCGAAACTGCGTGACAAAGATGAAACGCGCAAAACAAATGTTTCATTTACCTGTACAAGAGGTGTCCCATAAGGGTGCTCTTGCCAGCGTCCACGTGACCAATCACAACCAGGTTCAAAAGGGGCTTGACTCCGCCTCGCTCCTTGGTGTATTCCGCAAGCACGTCCTTCGAAGAGGCCTTGGGTCTGGAACAAAGAAGATTGGACTACTTTAACGAGCGAATTGAATACAATAATCGGCGCATTTCCCGCACGATGCACCCAAAGTTAATGCATCCTTATGCTCAAACAATCTTGAAGAGAGTGGTGAAAAAAAGAATAACATTGAAACTAACCTTCATTTGTTGCATCTCCTCTTAGCAGCCACCTCATTTGTTTTGCTGTGGCTTTGTCTTCATTCTATATGTATTAATAACCTCTAATTTTCAACCTTATCATCGATCAGAGGCTTTTTCTATATACTGGCTTTTGCAAAAACAGCACTCGACAAAGCACTAATGTGAGCATTAGGCACTTATGAGAAGTAGCCAAATAGTTGAGGTAGTAAATTACCACTTTCGGTTCCATCCCTACCGGACTACCCCTGACAATCATTGTGTCACAGTATTTCCCAATTCCCTATTGAGGAGCCTTTTAGTATGGTTTCCACATTTCAGCTCAGAGAGTTCAACCAGAAGTTGGTATTCTATCCTAAACTCACTCACTCCTGGTTTCCCCGATACGTTATATCAGGGAATCCAGGGTCCATTATTTCATGTAACGAAATCATGATCATAACCATCACCCTCTTCCCCTCTCCCTCCCTACAGCCCACAACCCCAATCCACCTTACAACATAAATACATGTATCCAATCAATCACTCTCTCACAGCCAGTTCAAGATAAGACCTCACATTCCCTGATCCTCAAACTCATAACTAGAAGCAAAATAACAGCATTCACTCACCCTCACCAGCAATCGATCCCCAGTGCATATTTGATCAAACCAAACTCATGCCCGTCACTCAAACTCACGTGATTTCAGGGTGCACAAACTCACACTCCCTCATCAGTGCCCGACTCACACTCACCGAAACCAAACTCACACCCCTTGCTCAAACTCACGAGACTTTAGGAACAGGGATGGAACGGGGCAAAGCAGCATTGGAGCGATGTTGGGAGCTGAAAAAACTACAGTTTGAAGCAGGCTGGGAGCAGCAAAAACAAGGTCTTGGACCAAGTCGGGAGCAGCATACGAGTTTTAAGAATATTAAAATACTAGAAGCTAAATGTCACCTGGTTTTCAAAACTAAAAAAAAATATGGTGTGCAGGTAACTCCATGTGAACTTAACGATAGTTTCAAGAAACTTTATAGTTGCAAATATTTTTCACAAAATTATGCACAAACTATACAAAAGCAAAACTGCATGACAGCGTAACACGTGATAAAACCGACTTGCAAAGAGGTAAATATAAACAGGTACAAATAGCTTTCATTGCTCAGCATTGACTAGTAAGGTGTACTAAAAAATAAAAATGCAGTTACAAAAATGGTCTTTCATTTTTCAGTGACTAGAAAAAGACAATCAATGTCCTTGTACATATAAATGTATAAAACCTTGGTCAATTGCTTATAGGTACAATTCCCTTTTTCGAGATTCTGAGCCAATTTTGCATTAGCCTCTGCTAATAGCACTTGTCCAGACTTAATCTTCTCCATCTTTTTTTTTTTTTTTCAGACCCAACCAACCAATGACTGCGCATGCTCAAGTATAGTCTGCAAACAGATGATGCGCTGTTCAAGTTGTCACTCTTTTTCCTGAAGACAAGCTCTCTTCGTACTCGCTTCACCTGCATCGCTGTTCTTCCTCTTCTGCCTCTAGTCATCGTGCTTTTCGACCTCTAGCCTTACTGTGTAAACTTTATGAGACTTCTTCATAGCTTGCAGCAAGTCTGCTGTCAAAGGCACTTTCATGACAAATCGCTTCAAAGCGCAATCACGATCTGGCAGCTAGTATATTGCTCCGTCATACGCCTCACTGCTTGCTCGCCTTTGTTCTCAAGTTCTCTCCGCGGGGCTGCGGCACACCTTTGCTCCACTACTCAGCTCTTCAGATGAAGTGACTCCAGGACTTCAGAAAAGCACGGTGAGCATGGAGCAACGGCAGCTAACGTTGGCGGCAGCAACTTTCAGATACAAATTTTTGGATTCAGAACCACTGGCCTCCCATTTGGGGAGGAAGTTCCGGCGTAAATGTTTCCAACAGAAACTGAGAGACGGCTAATTTCGACGAGGCTCGTTTAAAATTTGAATTTGTGCGCACCTTGGCGCAATTTTGTTTTTATTTATACTTTTGTATCAGTGTGGCGCATGAAAAGCCATTAGGCGCACAGTGGCGCAATTGGCGCAGCAGTTCCATCCCTTTAAGAACTACAACATCGCTCACACACACCCTAACTCACCGTCAATCACTAAATAACACTCACTCAAACCAAACTCATTCCCTTCACTCAAACTAACAAGCTTTCACTACTTGCATCGCACTCACCATCAATCCCACACCTCACATCTGCTCCAACCAAACTCCTGCTCCTTACACAAACTCACGAGATTTCGGGGATTACAAATTCGCTGTCACCCTCGCTCAGCGTCAATTGCCAACTCATACTCACTCAAACAGAACTCCCATGTCTCGCTCAAACTCAGATGAGGGCTCACAACTCACTCACACTCACCATCAATCAATAAGTGACACTTGCTCAAACCGAATTTAAACTCGTGTGATTTCGTAGCCTCGAAAACTCACTCATACTCATCCTCCCTCGCCGTCGATCTCTAACTCACACTCACTAGAAACAAACTTGTGCCCCTCGCTGAAACGGACAGATTTTCGGTGCTTACAAACTCACTCTCGTGTCCGAAAGTGAGGGTAAGCATGCAAGTATCATCGAGGTACGGTCAGCCCACATATGGTTAGTCTGCTCCCAACACGTTTTCCGCAATGCAAGCAGAAATGCAGCAAACCCAAGGCTGACCCTTCGCAATGACTAAAATGAAATGAGCACGGTCCAAGGAACAAAAACGCCCGCCACGCACCTCGACGGCTTCCCAGGCGTGGCATCGGCCGCTGACGGAGCGTCTCCACTGTCCGGAGACGCCTCCTTCCTTTCCAGGTCGGGGGAGCTTCGGTTGGAGCTGTTTGCACTCGGCACTTTGAGAGCGTTGTCGGCTGCCGGGGCCCTCAGGGAGTTGTCTGTGGAGACCCTAGGAGAGGGAGTCCCAGACAATGGACCCTTTACGAAACCCCGTCGAGCAACATTGGCGGCTGCCCTATCTTGGGTAGGAGGCGTGCGATTGGACCCGAGTTCGCGCAGAACGCCGAGGCAGTCCTTTTGTCCAATACATGTTCAGGGTGCATGCCCAAACAATGGAGAACACAAATAATTGGTACAGTTGTTACTAGATGGCGCACACTTTTGAAAAGGGTCTATTTGTGCCGTGACTCGCACCCACGCAGGTAGGGCTCTTGTCGGTAAGGAGTTTGCGCACAAAACAACAGACTAATATACTCCTTCTTGCTGACCGACGTGAAATAACACGACTAACTGCCCTTCATCACCTGTACTATCATTCACCCTCAAAGAAAGAAAAATATTGCCCAGCTGCTCACCATGTCTCGGCACGCACGAACAACTCACAGAAACTTCAGCTTGCCGCTCCTAGAACTAACGCTCTCAAATTTTCTCCCTTACAGTTATTATATCAGACTGGAATTCCCTCCCCAACGACATCGTAACAGTAAAAGAGACCATTAGATTTCGTTCTGCAATTGCCGCTCTTTACAATATGTAAAAAAGAGCGGAAGGAGGAAAAGATTCCTAACTCTCGTTGACTTGTATCTGTATTGTTGTTTTCGCCCCACCTTATGTAAAGCCCCTACCGGGTGCTACAGTATAGACCACTTACAACGTAACCGCTTATAGTGCAGGACCGGGTATAACGCGGTTTTTTTAAACCACCGGTTCACCTCCCATAGAACTCCATGTAATTACATACCGCTTAAAATGCAGGCGCGCGAAGGGAAATACCGGTTATAGTGCGGTTTTTGGTACAGCCCGCCGACCGCGCCGACGACCGGAGCAGCGAGCTCGCTTCCCTGTGCGACACTAGATAACGGCGCTGGATATTAGTTTTTTCTGACACAGTTCAGTTACTGCAGGAAGTTTACTGACAATAATTTTGTGTCACGCTCACAAAACAAAATTGAGAAAATCATGCTTAAAGTTTCTCCCACGCCTTGCAATTTCGTGCCTTAAATGTAGCCTTTAAAGCTTACCATAAGATACCGGGCGAGCACCCACCCCGTTTCCACTGAAAACTTGGTTAATCAAGACATGAGCACTTATCCAATCAAATCGGGCGGTTAATGTATAATTTGCAGAGTTCCCAAGTTCGTGAAATGTTAATAGTGGGCACTTGAACGAGGTGGGCGCTTCTGCAGTATTTTACAATAAAATTCACCATGTTTCTTTTTTTTTTTTTTAATTGCTTTTATTATTGCTTGACATTGAATTGAGCATTTGAGTTTTGTGAGAAAATACTCTGGACTATGAAGTCTTCAAGCAGTCATCAGTTTTCCCATTTTTAACAGGGTAGTCCTTTCTTTTACGAAAAATCCTGCCTTTTGAACAAGCCCCACTAATATGCGTTTTGAAACAAAGACCAGATAAAAGACTTAAGAGACTTGGGACGGCTCAAGGACTCACTTGGGCTGCCGGTCGTCAAAGTCAACCGTCTGCTTCTGGCCGAAGGACTGTCGGAAGACCGGATCGGCCGTCAGCGCATCTTCCGGGTTGGTGATGCCGGACCTCTGGGCAGCCCCCAGCCTCTCCAGCGGCTTCTTTTCTGAAGGGAAACAGGACGACGCAACCCAATAACGGCGGGCATTCGAGTTACCGCGTGCACCGCAGGCGTCCTCCTCTTCCTCCGAAATGACATCCAACAGCCCTCTCTAATCTGCACAACTGCCATAACTTTTTTTAAATTTCTAGATGTTTGCAATGCTTTTTTTTGTATCGCAATTCCCTTGTGTCATTGACCATATTCTGAGTCTTGCATGTTAACCGCATATGGGGCAATCAAATATGCCATATGTGGGGCAAGTCTGGGACATATGGTACACAATATGTCATGTTAGCAATCATTTTATTTTTATTTCTCCATTGGTATTCCTATCTCATAGACATAATTTGGCTTATGCCCCAGGTTTCAAACCAGTGATATCTTCCATGCTCTGTGCACTACGGTAGACAACTTGCCTTCCATGAGCACACTCAAATAAACAATGAATTTGCCAATACAACTAATGATTATGCATGCCTCCAAGCTGGAAACATGGCATACACAATGGACTCAACACAGGAACTTGCCTATCTACGAGATTCTTAGGACAAACGCCCCTAGACGTGGGATGCAATACTTCTCACTAGGTTTTACACTATAGGTTCCCGATGCTAACTAAGAGCACCGACTTAAGCTCTACATTCAAAAGCGATAAGCGATACTGGAATATGCAGCATTCTTCAACATGTGCTCCTGGCAATATCCTTGCAATGTACCATGTCCTTCAACGTCCATTGTAGTCATCCGTCTTTATTCCATTAACTTCAAGCTAGTCCTGAAAGCGCCTTCAGTATATCAAATCAGATTTGTTACAAAGATGTTAATACAGCGGCTAGTTTTACAAGTACACGGCAATGCAACACCCATCTATCCTTAAATTGGCGGGAGCAAATATTGAAAGCATGCCTCGGTGGATCTGCGTTGCTTACGTTTTCTGCGTTGCCGAGCCGCAGTTTTTGCGGGCCTTGGCAGAAAGGACTAGTTAACGACAACTCTAAGCCAATGTTTCAAAACTGTTCCCAGTTACAAAGGATCATATACTGAAGTTAAAAGCAAGAATTTACATAAGAATGACACATATCAGAAGTTCAGATGCAGTGTGAAGCACAGCAACAAACTCTCCATCCTGGTACCTGAGGGATCGAGAGCTTTCTTCCTGCACTCAATCACGATGTCGTCCGGCGATGGAGTCGAGAAGTCAAACGCCACAATCGAGGATGTCAAATGACCTCCGTACCTCACGGAGATCAGGTCCCTGAGTTTCTTGGAAAACGGAACCACCTCAGCTTTAGTCCGACCCAAGGGAAAAAAGGCAACCACTGCACCAAACAATGACGGTGACTTTGCGGATGCAGATGCGCCCCACGAGAAGGACAGTTTGCGTTCGGGCAAAACATCTCTTTCGATACCCGATGCACTTTCTTCGAGAGCTCCCTCCAAGGTATGGTAGTCTTTTAGGTGCATCAAAGTGGCATTGTTCGTGTCCCCGCCTTTCAGTATCGAGTCCAGCTTCAGTGAACTGCCGGCCGACAAATCGTTCTGCGACAACGAATTTCCACGCAGCCCCAGAATTTGTCCGAGGTCGAGCAGTGCCGGTTTTCGCCGCGCCTTCGCAGAGCTCGTAGAAACAGATTCTCCAAGCATGTCATCTGCTTGAACAACATCTTGCAAATAAGCAAGGCCGGAATCTCCTGGCCCTTCCGCCATGCGAAGAGCGGCTGGGGGCACGTCGTTTGCCAAAGACGTTAAAAATTCCTCGAAATCATCCTTCCCTCCAGATCGACGGCTTGGCGAACCTGGTAATTCGTTGACGCCCATCGCACTCCCCAAAAGTAGGTCCAAGTCAGCTTCAAGTCGGTCCGATGTCGGCTCGTCGGAACGAACAGGCAAACCCACGACGGGGCGCATTTCCTCAGGAGTTCTTACATTCCCCGCTCCACGAAGCAAGCTATCTAAAACGTTGTCTGGTGATGTCGGTGCAACATTGCAACTCCTTGATGTCGGCCCGATGTCGGCACTCATCAGCCCATTGAAACCGACGGGCAAACCCACAGCAGGGCTTCCTGCCTCGGGAGTTTTTGTTACATTCCCCGCTCCACGAAGCAAACTCTCTAAAAAGTCGTCCGTCGACGTCGGCGCGACATCGGCACTCTTCGGCGTTGACCCGTCTGCCCCCGGACCGACGTTGGCGGTCTTCGAAACCACTTCGATGCAAGATCTTTTCCCCATTGCACCGGTCTCAAATCGACCGCACGTTGCAACCGGATGAGGCTCCTCCACGAACGCGAGCGTGCCCCGCTCTGAACCGCGCACAGTACAGTCACTTTCAGGTTCGGATCCAAAAACGGGAGCGGCACGTTGCTCCTGCCCGTCAGTTCGCCCCAACAAAGTTGCGAGGTCAAGTCCACAACCATCGGAGGGCACCGGCTCGACAGTCCGAGACGACACCCTGTTGCCGTTCGCGCCCAAGTCGGCTAAACTCGCAGCGTCACGACGCAAATTCCGTCTTTCCTGCGTATATGCGCGTTTCGACGACCCCGCCAGTGCACCGAGGTCGAAATCGACATCGGCCGACGGTTGGCTCTCGACGTCTGTGAGCTCGGGCAAAGCGAGAGCGGTGTCAGAGTCATCGCAATCCGATTCTTACCTTGCAGGTGGCATGTTCAAGTGATGAGGAAAAGCAGATGGGAGACACGAACAGGCAATGATGGGGCGATGATGTGCAATGAAGTCGTGCGGCAATCATGAAAGAAAGCAGAATGGGTGGGAAGAGGCAAGGAGAAAGAGAACAAAAAAAGCCCATAGTTAGTTTTGAAGCCACCTTTCATGACTCGCATGCCCGCACATGCAATGTGACTGTGGAAGCAAACAGCCCGTTGCAGCTTTGATTAAAGCCGGGCATACACAAATGATAAAAAGCACCAAAACGTAAAGGGTCTCAATGTTAAATAGCTACATTCTAATTTTGTTTTTCGGAGGTGCCCCTCAGTGGTCCCATGAAGAATGTTCCAGAACATCGGCATGTTATATCTAAGGTTCCGCATTTTTGGATAATTCCGAAAGGCTCCGAGAAACACTTGCCGGTGAAATTTTTGTGAATTTGTATTTATCCAATAACCTCCAAACTTCGAGATCACAGTGTTTAAAGAAAAGTAATCTACAAATAGGTTTCATACAGGGTCAGTCAGTGATCCTGAGTAGAGGCCACTCCAATTTCCTTTCAAATAACCGACTACTGACAAAACAAAAAAAAGTCTACTCTATATACCCTCAGATTTTTCATTCAGGACAATGGGTCATAGTAGTTCTGGGCCATGACAAAAGCCACTTCTCCAGTTTTCAGTTTGGACTCTACTATTTGTGCTTCTTAGAGGAAGGAGGGGGTTCTGTTTTCTAAGACTGAAAGCCATGAGCTCGTACAATTCATTGGAGAGCTGAAATCCCTTCAGCACTCCATTCTGCGCAGCAGGCAGAGTGGTGGAATAGCACGGGAAAGAAACGAGCTTCCCAGCCACTACGTTCACGAGTTTACTGATTTGAAAGTATCAACGTCTATCGAAGCAACAGTTTTTTTTAAGTTTTATCGTGGGAAGTTAGTAATATAAATGGCAAGGAGACAAACACCAAATCCACCTGGAAAAATATTATTTGATACATGCGAGCTCTTATGAACTTAGTGCGCTTTAATGCCCGAATATATCTCTTTATGTTTTGAATATTGAACAATTGGGAAGACAGCAAAATAAACTCAGAAAAGTGAAAATATTAAAAAAACAATTACGATAAACACCGTCTGAATTTCACAAAAAATAAGTTCCGAAGATACACAATCCTGGTCATATCTCACCTTCTTAGAGGTCCATCAATGTCACTAAACTACCATATAAAAACAATAAAATAAAAGCTAACATAAAAAAAAAATACTTGCCCAGATTTGCTTGGCGAGACTGACTAAACAGGATCCAAGACCTTGGCCCGCAAACAAAAAAATCAGCTACCCTTTCTTCTCGCCTCATCTTTAGTAATGCTGCAACATTAGGATATTACATTCAAGCGTCCTGACTACTTCCTTTGTTTAGCTACATTGCTGTTGACAACATAAAACAAGCCAAGATGGAAGAAAACCATGAAGCAAAAGTACCATCAGTGGCAAAATGAGTTGGAATGGTGCAGTGCCTGCTGAGAAGCACTGCACATCTTCTAAAAAGCAGACAACGACAGCTCGTGAATTTTGGAACATGCGCAAACATCTTTGGCGACACGTTGATTCATTACAAACTGCTGCACGCACAAGCTCTGTCAACTATCTCCACAGTTTGTTAGATGCCACAGCTGTACTCCGTTCACCCGAAAGCTGAGACTGCAGCCAATTCCACAAGCACAAGAGCTCGAGGTTGCTGCTTTAAAGTGCCCTTTCACAAAACGTGCACTCGGAAATGCACGTCTCAAAGCGAGAAGTGCAAGCTCGCTCACGCTTGTAGCTTTGGCTGCAGTCTCAGCTTAAGGGTGAACAGAGTATAGCACCTGTCAGTCGCCACTGAAGTTCCACGTAAACACATGTAAATGAGGAACATCTGCTTTTCGTATGTTAATTATATTTAAGTTCATCAATGTTAGTATGATTAACATAATAATGCTGATGAAGATGTAAAATCTATCGTAAATGTGTTTGTGCAGCAATGAAAACCACGCACCTCGTCTGCGTTCCCGTGGTTCCCGCTGTGGCTTTGGAGCATCCGCCTCTGCAAAAATGTGGCGTACGAAATTGGAGACATTAAAACATTTTTCTCCTCTCAATTAAAGAAAAAACATCTCAGCAGCTTCCTAACATTTCCATGTTTCAGGAACATGTTTGTTTGGGAAGCACTGAAAGCCAAATAACCTAAATCATGCTATACAGTTAGTTTATAGCTGCATTTTCAGGCTTCACGAAGCTACGTGGGACCTAAAAATATATGAGGAATGTTTTATCGAGAAATAAGGCACTTGATGTTCAAAACAAGCTGTTTACAAGGGCACATTCACCGAGGAAGAAAAGGGTCTCCACATCTTCACGACACCTTTGCACTACTTAGTTACATCGTACCATCAAAAATCAATGCACCGTTTGCAATGAAAGACCGAATAAATCCCATCCCATAAAAAACGTGTTTTTGTCAGTTATACTATGATTTGCTCGAATACACACACAGAGCTCTTTCCTGATTAATACCTGTCACATAGAGTACCTATATAGTGAGTACAGAAAGGCCAAGAGCTGAAGACCAGAAAGACCAGTAACCAAGTTTTCTACTTATTGAGACAGCAAAATAATCTTCAAAAAGCACAAACCAGCCTTGAGGCCTTGCGTTCCTTTACAATAACACGAAACCGAAAAAGACGTCAAGAACCATTTGCTATCCTCTGTAACATCTGTCATTTCCCGTTTTTTGTTTAACAGTTCCAGCCCTAGCGCCCTCGCTTGTATCGCTACTATACCCACGTTTCATTTTTTCACGTCTGTATAATGCGCACAGCCATCAAGCCACAATGGACAAAACAACCACAGCTAAAACTGCAGGGGTGTCCAACCCACCGTAAAATGGGCATGTAAAAAAATATATAAACAAATTATTAACTTAATAAATTAATTTTGATGGATGAATCAATGACTGTGCAAGAGGGAAGATATACGCATGGCCGCACCCGAGAGCAACTTGTCAAGGGCTGTCTCTGCGTTGAAGTCCCACTCCAGGGCAGCGCGGCGGAGGGTCGCCTCTGGGATTGAGTCTCCCACGACGTTCTGCATCTTCTCCAGGCACTCGTATAGCCTCACTGCAAAGGCGTCGGGTCGAGCGAGGATGAGGCAGACCGACAACATACCCGACATTAGAGTCAGCTTCCCGGGTAGCATCCCAGAGAAACGCACAACTTGGCACAGTGGCGTCGCTAGGAAGGGGGTGGGGGGAGTGGACCACCGCCCCGGATGCCGCTGATTCTGGTGACACCACTGACTTGGCACAAGCTTTGGCAATCCTAGGGGCCTAGCATGGGGGCCTAATACGGCTTTGCTGCAGGGCATTAGCTAGTGCTAGAGTACTTTGAAGTTTCTGTGGCGCTTCTTTCTGGCTCGACACAGAGTGGCCAAAGTGCCAGACTTGAGCCAAAGATGCCACATACACGAACCAAAGAACCGGCGGTGAAGCCTAACTCTGGCACTTGCTGGGCAATTTAGGCCTGACATTGCCACATGGAAACCAAACAACCAGAAGCGGAGCCCAACCCTGGCTCCTGTTTGGTGATTTAGGCCCAAAGATGCCAGGTGACAGCCAAACTACCGGCAATGCAGCCCAACTTTGACATCTGTTCGGCGACGTGGACTCTAGCCGGATGAGGTAAAGTTTGGCTACACCTTGGCTTCTTCGGGCTTTCTAAGGCTATAAATTGCCGGACAAACAGCAAATTCTGGCCCAAAGAACTGCACTTCCTGGGTTACGGCCACGTTTCGTTACCGTTGACCCCATTGATACAGACGCCACTTACTTGAGGCGCCACCTCCCGACGGGTGTGGCGAGCGGATGACGCACTCTGTTGTCTGTTCGCCACGCTCGTTGGGAGATGGCGCCACAAGTAAATGGCGTCGCCAGCTCGGTTGTCTGCGGACGCGCTCGACTTTGATTTTAGCGAGTCTTTTGTTCTCGTTTTCTAAGGGAACAGAACTGCGCCTTAAATTTCACCTGGTAAAACTGGCCTGCTCGGTGCGCGTGCGGTAAAAGTTTGAACTTTCTACGGGTGGGCGCCGATTTTTCCGGCTCGTTTTATGGTGGAAGGTTTACTTGGGACACCCTATCGATGCATCACTAACACAAAGTTTGCGGGAACGAGCCGGGTAAATATGTGCTTTTTAACTCATTTGTTATAGACATTTTTTTATTTATTTTTTTTTTTGGGGGGGGGGGGGGGGGAGTGGTCGGTATTTATATTAACTCTTGCCTAATAATAATGAGCGTTGGTCATGCCACCCTTTACGAACCATAAAGCCCGACCACGAGTGTGACTCATGCTTCAGTTTCGGCACTTGTTTGGCCCACTCTCTGGCAGACGGCAGAACCACCCTTGTTGCTCCGTGTTTGCTTGTTCGTTTTTCTTTTTAACAAAAAATAGTAAGCATTTGTAAGCACTTGAGTTAAACTAATGTGGCTTTAACAGGGAGGTCTGCTTCGGCCAACGAAGAGATACAAAAAATTATTTTTGAAGTTGATGAATGCTCGGGCATATTTGAAATCACACCCACTAAGAAAAATAAACCGATGCAGGCGTGCTAAGTATGCACAGCCAACAAGAAACGACATGGGAGTATAGACAGTGCAAGCGGCTCTCCACCTTTCTGAACGTTTTCAGAGCTATCAAACTGTGGAGTATGAATGAAGAGGCCCAGAAGATCAGACGTGCTGATTTAGAGCAAGATACAACACCTGGAAGTCAGGAAATGTTTTTCTTTTATTATAATGCAAATTGCCTGTTTAAAATAAAGTTTTGCAGTACATTCCTTTCAGAAAGAAAAATGAGTAGGCAAGGGGTTAACAATATCTAGCTGCATGCAAAGAGGCATTCAGGGGTACAAGAATCAAGGAAGGCACCAAATTCTATAAGGGCCTCTCAGTCCCTTACCTACTATGGGAGGCAATATTAATACACAGTGCATAAAGCATGTGAATCCATTCCTATTTGACCCCAAAAACAATTATGAGGTAAACTGAGTTTCCCACCTTCTGGACACTGTGGAGTCCCTTATTTTTAGCAGCCCCAATTTTTGTGAATCGGGCAGAGGGGTCATATTTGCTACCATTATATTTTGTGAATTCTAAAGGCTGGATGCACCTCTCTAGACAAAAGAAATATTTGAGCACCCTTAGAGTTTGCACCCCCAAGCTTTTTCAATTCTCTAACATTAACAGTTGTGAATACTCCATTTTGCAAAATCATTTACGAGAATCAGGGAATAAATCTTTTTATATCTTATCATTATTTCCTACATTTATTTGAAACATGAAAATCAATTCACATAAAACAAATGTATCTCCATTCCATACAATGCAGGCTTCTTATATGAAATAAGCCCACACATGCTGGATTTGGAGAAGTTGTTCTTGCACAGGCTACCAGAGACAAGGACCATTTAAACGAGGTCTATGCTCCGTTTTCTGTGCTTGGGTGACAATTAAAAGACTGCAACGTTTTTCCCCTACCGGGAGTTGAACCCTGGACCTCTGGATCATCAGCCCACTGCTCTACCAATTGAGCTATCCCAACAGAATCAAAAAGCACGACAAGGAGGCTATTATTGGTGATGCTTGCAAAAAGGAGCTGCTTTAGCAGGCATGTAGGCAATTTAGCATCACCCCTCCCCTCCTCTTTCCCTCCCTCCCTTAATGGTCATAACGAGAAATAAACCGAAAGAAAAATTGCTTTAGAGCAAGCTGATAGCTTCCATGCACTTAAATGGTCAGGTTTCCCTGCAAAATCTATTCAGTCATCCTTCCCTCGCAAAATTTGAGAAGAAAATTCTGGTGAAACATTAATTAAACTTTGCAACTGAGCAACTGTAAACAAAGAACCCTATACATAGGGTTCTTTGTTTACAGGTTTTATTTTTATTTTCACGTCCGTGACATCATTTCCTGAACTTTTGTTCAATTTAATGTCACTCTATTAAAAAATACTTTTTTCTATTTTTCTTCAAATTAGTTTAGGCTACGACCCCACAACGGAAAAGTACACAAAAGAAAACCAAGGTTAAGCCGGATGGCCCCAACAGGGAAATGGGCAAAAACCTATGAAGACTTTGGGAGCTTTGAACCCCTAAACTAGGGGGCACAAAGGAGAAGGTCAACCATAAACAAGGACACATAAAGGAACCTTCGGAACAAGATAAAACTTAGCAGACATTAAAAAAATAGTCAATGACAAAAATAAAACCAAAAACAAAGAGCCCTATCTATACATGAGTTGCACATAATATCACTGCATTGCACCAATGATCATTCCCAGTTGTCCTTGCCGAGAGCAAAAAAAACCTGCCAAAGTCAAGGTTGGACAAGTTCGCAGAAAACCGAGTTTGCGACGCTATCTACTTGTGGGGTTATCTCCTGGTGGACGCAGCGAGCAGAGAACAGAGCGCGTCGTCCGCTCACTGCACCCAGGTAGTCACATTTTATAATCATAGTGATTGCCAATTGTGCCTGCCCTGCAATAAACCCTTTTCAAAAGTGCACACCATATAGTAGCTGCTGCGCACCCTACCGGAGTCCACCATTGTTTTGGCACATACCCCGAGCATGTACGTGGAGCGCAAGTTTGTCTGTTTTGCAGGGGTCGCGGTAATGTCAGAACGCAGAATTCTGATTGGCTCTGAGTGGAAGGATAGTGGGTAGACCTCAAAGCAAGCTGCCTTGAGGTCTACCCCTTATCCCTCAATCAGAGCCAATCAGAGCTCGGTGTTCTGGAGTCACCACATCCCCGCAAAAGAAGCAGACAATTAAAAACTTGTGCCGGCTGCGTACAATCCAATTACAAGCCTCATATCCAAAAAAAGACGAACACCAATGTTTCTCAATGAGTTCTGAAAAGGGTCTATTAGGCACCAAAATGACAGCGCTCACAAGAAGTTTGAGGAATGAAGTGCCAAGGCTCCAAGCGTAGCTTCTTTGATGGCACTAGGTGAAACAAATGACTACCTTCGTCCACAGGGCTGAGGGTAGACTCGGGTCCCAGCAGGCCACCAACCTCTTCCCCTTTGGATGGGCCCTCTGCCTCCTCTTCGTCCTCATTCTCCTCCTTGAGCACGCCGGGAGACAGGAACGATGACATGGAGTGCAGCTTCTCCCTGTTGTAGAGGAACTCTTCCTCTGCGGAAGTGGAGCGGCGGAAGATGAGCTCAGCTCCTCCAGGTATGAACACCTACTGCAAAATGGACGCTCCACGAAAGCGCACCACGCTCCGATACTTTGTCGTCTACTGGCAAGCAGACGACAGAGCTGTTGTTTCCTCTGCAGAAGCAGAGTAGTAGGAGATGAGCCCCGCTCATCTGGGCACGAATGCTTTCTGTGAAATGTACGCTACATAAAACCTCATGCACATCAAAGATGCTCACCTCACTCCACTATTGCGACGCCTGCCAGCAAGCATTTGCTGCCTTCTCCGCGGAAGCGGAAGAGCAGGAGTTTCGTCCAATCGCTGCGCTGGTTACCCACAACAATTTTCCGTGTCCCTTTTAACAACCAGAGATGAGGTGAGCCCGTCCAGAAATGTGAAATGCTCCATAAAACCTTGTGCGTGCCAAGGGTGAGATGTGTGTTTTTGGCACCACACTCCACTACTGCGCCGTCTGCTAGCGAGCATCGGCTGATATATCGACCAGTCTATTAGCAGACGACACAGAGGCGGGGAACAACGCAACAAGTGCAATTCTTGTCATCGGCACGACCACGCTTTGAAGAGCATTCGGTCGGTGGCATTAATGCTGCTGCTCACATTGGCAGGGACAACTTTGCTGACTTCATTTGACACCTTGCAAGTGCTTAAAATTGTGTCCTCATTAGCTCTATGAAATAACAGTACTGGCACACATTGACTACAGAACTGCCCACGAGACGCATACTCGCCTGTGTTCGGAGAAATGCATGAGTCCTCTTCCTGTGAGCGACCATACACGTCGTAGTAGCCTTCATAGTCTGAGGAAAGGAAGCAAAAAATTTGACATGGATGGATGGATGCTAACGGCCGTACCCTTTATAACGGGAGGTACCTTGCGCCACCTAACCATTAATTTTTTTTTTTTTTTTTTTTACGGTAGCTGTATTTAGTACAATAACAAAAGGGAAAACCAGTTAGAAGTGGGTACCAATGCATTGTTATTATACCTTCCAGCTGTTCAAAAAGCTGTGACAAATCATAATCACAAAATAAATTTTAAGAAAAGAGGCGTGCGTTCATAGCGAGGAACGCGATGAGACAGCCCTCAACGCACTCAACCAAGGACAGTGCTCACTTTGCTCCTGCTTGGGGTGCGTGAATATTTTTAGTGCTGATTCCAGTAGCAGACGAGCACAACTCCATTTTGATAGAAAAAAAACAGAAAAATCAATAAAACTAAATTCGATGGTAATCTTTATTGAATAAAGATCGAGAGAAGTCTACCGTGCCAACTAACGCAACCATACTCAAGCGATCTGTGAAATTTGATCCGATGAGTCCAAGTTAGTTGGTTGACGTTAGTACGATACACTACGACACGATACGTATAAATTGACGTAAAAATGGCCCGACAATTAATCTGTTTTCACGCAACGCACACCTGAAGATATGCAGAAAATCTTACCGTCATCGTAGTTCATAGTCCGAACATTGCGATGTCGAGACATCGTGAGTGCGTCGCGTGACGGCAAGAACCGTTGCTAAAAGTTCCTAGTTTGCACAGACAAGATGAAACAAATCGCGCAAAGTCCTGAGCATTCCGAATCCAAGCTGGGACACATTGCTGCCATTTCCCGATGAATTGAAACACGCCTACACAATTCACGCCCGAAACACACACACGCTCACGCACGACGATCAACCACAGATCAAATGCGACAACACAACACCAAAATGGCGGAGCCCAGTGTGGTTAGACCGGGGAAGTCGAAAACTTTTATCCTGCTAAATACAGTGAAACTGGTTTTGTGCCTGTTCTCTTCAACAAGGGTTCTCTTGGCCACGTGCTCTTGGCAAAATAAGGTTAAAGAAAATTAGATTAAACTTTTTTTTAAATTTATTTGATAAGCCTGAGGAGCATAAAAGGTGTCATGTGTGCAATATGCGTGCCTTACGATTTGTTATGCTCGGTTACCGCACGATCGTCCGACGTTTCGCATGATGTGCGAAGTGTCTCATACTGTCGGTGGTGACGTCAGCTATATCACGTGATGCGATATAGCTGATGTCATGAGAAGTTTATCTCGCTGTTTATCGACTCCGGTGTGAAGTCATGACGTCATACACCTGCTGCACAAGCATCACTAGATTAGGTCAGTTGTGGAACTTCCACAGAGGGGAGTGATGCCGTGATGCCCCCACTCACTTCAGTCCGCCTACCGTATAGCCTACCATCATTTGAAACGCCATCTAGGTTGTCAGTGCAAAACTGTGCATTTACAGAGAGTGCGGTACGAGCTGCGCATGCAAGTCTTTTCTGCGGTAGCGCATGCGCAATTCGTATCGGAGGGCTTATCATACCGTATCGGACGTGTGATAACGGTTTCTTAAAACTTTCTATCCATTCCAGAGAATACATTGCACTTACCGTAGCAGCCACCCTCCGGTTGGCGGCATGTCGAACGACGGGACGTCGGTACCGCTCGTGCAAGCAGCGTCTATGGGCAGTTCCGTAACTGAGCTAAATCTAGTAACGTTTTGTGGTGAACTCTCCACTGATGTCATGGTCTGTCCCGTCATGCGAGATCGTGTGGGGGGACTAGGCTTCCCCATTCGAGGGCCAACCGCGGGCACCTGCAGTCAACTCCTACCGGCGACTGCCGGCAAGTGAGTCATAGAGATGGTGCCTGCAGTGTGTCTCCAACTGGTGTATTTAGCATCCCATGCTGTTCATGCATCGAAAGTGGTCCCGAAGTGGCACCAAACGACACCAGGAAAGCTGGAGTGTCACGCTGTCGGACGTCATGATCCTGGCAATTGGTCGCAGAAATGCCGGCGAAAGAGCATGTGAGTGTCACCGTCGTCGCAGCATCCCGACTCCTGGCTGCCGAAGCTTTTATCGACTGTCCAGCTGGAGAGCGACCCGCAGCAAAACGGGCATCTGCTGCATCAACCACCGCTGTTGCGACACTGCGAGGATCGCAGCCGGCAACAGCGTGACATATGACGTCGACAAGCGGAAATCGAGAGGCCATTTGGTGAATCTCGGTAGTTGCGATTAGTTATAATTACCAAGCGTGCCTTTTATATTGTGCTTTGGATGCTTACTAGTGATGCAAAATTATTGATAAATTGACTATCGATACTATCGATAGTTTTTCTAAAACTATTGATAGTCCCACAGAACTATTGATAGTACTATCAATAGTTTTTCGATAGTCTACTACCCATAATACTATCGATAGTTTTAGAGCGCAGCTCTTAGGCGCCCGTTTCCGGCTTGAGCGGCGTCGCCGTCGGCGTAACTGCGCGGTGCATTGTAGGTAAATTTCCCTGCTAAACTTAGCAGAAAAATTTTTCTGCTAAATCTAGCGGAAAAATTTCCCTGTTAAATCTAGCGGAAAAACTTTCCCGCTGAATCTAGCGGAAAAATTTACCCGCTAAATCTAGCGGAAAAACTTCCCCGCTAAATCTAGCGGGAAATTTTATCCGCTAAATCTAGCGGAAAAATTTCCCCGCTAAATCTAGCGGAAAAATTTCCCCCTATGAATCTAGCGGAAAAATTTCCCCGCTAAATCTTGCGGAAAATTTTTCACGCTAAATCTAGCGGAAAAACTTCCCCACTAAATCTAGCAGAAAAATTTCCGCTCTAAATCTAGCGGAAAAGTTTCCCCGCTAAATCTAGCGGAAAAAGTTTATCCGCTAGCGGGAAAATTTCTCAAGAGGGGTCACGTGACCTCAAGAGAGGGGGGGGGTCACGTGACCCCCACATGGACCTTCCTACCCCGAGGTCATGTGACCCCACCAATATCAAGTGACCTCGAGGGGTCACGTGACCCCCCCCCCCCCCCAAGAACACGTGACCCTCAGTACCTTTCCCTCCTCCTCCTCAAGAGCTGCGCTTTAATTCGGTGTTACAGGGAGTTGTAAACGGCTTTCATTTCTTTTTACTATTGATAGTCAAATTTCTGGCGACTATCGATACTATTGAGAGTACAATCGATAGTTTTGCACCACAGTGGTAAGTGCTTGGGCTAGTTGGTGTCCCATTTACAAAAAATAAACCGAGAAAAAGAGAAGAGGGATCGATGCAAACTACAAGTTTCGCAAAACTATCGATAGAAAACCATCGACAGTGCTATCGATAGGTTTACAATAGTTGACTATCGATAGTACTATCGATAGTCGACTATTGATAGTACTATCAATAGTTTTTCGATAGTCGACTATCGATAGTTTTTCGATAGTCGACTATCGATAGTTTTTTTAACTACCGATAGTACTCTCGATAGTTTTGCACTACTAATGCTTACACATTACCCGCTATGGACTACGGAGGTTGCCTTGACCTGCATGTGACAATTCTGTGTTATGCTCGAGTGCGACGCTTTTCACACGAAATTCAACCCTTAAAGGGCCCCTAAAAAAGATGTTTTCTTTAAACAGTCTGATTGAGACACAAGTGTCAAAAAAAAATAATTTTACGCAAAAAAAACAAAACTTTTTTGAGCAATATTGTTGCGCGCGCAGCTGACCAAGTAGGCAGCGCGCCCGTGGCCTAACGGTTTGAAATCGTTAGGCCACGGGTGCAAGTAGTAGGTCGCACTTATAGTACGGGTGCAAGTAGTAGGTGGAACAAGTAGGTCGCGCCTGCCTTCCACGCAGAAGGCCAGGGTTCGATTCCTGGCCGTGGCTACACATTTTTGTTGACTCTGTAATGTAATGTTCTGGTAAATTCGAGAACAGTCTTGCTGATTCGAGGTTAGAATGTTCTACGCACCGATCCTTCTACGCCAAATGTTCCCGAAGCCCACGTGTGTACAAAAGGGGCTCCACGTGGCAAGCTGGGGTCAGTCTTGCCCCAGTGTTCGACCTTGCTGTTACGCCGTCATCGACGCCTGCGACGCTCTATTGTTATCTTCTGTTCCCTTTTAGAGCGCAGTTCTTAGGGGCCCGTTTCCGGCTTGAGCAGCGTCGGCGTAACTGCGAGGTTACGTGATCCCCCTGACGTCACATGACCCCCCCCCCCCCCCCCCCGAAGTCACGTGACCTCAAGGAGTCACCTATCCCTCAATACGCTTCCATCCTCCTCCTGAAGAGCTGCGCTCTAATCCGGCATTACAGGGAATTGTAAACGGCTTTCATTTTTTGTTGTGGGCACAAGTTTCCCCATTGAACGCTTAGTTTACTTCAGTTTTCGTTGCCTCATCACCTGTCATTCGTGACAATATTGACGGCGCGAGATGAGATTTAGTTGGCAGTCACCTCCTTTCCACTTGGTTTTCTCAGAATTTTGGGTGCATGGAGCAGAGGTGGATCAGCTTCGTTTTTACGTTCAGGTGGAAAGACCGAATGACCATCTCGTTGAGCGAATGACCATTCAGTGATGTCATAACTTAGCGCACAAAATTTCTAATAAATCTCTTACCGTCATTATTGTTGCAAAAAAATATTTTGTGTAATTAGTTTTTTGTTACGCATGTCCCAACCAGACTGTTTAAAAAAACTTTTTTTTCTTTTTAGGGGTTTTTTAATTAGACTTTGTTACAATTAAAAAAAAAAAAAAAGTGTAACAGCCTTGATATACTGTCGAGACCAGTTATAACAAAGTCGGTTATAATGAAATAGCAGCTACAGCAAAGCGATCACGATTTCCCATCCTGGTTTGCACTTTTTAATGCATTTGTGTCTGTTCTTAGTGAAGGAAATGGAGCAGCTCCCGCAGATAAAGCGAAGAGAAATTTTGTGATATATTACAAGAAGAATAAAATTCTGAAAGTTTACCAAGTCTTACATCACCGCACTTTGCTGCCACGGCCAAGAAGCCACCCAGAACAAGCTACAGAAGATGCTGGAAAGGCCGCTGGCGGCAGTCTCAGTAACCTCGTCAGCTCCCAGCTCATCTGGGAAGCGGCTTTACTGCATCACACGTGGAGAAGCCGTCATAGCATGCCAATAGGGGCATTCGGAGCGCTAGTGATAACGTACCGGTTTAGATGATGGGGAGAGCCTAGATTTAAGAAAGGGAGCAGCAAGTATATCTGCATTTGATTGTTGCGTGGACAGTGTGGCGACGAAACTGGGGGTAGAAGCAGACACATTGGCAGAAGGTGAACGCTTTTGAGTTTTGACTCCTTGCATGCTGCAGCTCGTTTTGATAACGCGGCCCACAAGCCACGTGACCCCGACCAGGCAGTTGCCCCATCTTTTAAATCTAGGCTCTAGTATATACCGACGACAGACAACCTTAAGCGCAAGCTCAGTGCCGTGCGCGCTTCGTTTGCTTTGTGATCCGTGTCGGCGTTTGGTTGGTGAGGTTACTCTTGCGCGAAAGTCTCCTTTGTTCAAGCACCGATTCGGCGAATCATCGCCATTCAACAATGGGAGTTCCGGCACCGCGGCGCCGGCACTTCAACGGGGAAGAAGACAAAGACAATCTCCTCGAATCAAAAGTGTGCCATCCTCGACAGGGTGCACATAAACGTAAAGAATGCTGTCCACCGTCGGCGTCCTCCACAGGGTTGTGGCTGCTGTAGACATGGTCCGTACGTAACGAAAACATTCTTCGATCAGAGCTTCTCGCAGTTGGCGAGAAGCTGCTCCGATCTAGCAGAAGGCGCGTGCAGGGAAGCCTTGACCGCTCTCTGCAGGCTCGATAAACATGTGACATCCCATGTTATCTTTTTTTTTTTTCATGTTATTTGTACGCGTTTATATATAACGAAGAAGCGGATATAGCGAAGCGATTTCCGGTTTGAAGGTGAACATTTGAGAGAAGTCTCTCTGGTTGGGGAGCAACAATAATAATAAATACCAACCAAATCCTCATATAAAGGCAAAACTGTACGTTTCGAGACCAGCTCGGTCTCTTTTTCAGGGGTTGACTGCGGCTATGGCCGTTGAGGAGCAGTAATCTGTTTCCATTGACTTCTCTATAACCAGTGTCGACAGTATACCGTGGTCTTTAGTGCACCCTTTTCCCCTGTCCACTAATGCTCCCCCCCTTCCCCGAATATTTGTTTTCTTCTATCACGAGCTTGAAGTGCTGTTGTCTCGAGCAGTTCTTGAAACATTCTTGTGATTGAGCAAAATAAAATTTATTGTACAACCTCCTGCTAAAACAGCTTCCTGGAGAGGTCACATGAATTCGTCTGAATCATAGTCTGCCTCCTGCAAAGAAAGAGAACAAACTTAGATTTGAACGTTTCACTGCTTACTAGCCATACTACCGTACATCATCAAAAATGATCACAGAACTCACCTTGTTTGATTTCATATTTTCTTCTTTCATCAGGTTGTTGTAGCTCCTAAAATACAAAAAGAAAAAGAGATGTTACAACAAATGCTCACATGAATCCATCCCACAAAACCATCACTCCATGTCCTAAAGGCAATGGTTAATCTGTGCTGCAAGTTAGCTTTCTCATTTCTTAAAATATTGTTCCACACAACGGATGAAAACAAAGTATTAAAGAATCAATGAAGAAAGCACACTGCTTTCAAATGTCTTTAGAGCTAGCCCCAAATAAGTGGACGTAACTCTTATCCAAGTGCTGCGATCGCAAACTATGTATAATGTGTTTAAAGTTAAAGCCAGGATCACACGAAAATCCAAGAATTCCTTACGATCCTCATGGCTCTATAAAGAACCCACCCTAATAAAGGATGTCTCAATGTCTATGCATCAACCTTAGAATGGTGACATCAAACAATTTTGTATCATGACGTCTCTTTCTCTTCACAGCTCTGGAGCATCTGAATGCGCGCCTCTCGGCTCAAACAGTAATGGGTGGTGTTTTGCCACCACTTTGTCGCACCCCATTTCTTTGCCTGTTTCCTGTCGCTGCATGCCATCGGCATCAGATGATACAAAGAATGTCGCCGCCTTAACAAGGAACATACTGAAGCACCATAGCCTGCTCACATAAAGTGTATGACGTTAAGCCACCACTCCGCCCAACCGGAATGTCACGTGACAGGCTCAAAGCCACAGATTGGTTAAGATAGCTCGTAGCATCCGCTGGGGTACATTCTAAGGTGAAATCAAGAAAATTAAAAGAGGATCTATAGGCGGATACCTAGGGAATGCGTTAGCATGACCCTTGAGAAACGCCATACACGTCCCCCTTCGGGAAAGGCTAGAGCTGACCCCTTCACTTCTCTGTTCTGGCTTTCTCTTTTGCTTCCTCTATTATTTGCTGCCTCTTTTTGGCTTCATTAGAAGGTCAGCATTAGCGTTTCCCAAAGGGGGACGTGTGTGGAGTTTCCCAAGGGTCACGCTAATACATTCCCTAAGGATCTAACAATGGATCGTCCTTCCATTTTTTCCGGCCTTGGGGGTTCTCGTTCGTCTGCCTGCACGGTTACCAACGGCATCCGCCGCTCGACGCTACTTTCGCTGCTCACCAGTTTCGGCAGCCCGCCTCCTTCGTTCACAATCCGTCTCCTTTTGCCACCTACTTGGACCAGCGCTGGCACTTGGTTCACACTCCATTTTGTAGCACAAACCAAGGCCTATGTGCCCTGCGCACTTACAAGCTCGGACTCGCCCAAGCATCCGCACGTGCTTGGGCTTCCGCCCCGTGATGTCGCCTCCCTCTTGCCACTGTCCTTCACTACTCTCCTCCTCTCAACATGGCGTGCTTCCCTTTCCAGTGTTTTGTCCACAGACAGACGCCGCCAGCATTTCCCTGTCATGCGGGCACTAATGCTAACTCATTAATAGTTACCGCTAGTCACTAACTACCGTAAAATACAGAGGAAGTGCTCACCCCGTTTTCACTGAAAACTAGGTTAATCTAGATATGGGCGCTTGTTGCACAAGTTCTGGAAATGATAACGGCGGGCGCTCGTACGAAGTGTACTTCAAGGTGAGCTGCACCTATCGGTACTCCGCCGTCCAATTTTCTCACGGGCAGTGCCGTTTCAGTGCCCGATGCAGAGCAGGCGCCATTGGCAATCGTTACGACTAAATAAAACAGCAGCTTCCCGAGTCTCAGAGTTGGGAAGCTCGGGCGACGTCGCTTGATTCCGTCGCTTACCCTTTCCAAGCTTTCCGGAGGACGGAAAACGTTTTCCTGTGATTTCGCATAGAGCTCCCACTGACGGGCAATTATTTCGAGCACAAAGATGGCCGCAATGTCATTACTTTGAAGCATAGCTTACTTAGTGGCCCCAGTCAATGCCACCTAAAAGACAAGGCCTGCGCGCGACGTCATCGTCAGTGGGCCACCGACCCGTCCCGAGGCGGCAAACATGCAGAAGCTCGCATGAGGCGCCGCAAAGCGGCCAACACGTCCGTCTCAGCGGCAACATACCACACGCGAGCTAGGCCGCGGACCTTGACTTCTAGGTGGTACTGCTCTAGCACCGGAGAAGAAGCGCCCCGCCGCCACCCACCGACCTCTGCTTGGCTTGCTCCTCCTTCTCCTTCTGCTCCTGCTTCTCCCGCTCCTTCTGCTCCCGGAGTATCTGCTTCTTGTCCTCCCGCTCCCTGCGGTCGCGCTCCTCCCGCTCCGCCCTGAAGTCCGGCTGCCGCTCCTCCTTGGTCTTCATCAGCCGGTTGACGATCTCGTTGATCCTCTTCTCCACCCGCATGGTGCGGACCTGTGGGGAAGCGAACAATCCTTGGGACGGAGGGTACGACTCTCTCGCTTCGGGCCCGTTCACATGCTTTTGATATATCATATCACTTGATAAGATATGATAAAATATCATATCACTTGTGTTTGCTTTGGACCGAGTTTTTGTCATCCCTTACGAGAGAGCACGCTGGTGCCATCTCTGAAGAGACCCTTGAACCGCATTTCATTAGAGCGAAGGTTTTGCGGCACTTGCAAGATCAAACACACATGCTATCTACAAGAAATGGTTGTTTATAACATGATAGAAGTTTTTCGAGATGAAGAAGAAAGAATGATGCACAAAAACCCCGAAAGATGTGGATATGCCACGTGGTCCTCAGCTTCTTGATTAATGGCATTAGTGTGTCCTCTCGTAAGAAATCTTAAAAGGATTTAAGGCACATGGTCGTAAGCAGTCACGAGTGAGTGCACGAGCCCTAAGCCTTTCACACCTCGGAAAGCTTAGCTAGCTTTCTCACCAGAACTGGCACGAAGAAGACTAGACCAAAAGTTTGTCGGCATCCGCGCACAACGGTGACAATGTGATGACGCCAGCGTCATGAACAGTCTACAACTATGCGAAGTACAACGCAGCACTATCTGATGCAGCCTACAACTACGAAGCGTCTCCGAAAAAGATGATTTATAAAGCGTTTTTTTTTTTTAATTGCAAAAATAAATCCCGCCTTGTTGAATGGCCAATCACTTTTCGCCCATATGTAGCGCAAGTGTTTCGAGTCGGATGCTACCGTTTCAGAACAAACTGTTATCTTATTCGTGAGTTATCAGCAATTTTCGGAAATTTTCGACGGTAAAATGGTGGCAGACAATGCCCACAGATACGCGGGACTGAATGGTGCAAACTGCCAACACTGGGTTCCTATTTTCCGTCGAAAGTTTCCAAAAATCACTTAACATTTGAATGAGGTAACGGTTACTTACGGAACTTTGGCATCCGGTCCACACCGCTAGGGCTACGTTTGGGCAAAGACTGAGCGTTCGGCGATGCATAATGCATTTTTATTAAAACGCCGTAAACTTTCTTAGGGGGGTCACACTGTATAGGCAATATGGAAACTATGAGGTACACACATATAATGAAAGAACTAGTCGGGTAACTTATAAATTATGAACAGACATTTCCGCTTATTGCAGGCAACATGGCGTAACTTCTGGCGTTGAGGATGGTTACGAGCTACTGTCGTCATAAGATTGAACGTTGAAATGAATTCGGCGTCGCAACACACCCAGACATCCGATTTGCGGATGCATTAGCAGCTCTGTCGGCAACCTCTTCCAACATGCGTACGCACTTCGGACGTCCAGACTTCCGGCGTGGCTCGCGAGCCACATTCTATTCTTAAATTACTCTTCCGCCACCGTTCTTTGTTTCTTTTAATAAAAAAAAAAAAAAGCCAAGTGTATGGGTTACCTCTCTCTGCTTGTGGAAGCCAATCTGTCCCACTTCCATGCCGGCCGTCTTTTTCAGGTTTCCCCACATGGTGTAGACAATGTCGATCGAGTTCATCTTGTTGCCTGGACGGACGGCACAGCACAAAACAAGAGAATGAACTTTAGTAGGGTACGTTGTTGGGCTAGTTGGTTCATCTTAGTAAAATATAAAATAGCGCAACAGAAAAACAAGGACAAGAAGTATACAGGACAGGCGCTAACTTTCAACTAGTTTTATTCAGGAAAATTGAACACATACCATATACACACGACAGGCAAAGCAGCACCATGATTAATTTTTCACCCGATCACTCAAAAACTGAAATTCATTACAATGAAGAATAATAGAAGTGTCGCTGACACATGCCGTCCCACTTTTTTTGATAAAGAAAGCTTCCAATAGCTCTCGAGTGACCGTCTCTCGGCTTCTTTCTAGTATCCGTATCTGCTGAAGTCGCGGAACACAGCCACACGTATTACAATGTATTGGCAAATGCGAGCCATATTTATTTTTTACTGATAATGCGTGCTCCCGTGCTCAGTCATTGATGCACCGCCCCGTCTGGCCAATGTATACCTTTCCACAACTCAGTGGGATTTCGTAGACCACACCCACTGTGCAGTTCACGTAAGGGGTGACGTGTTTCTTATCACACGATGCTTTTGCCTTCTCATCAGAGATGCGGGCGCACAACCCAGCCAACTTCTTTGGGGCAGAGAATACAATGGGAACATCATACTTGCTTGCAACTTTCTTCAGATTGTGACCAACCTTGTGGATGTACGGAATGACTTCTGGTCTTTTTGTTCTCTGCCTCGTTGAAACCTTTCTTTTCAACCCCTTCATTTTTTGTAGGGCGGTCTCCGCCACAGAAACCAAGACCGAACACGGGAAGCCAGCCAATTCCAGTCTAGAAATTTGATATTTAAAACTAGCATCTGCCTGATGGTCACAAGACTTCAGCAGTGCAGACTCCAAGCACGAAGTTGCAATAGCCCTCTTAATGGTCTTTGAATGAGCTGAATCAAAAGAAAGTAACTCTTTCCGCGCGTGAGGTCGATACATCCAGCACACACGTCGTTCGTTGATGGTAATGTTAATATCTAAAAATTGCAAATGATTGTTGTCAGGAAGCTCATGAGTAAAAAGTAAACCTTTCCCATGTTGTTCAAAAGTCGACAGAATACTTTGTACTGTATCACAGTGCGTCACAGAGGTGCTAGTTTTTAAAAGTACAAGAAAATCGTCCACGTGTCTAAAAACCTTAAGAACAATGTCGGCGTCTAAAACATGATTCAATTCACGATCAACAGCGAACAAAAAAATGTTACAAATCACCGGAGCGACGCATGGCCCAATACAAATGACCTTGCGCTGGATAAACAGCTTGTCATCGAATGACACAAATGTGCAGTGTGTTAAATTTTCCTGAATAAAACTACTTGAAGGTTAGCGTCTGTCCTGTATACTTCTTGTCCTTGTCTTTCTGTAGCGCTATTTTATATGTTTTACTAAGAGAATGAACACGTGCGAGTGCGGTCGTAGCCTCAAGGCTAGCTACCGCACTTGCGACTTCTCGTGACAGAGTTTTCGTGATCTCTTTCGTGATTTTGTTTGCGACATGTATCCTTTGTTCGAGGGCATTTTCAACACCTCCCTTCATTGGCCACCAGAAGGCCACCACACAAGCCAGGCACTAAAATGATGGTTGTGATCAAGGTGGCCAGACTGAATTTTGGGAAGTGTCTATTGCAAGTGTGTGAACAGGCCTTTAGAGGTTCATTGTGAAGCAGGCCAGAATCAAGAGTCTTTCTGGCTAGTTAGCATATAAACAAAAAATTATGGCACCAGAAGTTTCTATAATTATTGAATATTTTTTTTTAATCCCGAGAACCATTTGAAGTGCGACATGCCCACTCTTGAGAGTGATGATGAGCAGGTATCCGTTTGCTCTGATCGACGCAAGACAGACGGGCATCCACCCTAGCGTTTGCCAGAGTGTCTTGACGTCTGTCTGTCCCACGTCAGTCATTCTTGAAGTGAATGGGAGGCTGCAAATCAATATTCTGAAAGCAATGTGAGCAATTGTGCTGGTATGTTTTTAAGGCTACTGTTTCATTCCTTAAAGGGAAGCTGAAACACTTCTTGAAAAAAAACGAGTTAGAGGTGAATTCTGGCGTATTTTTATCCTGTGAATCTGAATATCACTTTTGTTTTCCCTGAAGATGCAACTAAAAGCGAGAAAAAGCGAAAAAACATTCGACCAGTCGTGACGTCATACTAGGATCTTCGGGCCGCCAAGCGCGTATCGCTCGTGTGGGCAGCGCGTGCAACGGCAAGCTTGCCAGGTATATTTCCCCGCACTGACACCAGTCGTGATGTCTCTTTCTGACCTTTCTGAAAATAGCAAGAGTGCGCGTGCATAGCTTTGACAGGCGCTGAAGATGCGCGAGAGCAGAGATTCCGAAAGCTCCTAGTGTGACGTCACGCCCCGGGAAGGAGGGGCTTCGGCGGAACTTTAAAAATTAATTTCTGAAGCCTCCGTGCACCAAATTGAAAAATAATCTTGATATTCCTGATCCTGGAGGTAGAATGAAGGCCATTGAAATGTTTTTTCTCAAATAGAGAACCGCTTCAGTTTCCCTTTAAGGGGAGACGCGGGTCTTAAAATATCAAAAAATCGCGAAAAATGCCATTTTTCAAAATTACCGATTTTGAGGTCTACATAGTCCAGAGTATGTCCTCACAAAATATAAACGCTCAATTCGATCTCTAAATAAGAAAATAATGACAATTTGTAAGCGTTGACAGACCCGACTTGAAGCCTAAACTCTGAAATGTCAACAAAGTTCAAGCCGTCTGAGCTCTGCAACGGCTCAACTGATTGCAGCCATCTTGGTCTTGTTCGAAAGCTGGTTTCCCGCGCTTATTTTTTCCGCACTCCAAAGCGGCGTACCCCTCAAAGCCATGGCGTCATCGATGCCGGACGAAAGGCCTTCACCAGCGCAAGAAAGGCGCTGATTGGGCAAAGCGCGCGCTCCTCCGAGGCGCAGCTCTCTCATTGGCGAAGACGCGCGCTTCCTCTCCTGGCTTCCCCGGCGCGACGTCCAAGTCGCTCTGCGGGCTCCCGCGTCGTCTGCTTTCCCTCACTTTGCCGTTCGAGACGCACGTTACATTCGGATTTCCCCACTTTCTCTATCAATATTTTCAGTGTTTTCTTTGTGCTTCCTAGTATTTCGTATGTTCCCTGTCTTCTTAGCATCGTTCGTGTAAATATTTTGATACCTCCTCTTTGTTTAGCTTTGCTTTTTCCTTTCTGCGCCGTTGTTCTTTGTTTCGTTCTGCGCACTTCGATGGTTGGGGACGCCGGTTTGAAACTCAACACGCAGATACTAAACAGAAAGAGGAGACGTGCCTAGACCTCCGCATCGACAAAAACATTCCGCTTCGCCGATGCGGCCGATGCGCAAGTCACTCTACCGCTGGTGGAAGCGACTGGATCAAGTTCGTATTCGACAACTTCGCCGAAGCCTAGGGGAAAAAAAAAAAACAGCTAAAAAAGCCCTCAGGGCTAACCAATTGTTGCATATGGGGCTGCTTTCCCTACCCGTGTCTCTTTTTTAGTATGCAATTCTAACCAAAGGCGTCCCTTCAAAACATTGTTACTTATGCATATCCAAATTTCGAAGCCTATTACCCCAGCTTTGTTTTTTTCGGCATAGGCTTTTGATTCACTTGCGCTCAACCGATTTTCATAAACTCTGTACAATTTTCTTTGGAATGAACTAGACTGCAAGCTAAAGCTACTTTTATTATGATATTTACGTATATAGAACTGGCATTTCATTATTAGACATTCTTATAGCCTCTATTATATGACTTCTGTTCACTTTAATTCTTTTACATGATTATATTGTGCTAAAGAAATAAAAATAGCTTTAGCTTGTATGGCATTTCTTCAGGAAATAAATGATACCTTTTTTGCAATAAAATTTCAATAGGTTTTTTTTTAAACCCATGATCAAATTAGCTAATTAATATTTTATACTGTTGATAACTTTTGACAAAGAAGAGATATCTGAAATCTGATTGCAGTTATGGAATCAGCATAGTAAACTGCACGCCTATGCGAAAGATCACAGACATACCAATAAACAAAAAATATTCTTGGATAACCCACTTCCTCCCAGTCTGATTTCATCAACATTTCACTAATTCTTTACTTTTTTCGTATTATTTTCTAATGTTCCCATGAACGGATTACGTAATTTTTTATGTCAAGTTCTTCAGGAAGACTTACACTACACTTTGATGGCAATTATTGTTTATCATTCTTCACACAATTTTCTATGTTCAATGTCAAAACTTTAACTTCGATTTTCTCATCTTCGTGTTTTTTGTCAACATGCTTAGCCTTACGGGGGTTTTCATGAGGTTTTTATCGTAGCATTCTGGAAACTTTGATACCGTTTTATTCAGAAAGGACTGGACTACGGAGTAAAGCTATTTTTTTTTACAGTCTAGAGTTCCAAAAAAAAATTATGATAAATAATGTGACCTCATTAATGTCATAATTGGCATAATTAGCCAATTTTTATATAATATTGTCATTTTGTGAAAATATAAATAGCTTTATAATGCATGGCAGACCTTTAGCTATGCATCTACATTAATAAAAAAAATAATTTTTGTTGGAAATGGCCTTAACGACCCGTAAGAAATTACCAAATTAGGCAACGCTATTTTTAATAACTTGAGAACTACTTGAGATATTTTAAAACTGATTTCATATTTAAATTGAGGAACAAGAAGCACATATGCACAGTGATTTTCATTAGAATAGCTGCAAAAATAAAAAAAGTCAATTTTAGAACCAGCGTCTCGCCTTAATCTATAAGATCAAAAGAAGAAAGAAAAATTGTTGAGATAAATGGGCCCATACCACATGAGCAAATGATGTTTGAGCGAATGACATTTGAGCGAATCGACGTTTGAGTGAATGACGCATCACTCGGGCGCGTGTTAATCCACCAGCCCCCCTCCGTTCACGCCGCTCTGAGGCGACAGCATCATGCGGCTTATTACAAAAGTGTTAACCCACCCGGCCATTACACGACAGCCAACCATTCACTAAAGTGTCTTTCAGTGAAAAGTCAGGGGCAGGACTTTGTTCGCTAAAACGTTGCTTGGCCAACTGAGTGCCATCCAGATTGGGTAAATTAAGTATTGAGTGAATGTTCAAAATACCTTGAATGCTGTTAGCCTTTACAAGCTGGGCACAGTCTTCAAGCACGCTTGATGGGATGTCGTCTAGAGTTTGGTTCTGAAAAAGAAAAAAGGCCACTTGGGGTTTCCAACAAGGTAGTGAACCGGTGATGAATAACTATCCTTCAAGGTATCATACCTCGAAATGGCCCCCTACTTTTCAGCTTAGCAAACATACAGTCAAAGAAATACATGAGCAGCTTCGGACAAAGGAACTTCAGCACACCAATAGTAAAGTTCATTGTTTTACGGCAGTGGTTTTTGATTACCGTATTTTCTGGGCTATAGTTTGCAGACTATACATGTTTAAAAGTTGAAATCTTAGGCTGTGCGGACTATCTATGCGTGCAGACTCTACAGGAAATTTGTTTTTCGAGGTCGCTCATTACGACGAGACATGACGGATTTCGTGAATGAAAGAGTATGTTATGATAATTTAATATAATACAAGCTTTTTTTGTGAGCTAAGTGAGCAGACATCTGTCAAGGTGTGCCGTGTACGAAAAGACTTTTGTGTCGACTAAGTACCAGGTGCCGACTATACCCGGCATGCGGACTATAGCTAAGCAAACACTTTTATTTTTGACCCAAAATATGCCCCTGCTGACTACGCACCGGGTGTGGACAATAGCCCGGAAAATACAGTACAATCATCACTTCAGTATGTAAACAAACTGCTCGTGGGAGATTAAGTTTTTTTATGCTCATAAACGGAAGAAATATCAGACAAAAAGTTATGACGTTTCTTCTGTGTATGACTTTAAGAGGAATGCCCAACTTGGGCAAAGATCTGGCAAACATAAGGGCCCAACTTTAAAAGCTTACATTGCTTGGCATGACTGATGAGCGAGGATTTTGCAATCTCTGAAAATAAACTCTGATTTGAGAACCACTCCTTTAGGATGTTAGGCAGACTTTCTAATCTCAAAGATTGCACCCTTTTTCATTTTGCTTTACTCCTGTCTACAATGAGGAGATATTCAAGTGCACTGGGCCTCATCCAGGGGTGAGATATTTGTGTGGCCAGGTTTGCACAACCATTTCCCATTTGAAATAATTAAAGTTACAGCAAAAATATATGTTTTTCAGAGTATGTGTTTCTACTGACGGCCCCTCCCTGAACTCACATGCATAATAGCACACATAATTGATGATCTCTTTCTATATACAATTCAGCAAATTCTAAGAAATTTTGACGGAACAACTCAATCCGAAACCACCGCACTTATGACCGTTCCTTTGGGGACCCCTCTGGAACACTATTGTCTAGATCAAAGCAAACTAAAGAAGACTTACACCATAGTCTGCTTACCACTATGCCAGGGGTTCTCAAACTGGGTTCCGGGGAACACAGGGGTTCCACGAGCTGGTCTCATGGGTTCCGCGAACATCCAAATTGCAACCCCCCTCACGCCGCAGGCTGCGCGGCAGGACCATGCAAAGCGCCTTCATCTCACTTTGTATTGACATCACGATTGATATGGTGGGGATATATGGAAAGCAACAGAAGCAAAAATGCCTACAATTGTGCATTTGTTGCTTCTTGGTCGGCAAATGTGGAGGGGGGCGAGAAGGAGGGGGAGGGGGAGGGGAGGAGAGGGGAGAGAGGGTTTCGTGGCAGTTTTTGAGGCTTCCTGGGGTTCCGTGAGACCAAAAAGTTTGAGAACACCTGCATTAAGCTAACAGTGCGGTGGAAGCTACATGCTCGTGGGGCCAATCATGCGTCCATCTCTCGGCACATGATCTTGCTCCTGCCCATACGCAAGCACCGAGGGTGGGGCCGGGTGACAAAAGGAAGGCGGCCGATTGGTCCGGCGATGGCATAGCTTCCACCGCACTCCCAGCTTAGGAGCAAATGGAGAATGATGTCGCTTGACCGTCCACTTCATTTCTGACCAATTCATAAGACAGAAAACCGTAGACTGAACTAAAAGGACGAGAATGAGTGGCGAACGATTAAAGACAAGCAGAAGAGGTTGATTATTTGCATAGAGGCACGGCAGACCAAAGGCTGCTTCACACACTTAAAACCGCTTACGACCGTGCACCTTAAAACACCTTAAACTCCCTTATGACGAGAGAACGCAGTGGCACTATCTACCGGGTAGCCGTGGAACCTTTGGCGTTTTCATACATTTCTAATTTTTTTCGTGTGTCATTCCTTCTTTGAAAAAAAACAGTGAGTGCGCAGGCGAGCTAGTGGAAGTTGGTCATGATGTAGAATACCCGAGACAGTGGTAAAAGCTGGGAAACTTGGTCGAAGAAAAAAAACGGGGGAACAGAATGTCTCAAAAAAAGTAACCAGCCTTCCTAGGCAAGAGTACGGAGTACCACACCGTACACACACAACCTCCAACACACAAATACATACACACATGCTTACACAGGCACATACAACAACAACAACAAACTCCACTGACACACCTTACGCATTCTTTTCCGCTGTCTTTTTTTCTTCGACCAAGTTTCCCAGCTTTCACCACAGTCTCGGGTATTCTACATCACGATTCCTTTTTTCTTGGCTCAAAAAACTTTTGACAATGTTATAAATGACCGGTTCTCCTATATAGGACATACATTTGATCTCGCAAATATCACCTCATAGGTGGCGCCGGCGTGCCACACTTTTTCTTGTCGTGAGAGCTAGCGAGAGCTCGGTCGTAAGCAAACAGAAGCGTGTGAACGGGCCTCGAAGGAAGAACAAAGAAATCTCTCTCACGGGTTGTAGACGCAGGTAGACGTGAGCAGACGACACCTTGTCCACGTGAAACCAGACGTCTTCGGGCCATCCCCACTTGATGAGATCCTCGTCTTTAGAAATGAAAAATTTCAAAGAATCACTCCGGGTGCAAAGTTGTCATGAGGCGGCAATAGGTTCACGATTCCCCTTGGCATTCGCAATGAAGTGAGGGAGATAACTACGGTTATGTGCGAGGTGAGAACGGAAGGGAGGTCTTTCAGTTGTGCCGCTTCCAGCATGACCTTGCTAGCTTGGATAACACTTCGGCACCTAGTGAACTCAGAGTGGGCAGCCGTTCACGCTCTGTTCTGAGAGAATAAGAACTTCCTGCTTTTCTCATCCTGTCAGTAACTATAAAAAGACGCACAAGCCTAAAATGCAACTCCCAGGTTTGAGCTGCACGTGTCCGAAACTCTGGCTTTGTTGGTCCCTTTTTGGCGACTGGTGTTGTGTCAGGAACCAAATGGTGACAAAATGTAAGGAGATAATAGTTGTAGAGTTATTATAGGGTGTTTTCACTGACGTAATTTCGTCCACCATTTTGTTGTTGCGATCTGTCTGGCGTGTGCCAAACTCGAGCATTTCAAGGATTTACATGCCTTCTCAAATACGTAGAGCACCGCCGACATATTTCAACCGGTTATGATGTAATCCTTCAATGTAGTAAATTTGTTTGAAAAAAAACAAAAAACTAACAACAAAATGGCGGATTGACGTCATGTGAAAACAACCCATAATGTACACTGGAGGTTCAACTGGCACTAAAGTGCGGCTTCAAATTGAAGCAGACCCAACCAGTCTCGAACTGACTTCTGGTAATGCATTTTCATGGTAAAAAGTGAGCGCATCTTCTCCCTGCACTCAAATATAAAAGCAAATATTGCGAATAATTTGTATGTACCAGATAGCTTAAAACATTTCTCAGTCACATGGGCAAAAATATTAGTTAGTTACTGCATTTTTCGTTCAAATTTGTGCTAGCTTCCCACAATGACGGCGACACTCACATTCGCCGATGCTTTTCGCCAGCATTTCTACGCCCAACCATGAGGATCGCGACATCCGACAGCATGACATTCACCCTTTTGCGACGTCGCTTGTTGCCTTCGGGACCGCTTTCGACGCGCAGGCGGGATAGGAAGCCAAACACACCAGTCGCCTTCCGGGCGGTTCAACAATACATGGCTTGCACGCGTTGTCAGTCCGTCCCTCTTTCCGGTAGAGCCCTTCTATGCTGAAAGAAGCGCTAAGCCCTCTTTCGCTCGAGAATCTCTCACTCTTTCCTTCTCTCCACGAGTCACCCCTTCTCTCGCGTCGATGCTGATGCCTGCTAGGCTGCCCTTCTACCGAGCACAGCAACAGGTGACCGCCGGCAAACATTCTCGATAGGTCGGTGTTTTCTGTGCAACTTCGACTCGCGGTTTTCGTGTTTTCGCTAGGATATGAGTTGCCAGTGTGCCCGACATCTTGGCTACTCGGTATCTTTCCACTGATTCACGTCTGGAGCGGGTTCTCGAGTTTTGTCGAGGCTTCGGCTGTGCGTCTGCTCGGATGCAATCTTCCGCTTTATAAGCATTTATACAATAAAACTTAACTGCGACATGGATCATCCTACAATGTTGTTTCCTTTTCAGCAGTGGCAGCCAAGGCGATATCCGGGCACACGTTTCTGTTATAGAATATGAAGCTGTGATCCTACACAATGAACGAAGCAAGGCACACCGTAGTTTCCGTGCTGCCGACTCAATCGTTTTTAAAGCAGTCGACGGCAAACGTCATCACTTCTTGTACCTTTTTGTTTCTGCCTTTACACGCCGAAGTGACAACGAGATGAAAAAAATGTGAATGAACGTCTTGTAAACAGGCAGAAGTGATTTAGCGTCGCCACATCATAACAGAAATTCAACGATGTTTCTAAAAGCAAAACACGCGACATACCCTCTACCGATAAAAAAAAAGCTTCGATGGGGCCACCCGCATCGTAGTAGGTATACGTATGCATGCCATCGAAGAATGTGAACGCCGGAACACAGAAGGGCGCAAACAGCAGACGGACGCTTCCCCAATCAGGGGTAATGGAAAGGAGAACTTTGAAGAGCAGGAGTAGGATTTTTTTCTAGAGGGTGATAGAGCGTCAGAAAATCGATCAATGGCGCTACTTTCAGTATAGACGGGCTTTACTTTCTGTTGGCCAGAAGTGCCTCACCAACTTGGCGGACGCTACCCTCTCGCGCGTCCTTTCCCCAATTATGTCTGACCAAGTGACGTCAGTGCAAGCTATGTATAGAAGTTTGCAAGCAGCCATGCTTTCGAGAGCAAGTCTCACCACCGTGGATAGAAAACATTAGTGTGGGTGCCAGCCTGGAAATTGTGGGTACACCTCAGCAAAGCTTGACTATCAGACGGTCTACCTACACCAGGAACGAGATGGCGGCGCCCAGAGGCCTTACTTGCAAAAAAAAAAAAAGAAGCAAAACAAGGCTACAGTGAGTTGTGGCGCCCATAAATACTTGGATATGAAACAAAAATGAACTTACTTTCGAACTTATCAAGACCCATGAAGATCAGGGCTGGGGGTGAGACCACTAAAACATATGTACAGAAGGAAGACTGTAAGACGCTAATCTATACGTAAATAAAAAAAATTCAACATTTAAATTATGTAGTAATTTTGAGCTTTTACGATAACTGACGAACATACAACATAGTTAGTCGCAGAGCTTTAAGAAAATACAGAAAAAGACACATTAGACACATTGACAGTGATGTGCCCTACAGCTTGTTTCTGTCCCTGGGTATTTTTTTTTTTTTTTTCAAAATGAATTAATTTTTTTAATTACCCACTTTGCAGTCGTTTCTGACAGTGAGGTCGTGGGGCTACATCATGTCTGGTTGGGACGTTAACCATATTTTCCACAGAATTACAAAATCAATTTATAATAATCTGCTAGAACATTGAGCTTGGATTATTTGCTTAATTTTTGGCAAATTTACCTGTGCTTTTGAAGTAAAATACCATGCCTGTATCACTCCAGGGCCCAAAGGCCGTGACGATCCACGCATGCACGCAAACTACACAAACCAAATGTCCAGAAAAACCGGATTCAGATGGATTGCTACGGAACAACTTCTGGATTCATAAATTCAACGAAAAGGCTTTATCGTTGATAAACTTATATAATACTACCTAAAGAGCAAAACAATCACGTTTCACAAATAAGATGCCACTAAAGAAAAGCTAAATTAGTCACATAAGTATACAGGTGGTAACTTATATGTGGCAACTTTACACCATCCCCATCCCATCGTCAAGCCAGTCGAGCAACCATGTTAAACGGTGGCTATTTTTTGCAAAGGCGCGAAAAACCAATGGCTGAATTTTTTTTCGGTTACATGTCATTTTCGACGTACACGGAGCTTTTCCGTTTTCACTACCGATCGTCCCCGTGACGTCCATTTTTGCAACCTCCGATCGCGAAGCCCAACGACAAGAAGGTAAGCTATTGCTCCACCAGCAAACCGCCTCGCGGCCTCGCTACGGCGTTCTTATTTGCTCGCACGCGCTCCCACCCGGGACAGATTGTCGTGGCACTCACCCCTCAGCACTGACTCATGGAAGAAGTGACTTCGCTTCCCCAAAACGCAGATTCTCCGATGCCCTCGCCGGCTGTCGGGATGGCGCAAGACCCGAAGCGAGCCTCGACGCACCAGTGCAACTCGTTTTATTCCTCTAAAACCACGTACTTGACGCCGCTCGAGCGAAAGCGGCTCCGCGCCCTCGAAAACGAACTGCCTGCCGCCACCGATCGGGTCGAATCGCCCGCCAAGAAGGTCAAGCTGGCCAAGCTTCGCTCGCGAAAGTCACCGCCGACGCGCAACGAGGTCAAGGCTGCGGCGACGAAGTCGAAGAAACGGCCCTCGGCAACTAAGATCAATAAAAAGCAAACCCTGGCGTCCAGAGCGCGCCCCAGCTCAGTGATCGTTCCTCTGTCCGAAAGTCACTCGAGCACCGCTTCCAACGTCGTCGCCGGCGACGACGACAAGTTGCCGTCGAAGCCGGTGCGCAAGTTTTTCTCGTCAGGCCTGCGGGTTCCGAATCGGGGTGCGAGCGCTACGGCGGTTTCTTGGAACGGGAAATTCGACCTCAAGTTTAAGCGGGCGTTCGCTGCGACCAAGTCGGCCGGTGGCATGGACGTGGGCGCTAAGAAGCCCGTAGTCATGACCGTGCCATTCAAGCATCATCAGCAGGACCAGAAACCCGAAAATGCGGTCAACAGAAAGCCGCCCGACCTGGTCCCCAGCGCTACTGTACCTGAGCGGAAGACTCCCGACGCTGCCAGTGTACCGGAGTGCCTTGAGGATGAGTCATCACCTTCCCTGGGAAAATCTAGAATTGTGACTCCCCAGCTTGAACCAGGTGGTAGACTTGAGACGGCAGATGATCAAAAACCAGATGATGTCGTAGCAGACAATGGTCTCATATCTGTCTATGAGCCTGAAGCAGATGTCAAGCTCAAAGAGAAGTGCAAGGCGAAAGGAGACGGCAAGCTCGGAGAAGATGGCAAGCTCCCAGAATATTGCAAGGTCAAAGAGGACAGTATGCTCAAGAAAGATGGCAAACTCGGAGAAGATTACAAGGACAAAGAAGATACCATGCTCAAGAAAGATGCCAAGCTCGGAGAAGAGAGTAAGCTTAAAGACAGCAAGCTTAGAGCAGACAGTGTACTCAAATCTGTCAGTGAGCGGAAAGCAGACAGCATACTCAAAGCAGCGAGTGAGCGGAAAGCAGGCAGCAGCCAAATCAAAGATAGCCGTGGTGGCCGGACTAGTGCAAACTACAGCCAGACTGAAGCGGATGACAAGGTTGGCTGTTCCTCCTTCAAGGTGACCACAGTCTCTGACGACAAGCCATCGTGCTCCAAAGCACTCATATTCATCTCGGCTGAAAAGGAGAACCAGAAATCGGCCTGCGGAGCAGATGACACAAGTCAAGTGGCCGTTTCTCGAGCTAGCATCAACGGCCCACACGGAGAAGTGGAAAACCTGAAAGGGCAGTGCTGCCAAGAAGAGACACCCTTCGAAGACATTCTTCCACTGCCTGAAGTAAACCTGACACCTTCTAAGCAGGCAGCAGGGACCAGGAACCCTCTGATGGCGATGTTCAGTGACAACAGGAATTCTGGAGGATTGCCTCTCTACCCTGTCTTCTCCACGCCGGTTCATGCTCAGAGCCGGATGGGAACCAGATCTAGAATCAAGGCTTCGCCCATCGCCTTCCAGAAGAAGTTTCTGGTCAATACCTCAGATCCGTCGCAGCTCATCATTGATGCTGGGCAGAAGCACTTCGGGCCGATTGCCTGCAGCACGTGCGGTATGGTGTACAGTGCGGGAGAGATGGAGGACGAGAAACTTCATTCCAGGTTCCACCAGGGTTTCATGGGTGTTCTCAAGTTTCCTGTAAGTTGCATTACACTGGTCCATCTCTTGCTTGCGAGTTGCATAGCATGGGTGTAGGGTTGCTTTACCTGAGGGTTGCAGAACATTGACTGTGGCTATGCTCTATCTCAAGATGTGCCTAACACTGGCTCAAGTTGTCTTTTATCTCAGAGGTTGCATAACTTTGGCTTGGGCTGCATATCTTAAGAACATTGCTCAAGCTATTTGCCTCAAGAGTAGCTTGGCATTGGCTTGGGACATGCTTCTGAAGAGTTGCATGAAAGTGGGTCAGCTATGCCCACCTCTGCATCAGGGTTGCTTAACATTATTTTAGGCTAGCTGTCACGGGAGTGGCAGGACATTGACACAGGCCACCATAATTGCTCAAGTAGTAGCCACACTTTTTATGAACAGGACTTTTGCATCTACTTTCCTGTAGAGTACAGATACAGCCAATCATCACGTTCTGCATAAAAATAAAAAAATGGCAAAGATGTTACCTTTGTCCCGTATATCACTGCCTTTTTTCTGCTGATCGCGGTGATCCACTATCCCGTGCTCTTCGAGAAAGTAGACGCACAGGCCTTGTTTAAAAGAAGTGCGGCTATTGCTCGAGCAAATATGTTATATGTCTCAGCAGTTGCATAAGAGTGACCAATCTGTTTGTACATCTCAAAAGTTGCATAACATTTGCTCAATCTGGGTAAACCAGCAATCTCATAACATTGGCTGAATCTGTACCCAAGAGTTGAATAACATTGGCCCACCTATGTCCTCAAGAGTTGCATAGAAGTGGCCCAACTATGCTCAAGAATTGTATAACAGTGGCTCTGGCTTCAAAAACACTATCGTGTAATGCATCTGAGAAGCTACGTAACTTTAAGTGAAATTGCGCTCCACCTCTGGGGTTGCCAGCATTAGCCCACGCTATGCCTCACCCCTAGAGTTCTGCGCAGTATTCTCAAGGTCTCAGATGCAAGCACTGGGATTTAAAAATTAGGCATTTCTCGCATGGGTATGCATTGGGTAGAACTCAGAAACCCCAAAATGCCGGCTAATGTTTAATTTAAAAAGACCAGTTTTTTCTGCGCGAAATGTCGGCTGCAGTTCTGAGGCTTCTGGGTTTAGGTATGGTACTTGCAAAGCATCTCCAACTGTTGTGTATGTTGTGTCCTCATTAGTGTCCCCTCAATTTCAATCTGATGCTATCACGCTTGCCCAACATGGTCCCGGTGGTTGCAGAGCAGCGAAGGTAAATGTGCCGGGCGACTGCTCTGCCGTAGGTCACTCTGCAGCCTGGCAAACCATGGAAGGTTTAGCTTTGGCAGCCAGGAGTCGAGACGTTGGTATAACGACGACACTTACATTCACCCTTCTCTTTTTTGTCCTCTGAAATCCTACAACCGACTGCCAGCAGCACGACGTAATTTGTTTCCGCTTTGTGCCCCCTTTGGTTGCATAGCCATACAGGACGCTACACACAGCAGTCGAAGACGTGTTCCGGACACCGTGGCTTCGGGAGTGGGGACATTTTGCAAGTTTATTATTACTGGGCTAGGTGGCGCAAGCTACCACCCAACACAAAGGGTGCAGCCGTTAGGATCCGTCCAGTAGATGTCGGATGGGAGTTGCACTATAGTCGGCGACCGAATGAGAACGGCAGAGTGTGTCTTTCGAATGCTTGGCCTCCGGCGCGTGCTCCATGCCTCGCATTGTGCCTTGGCTGTGCACACGCGCCCGAGGTGGACGAGTCGTCGAAGCGTCATCGGAGGTAGGACGCTTGCGCCGGAGGCGGAACAACTGGAGCTCCTCCTCGCCGTTCTCTTCCTGTTGGCGACTAGAGTCGAAGGGTTACGGTCGACGCTCTGTCATCTTTGCCAGGGATGGAAGAAGCAGCGTGAGGTGGGCATCTACTACGACGGCAAGATCATCATGGTCTCCTTCTCGGACCCCAAGTTTATGCTGAAGAAGATGGAGGAGATCGGCCAGATGGTGGACAGGCGAGTCGTCCGTTTTCAGTTCTGCCCTTTTGTCGTACGGTCCACGTTGCACTGTGCAAAACATAGAGACGGATAATCGCGGCGAAAAACAACAGGATCCCGACAAATGACGAAACTCGAAATATAATTGGATCTGAGAAAGATGACGTAGGTGTGAAAGAGCAGCAATTGAAACGTCATGCTTGTTGCCTCTGCACGTGTCACTTTTTTTTTATCTATGTAATTGTGTTTTGAGCTTTGTCAGTCGCTTGGACCCTGATATTGTTTGCCGCGATTGGCTATCTAGAGTTCTGCATGAAAGATAGCTCGCATACCTTTCTTTAAAGTGCAGGCAAGACCTTAGGGACCACTCACATTTCGCCCATCATCGCTGTCTGATGTGTCTTCGTCGTCTCGTCTGCCTTTTTGAGACAAAGTACTGTATTCCTGGGTGTGTTCCCCAAGCTCTGAGGATTGCGGTAATTTGATTTAGGGTCCTTGGCTGCATAAAATCTGTAGTAGAGGCTCTGCCTCCAGGGTGAGCTTTCTATCTTGGATGACGCTTGGGGGCACGCACAGCCACAGCCACCGGAAAGCAACTAGTGCATGCGGGAGGCAGAGATTTGCCTGCACGTCACATGTCGCAACCGGCGTGAAGCCGACGATGCTAACCGACCTGGCCACGGTTCACATTTGCAAAGGTTGAATGTTGGACCGTCATTCTGTTTTTCGTCGCCGCTGGGAATGGCATATTTCTTCGAGGCAGGCATGTTCGTTGTGAACAGTTACGACTGTATTGCCCCTCACATCGTTTATGTCGGCGCAGGAACCTCGGCATCCTGGAAGCCGTCGACGGGATTCGTCCGCCGCGGATGTACTTCGTGTTTGTGTCCAACGACAAGAAGGTTCTGGGATTCCTGGTTGCTCAGCAGATTAAGGAGGTGAGTTCAACCCGGCCTTTTCGGCACACGGAACGAAACGGCCTCGCCTTGGCAATACGATGCAATTTCGACCCAGCCTCATTTCTGGAGACGTGAATTGTGCCTGCCGTAAAGTACCGAGCATGTCGCAGTAAGCGCTCACCCCCTTCTCTTAAAATATTCAAAGTTTAGGTGACAGACGGACATATCAAGCGCTCATCTTGGAAAACGCTGAACACACCGAGCCGATTGATGTGTTCTTCTGCGTCGGCTGCTTCTTCGAGAAGCCTGTGCAGAACGGTCAAGCTTTATGCGCATGCATTGGTGCAAAGCGTTGGAGCTTGATACAAGGACTCCGGTGTAAAGCAGGCTTGACAGGAGCATCGCGGCCGCTTAAAAATTTAGAGCTTTCGCCAGACTGCCGAACTACTCCGTTCTGTCGGTTCAAACGAGGGCCCACCCCGCCACATGTTTTTCTGCTCTTGAACCTCCGAACAAGTGTCCAACCTCCCCCTTTTTTTTGTTGTAATTTTGTTTGACCTTTGCATGTGCACTTTGTTGGTAATTTACTGCAAATTACATAATGCACCACAGAAACGTCTGCTGCACCCTGTGGCAGCCTTGTGCTGAGAGCTGCACCAACTTCGATGCTACAAAAAGAGGAGTTGAGTTTCTTGATGCCTGCTTGGTGCAGCTAAGACACTCTTTGCAACAATACATGGCTTGCATTGCCCTCACTTTAGCTGCCATTGTAGTAATCCTCCTCCCGAATTCGTACGCTCCTACCGAGTTTGCGTCTGCTGCAGCGCTCACGTTGAGCGAGCAGCTTCGCTTTTCTCGGCAAAAACAGTTGCGCGGATGCCAGGTGCGTAGCTTCTACGTGGTGCGAGGATGCCACGTAGAAGCTATCTATAGGACATGTCCTTGCGCTGCATTGTTGGGGACGGCCCTTCACCTATGATAACTAGAAAGCCCTTGCACAAACCTGTTTCACGGGCACTTGCTCGGGCAGTCTCGGAAACCTATGTCTTTAAAAGCGCAAATGCAGCAAATACTCTTTATGTGACCCTCAGAGTATTACTTAAATTTCTGCCATGTGGATCCCCCTTTTTTTTTTGGTTCCTCACTGTTTTACATGAAGAGCTTCCACTGCATGTTTTTCTTTTAATGGGGGAGAATATATTTTGCTCTAAATTACCCAAACTCCGAAAAAGCATGTTGCGAGTGTATTCACGTCTGCGGCGGTAACTACTAAAAGTAAAAACCCCACGACAAATGGTGCTTTGCGTGCATGTTTGTCAGTGCCTTCTTTAGATTATTTACTTTGAGTTTTTTATACTTATATAAGGTGAGCATGTACCTACATTCCCAGCGTTCTCCCCGGTGTTCAAGCAATTTAGCGAAAGATTTACTGGGGGTCGTTGCTTTGCGTGGCAAAGGCCGGTTCACACGTTTCCGTTCGAGTGTTATCGAGTGCAATCATTTGCATTTCTTTCTAACCGCTTTCGACAAGAGACTGGCAAGCTAATGCCGTCTGTCGGGCAACCCTGGAACGCCCGTGACCTGCGTATATATTTTTATGCGTAACTCTTGCTGGCAGGCTCAAAGTAATTCTGATTATGTTGTAATCGACTATTCATCATAAATAGTGCACAGCTTGGATCTTACGATTACTGCAAAACCTTCAGTCTACTTCTGCACGCACGGGAGGACTCCCAGGATTACCCGAAAGCGGTGCCGGTATGCTCTCTGTTTCTCGAGAGAACTTAGATTTAGGAGAGGAGCAATTTTACTGTGCAGCTCAAACTGTGTGTGTTTAGGAGCAACTCAAACTGTGCAGAGCTTTTACAGTTTAATGGTAGACACCCCATGCACGAATTGGTCGCAAGTGTGTGTGCATGAGCAGCCGCATGGAGAGGAGAAGGGCGGGTGGAGCGGCTGAGCAGAGGTCGGAGACGCTTGCAGGCCATCGGTGCTTGCAGCTCCTCCTCTCAGCACACTGTCATTAATTTAAACTCCAGAAAGCCGCAAATTTCGTTTTAATTATCGAAAGTTTGAATTGTCAAAAATTCATCTACCTAAATATGATGCAAGATAAAATTATGGTAAGCTGTATGGACGGCTACACATACAGAGCAGACGTTTGATGATTCTCTCTACGCAGCCAGGCCTTCTAATCATGAGCACGTGTGTCTCACATGAAACATTGGTGGAATGTATAACATAAGTTTATTCATCCCTCATGAAGTGTTGTTTATTGTAAGTGGTTTAGACTAGTGATGGACCAAATCTGCCGAATGTCAGATTTGGCGAAGATTTGTTAAAAATTCGGCAAATATATGCGCATGCTCAAGAACGCGACAGGGCCATCGATTGCAAATAAACGCCCGTGCAGTCATACGGTTCCCATGAAACAGTGTAGTGCTACCAGCGGTTAGGGTGAGGTGCGGAGCAAGCGACACAGTAACTGTGCATTTGTGAGCCTTTGAGAGTGTGGTTCTCTTTCTTTTTTTCTGCCTCAAGAACAGAAAATTGGCCAGGAATTGGCGCAGCACTGCACAAGTGACAAATGGTGCGGTACATTCTGGTTAACATGATTTTCGTTTGGCCTTTACAGTGATGCAACAAGGTAATTACAAGGTTGACTGACAGGTACTCAAAGCACTCTTTGCAGTTAAAACAATTCTCTTTTTTGGCTCAGAAGTAGTTCGTACCAAAACAAAATAACATTGCTTTTTAATTAGCGTTATTTTGCGGCTTTCATTTATCTGCATAAAACTGAGCAGAACTATCATGCTCGACGTTGTACATCCGAAATTCCTAACTCTTACCATCTTCCTAAACATTTGTGTGTCTCCTAACATTAGAGACTGGCATTTTAAAAGTTAACAATGGACGTACAGTTTCAAACAAAGCTGGCATCAAGTGACTCAAATTAAAAAAAAAAACATGCATATTTATAATAACATCAGCAACCGTTGCATTCCTTTTCGCGTACAAGACGGTGACCTGCAGAAAACGTAAAAACCCAGTGTTATGCGGAGAGCAAGTTGTCTGCTTCTTTGGAGGGGTTGCGGTGACGTCAGAACGATGCCGAGTTCTGATTGGCTTTGATGGGAAGGATAGTGGGTAGACCTCAATGCTGGATGCCATATCTCGTTCAAATGGTCACCCGGCATTACGGACGAAAGTTTCGGTGACAGATATTTCGCCATGCAGGGGGATTCACCCATTATTTTTTTAAACCAGCCAATAAGAGCTCGGCATTCTGACATCATCACAATTCCTATGCAAGAACCAGACAAACTTGCACTCCGCATTGCCTTTATTTTAACAATGTCCACGGACTTGCAGGTATGTGCTGATGAGGCCTCAAAACCGAAACTTGCGTATTGCGACTGTGCCCGCTACTACCCAGTTTTGTTGCATCACTTCTGCAAGAAGTCACTATTAAAATTGCCAGTAAAGACAAAAATGACACCAATACAATGATCTTGTAGAATATGACCCTATTTAGTTGTAATTCTGTCAATATGCATTACACATTGCATTTAAGTTAAGGAAGAAAAAAAATATTTTTTTGCCAGGAAAAGCTAAATATCAACTTTAAAGGGGCACTCAGGTGAATTTTGAGATTTTCTATTTATTGTCATGGCTCTAGCTACGGGCTCTAAGCATCCTAAAAAACCCGAAATCACATTTAAGGGGTGGCTGATTTCCCTATTAAAAGTCCAATCAAAGATGGTGCCGCGCCCCTCTTTCTGCATTGTGGCGCAAAACACCAGAGGGCGCCACCGAACAGGAAGGCAGCCGGGGGAAGGCACGCGACAGCCAGTCACAAATGACGGCTTCCCGGCAAACTAATTTTTCGAAGGCGCGCATATTTGAAAATTTAGTACGCGGAGAAGCTGTCACCCGTGATTGGCGATCGCGTGCCCTCCCTGCTGCCTTCCTGTCTGGTGGCACCCCCTGGTGTTTTGCGCCGTGGCAGAGTAAGGGGGGCGTGGCACAATCTTTGATTGGATTTTTAGTAGAAAAATTGTTCGCCCTTGAGTGTAATTTCAGGTTTCTTAGGATGCTTAGAGCCCATAGACTGAGTTATGACGGTAAATAGACAATTTCGGTTCGGCCCATCACTAATTTAGACTGAACGTAACACCTCAAAACAAAATTAAGTTTGTTTATCCCGCAAAAAAGGTGTCTATGGTGGACTATTAAGCAGGGTACACATGAGCGATGCAAACGGGCTCCGCTCAGCAGCTTCCACAGCAACTTGCGTGGATGCTGTGACGTGGACCTACGCCGTGCCGCCACGTCACACGTGTAGGTCGTTATACGTAGCTTGCATTGATGTCGCATCAACCGCCACTGTTCCGTACCATGCTCCTGTGCTCATACGTTCTGCAGTATACATCGGCGCTATCGAATTTGTCCTTTTCGGAAAGGGCTGGCGAGAAGAACAAATTCGATGGTATGAAATGTATAACGAAAAAATAGTCAGAGTGCAGGCGAGCTGGTGTAAGTTGAACATGATTGTAAACCTGAGACTGGGGCAGAAAGAGAACACAACAGAAGGTAGTAAAAGAGGAGGCAACGTCTCTGTAGTAAAAGAGGAGACGTTGCCTCCTCTTTTACTACCTTCTGTTGTGTTCTCTTTCTGCCCCAGTCTCAGGTTTACAATCATGTTCATGAAATGTATGCTGCAGAATGTACAAGCAAGGATGCATGGTACAGAGCAATGACGGTTGGTACGGCGCCATATGACGTCACGTGCAAGGCATATATAGAAACAGCCACGCGACTCCCGTTTTTATCGCCCATACGCATACCGTAGAATACCGTGCATCCGCCCATTCTACACTGCGCAACCATTGCCAAATTTGTAAGATCCGAAAAAACACGGATAATACATTTATATTTAAAATTGATGACCGGTCAAGCGCCCATCCCCCTTTTTTTCGCGATTATCTCAAAATTTTAAGTGGGTGCTTGCCCGGTATTTTACGGTACATAGGTAAATTACTCCCAAAATGTAATTTAATTACAAATACTTTATTTCAAAAGTAGTTTAACTACAATTATTACTATGTGAAAAGTAATTAATTAAAATTACAAATTACTTTTAAAAAGTAATGCATTTACTTTCCAATTACTTGTTTCTGAGAGTGACCCTACTCCGGCCATATAACTTTAAACGAGTTGTATGAAATGCATCACATTTGTTCATTCCTTGCCCCAATGTTTGAGGAGGCTTAATCGTCGCTGCATAAATGTCATGTATTGTACTTTCCTTTTATGAATTTCATTAAATTCAATGAAGTACTACGTTCTTGAATTTTTAATAAATAATAATTAATTAGTTCATATGCTGGAAAACGTCAGTCGCTAAAGAAAAAAATTGGGTTGACAGACTTTTGTTAGCCAGACAAATAGAAATGCGACAGTCAGTCATACATGAATATTTTACTACTGTTAATATAAAACTAAAACCCAGACGCACTAATACAACCTCATTCCCATACAAACATCATGTTATTGGTGGCAATATTCACAGGTGCAAGGTCAGTCTCCGAAATGCTTATTCAAATAATATCCAAGGTAAAACCAACAAGAAAATAAACTTGAAAATAATACAAATATGTGACAGTACTGGAAGAAGGACGTAAAGAACTGGCAAAAAAGAAGAAAGAAAAATAGCTTCATAGACAGTTAAAGTCCCCAACTGAAAGCTGCAGCTCAATTATTTTTCTTTCAGTATTTTGGCATGTTTACGCTATTGTTATCTGCTCGCACTACAGACGGTGCTACGCGGCACCGTTGAGGTAGGCTCCAAAGACGATTGTCTCTCAGCCCGCAGTTTAAGCAACAAAAAAACAAACAACACGGCTCTATTTTTGTTGTGCGTGCATGTCTATGTGTGCCACCAGGCGCTAGGCCACTTGTGCGAGTACTGAGGCTTTCAGGGAGGTTCAGTTGGCGCCGCCAAGTCTCGCAAAAGTAATGCGGAGGGCAAGTTCGTCTGCTTCTTGCGCAGGGGGTAGCGGTGACGTCAGAACGCCGAGCCCTGATTGGCTGATCGCGACCCCCTATTGAGCGTCGTCTGCTCCTTTGCAACGTCGTCTGCATCTGTCTTACCCTTCCCGCGACTTCCGGAAGGGCAGAGGCGAGATTCACGAAACAATCTTACGCCAAAAATGTGCGTAAGACAAAACTTCAGAACAAATTCGTATTCACGAAACAAAATTTTTTTAAGTTTTGCGCAGGTTACGACGAAATCCTCCGACAGCTCCGAAGCTGTCTTACGCACTGATCACAGCATGGCCGACAGCGTCGCGGTCGCGACGACCCTCGGACGTTTATTTTTCTATGTGCGCTTCACACGCGTCCCGACTTCAAGCAGCAAGAAAAAAAGTAAAAAGACTTGAAACAGACCACGACGAACAACAACGCTGGATCCACAAGCACCCGGGAAAAGCTCCGACGACCACGATTCTACCGAACGCGAGCACGGCAGTTAGGCCTAGCAGGCACTCCGCGACTCGGCGACCGTTTTCCCACGACCGGCTGGCGTGCTGAATGGAATATGCCGCGCGACCCTTGTGAACCCTTCACGTATTATACTTTGATCGCTGACCTCAATTTTAGATTAAGGGGTCAATTTCTTCCTCTTGTTATCTCCTTGTTTCCCGAGGCAATGGTGACTCTCGCCGGTAAAAAAGCGGTGAATCTCCGACAGACGCAGGAAAGGTAAAGCAGCCATCGCTTTGACTTGCAGACGTAAAGCTGGCGACGTGAACTGCGCCAACCCGACGACGCCGTTAAAGAATGAGGGGTCTCGCCGCACACGAAAGGAGGGAAAAAGTATTTCGGAGGGAACTTGCGGACACTAACCACCCTCACTCTCGGTTCTTAGCAAACAAACCTCGGCGCCTCGGGACACCTCGCCAGTGAGTCCTTTGATTTCTCTCCTTGATGGGCGTCTGCTAGTTAGACGAAAACAACGTACCGCTCGAGTTATTTCGTCTGCCCTCTTTGAAAGGCGAAGTCGAGCTCGCTCGACTTCCGAAAGTCGCAGGAAAGGTAAGACAGACGCAGACGACGTTGCGAGCAGACGACGTTGCAAAGGAGCAGACGACGCTCAGATAGGGGGTCGCGATCAGCCAATCAGGGCTCGGCGTTCTGACGTCACGGCTACTTCATTTCTCATGCGCAGAAGACTAAAATCAGCCCACTTGCGAGGCGTATTGTAATTGTGCCAGAAGTTTGGCGATTACTCACGCTACAAAGTAATTAAATTACTATTCCTTTAACACAAAGTAATTATGTACAATTAGAAATCACGAAACAAAGGAGATAAATTACAGTGATTCAATTACTGTAATTCAATTACTACCCATGTGTCTCCCGCTTTAGCTCCGTCGAGCCTGCATAACAAGCACCGCTGCTCTGCGGAGAAACAACACCCGCGGATGTGAGCTTCGCAGGGGTTGCTTCTCCGCAGCGCCCGGAAAGAAGCGTGCTCAACGGAGCCACGAGAAAAAAAAGTGAATTACATGAAAACGCCGTTCGAATTGAGCAGCTTATAAAGACATTAAAAACATAATGGGACCAGCAAAATTTCAAAATTCGTTTGAATTGCACAGAGGTGCGAAATATCCGAGTTCAAATTATCGCGAGCATACTGTGTTACAAACACGTCCCACAAACCATGTGATCCCGATTGAGCAGTTGGAACCGCTCCGAAATCTAGGGACACTATAGTGTTTTCCTGTTGTAAGTGGTTGCGAGGAAATGCAACGCGCCCGATCGCACAAACGCCGCCTAGAGTCGAGGCCGGTGCACTCCTCCCGTGATGTCACCGCAGGAGGCGATCAAATCAAGCCGGGCGCCTTGAGATAGCGCTGATATGAAGGCATCGCGCATGAATATACTATCATAGAAACAGGTTTTTATTGATACAAACATAGTTTATAATCTATAAATTATGTAGTTTAGAAATAACAAATGTTCTGTAGTCGTTGACAACTCAAGAAGGAAGGGCGAATGAAAAGAAGAGGGGAGAGGAGGAAATAGACGCAACGCTGGCGAGGGGAGGACGAAATCCGCCCCCCTCGCTAGCGTTGACTCCGCTTCCTCCTCTCCTATTTTCCTTTTTCTCGCCCTACCTTCTTATCCTTCAACATGCTATAATAGTAGTAGTGGCGCCGCGGAAGAGCTATAATTTTCATAAATAGGCGTGACACTGAATTATGCGACATGGCAAAACATTTCATAGTAGCAATGTAATGCACACAGAGCCAAATGCTCACGAAAAGTATTGCCTACTAAAGCAATTATATGTTCCTGAGGAATTCTGAATTCTGTTTCAAGATGAAACAGCATAAAAGTTACTTTATTGGTGGGAAGAAAGTTTACGGCAAATAAAAGTAGGGAAACATCTTCGAAAGAGTTCCATATCTACCTCAATCTTCCACATTTATTTTTTAATTAATCCAAGTCAATTCAGTTAGTTCAGTTCCTTATGGCTTTACTACTCAGGTACTTGTGAACGCTCATTATTTTTATCACTTATCGCCAACACCATATTTTTTTAGTCCAATGGCTATCTTGCACCGAAACAGATGCATCAGCAGAACAGCAAGCATTCCTGAGCTATAGCGATTCCGACGAGAGACGGAGGTCTTCACAAAGAAAGAAGTGCGAACGCGTGATTTTATCGCGTAGTGTCCCATACGACAAAAAAAAAACGCATAAAGAGTTCTTACGTTTTAAAGTTATCCACGCAGCCTAGTCACCGCCATAAGTAAATTTGGGTACTACAACCCTAGACAACGTCCGATTGATGCCTCTCGACATCGCTCGAGAGAGACTTCGTGCAGTCTGGAGCCACAGTCGAAACAGAACGCAAAAGCCATAGCATAAAAGGTCACAGACAAACCTGCACACAGAAACGCCGCATAACGGAAAGCACTTTTGGAAGCCTGCAGCACGTTACGTAATTGGAGACGTCGTTGTCATGCTTGAGCTTGCCGGTGACTTTTATGCTATCCTCCTCTTCTGCAGCGTCTCGATGTTCTTTGTAGACACTCAAATCTCACAAACACACGAAAGGGCACCCAGAAAGGAAAGATTGAATACCTTGAGTAAACACCCATGTGGTTTCAGTCAGTTTCACCTTTTAAGCCCAATGGCGGCGGCAACCAGCTGTCGGCCTCTGGGTCAGGGCGGTAGTTTTGTTTCTTTCGTTGTAGAGAATATACAAACCCGAAATCCCAACCTCAAATAAAATAATGATATAGCATGCTTTTTATTATAAAAATACAAACTTATGCAAAAGGGTAAACTTAAAATTATATTTAGCAACATTCTGAATACGGCACTATGACTACCGCGGCATTTGGATGGGCGGCTGTCCAGAATGAAAGAACAGCTCAGAAGTGGAGAAGCCCAACTTCCAAAATTGCCTCTTCCTCTTGACGTTGGTGACGTCACGCCTCCAAGCGATATCGCCTTGACCCTTGGTGGTGTTGATCCCACGCATACACAAATGTTTGAACCAGCCTCGAGACACAGCCTGTGTTGGCTATGGTCGGTTGCGCGGTCTACACGCGAGCACTGACATCTGCTGCCTCCTTTTTTTTCGGTGTGTGCAGGCTTACAGGGTCATCCCCAGCGAGTCGCGAGAGATCACGCACAACTACCTGTGTGAGAGCACTCCTGTCCCCGCAACCTGCGGGGTCAGCCGGATCTGGACAGCACCCTTCTACCGTCGCAAGAGGGTCGCCACGCGCCTCCTGGACCGCCTCAGGTGACCGCTCCCCTTTCGCCCCATGTACGATCGGTGCGCGACGCACGCCCAATAGACTGTTGCACCGAGGGCTTCCCGGGCGGTGCCGTTTTGTTCGACTGTAGCGCCATCTGCATACTACAGTCGAACCCCGCTACAGCGAAATTGAAGGTGCATTCACAAAAAAAATTTGTTGTGGCAAAAATTTTGTTGTAAAATTCACAAAAAAAGGTCATACCTGAACTGGTAAAGTACAAAAATCTGTACACACCATGTGTACGTAGCCTTGTCGAGCTCTTTGTGCGCTGAGTGTGTCAGTTTCTTTAGCTTGGCCGACGTCCCCGATGCAAGAGCCTTTTCGATTGCATCTTTCGACTTTAGGATCATCGACAAACAACCCGGAGAAATTCCTGACTTTTTCGCGGTGGCAACTTTCTTCTGTCCAATTGCAACTTTGGCCGGGATGCGAGCTTTATCGTCTAAATATAAAAATTTGGATAGTCTGCAGCAGAGGATTATCAAGCCAAAAACTAAGCTGCAACCAACATTGGTGCAACAGCAAAGGAAGGCCAGAAATGCCAGCCTCATTGCCGCCGCCATAGAGTAATGGCGGCCTGCACGCCGGGTCAACGTTGCACTCGTTGCGCTCGGGTTCCGGGGTTTTTCAGTTACTAGTGGCAGTTTCTGGTGGTTCAACACACAATTTAAACTGTACAGTACACATATTTTATGTGCCAAAATGCACCAAAGTGCTCGGAGGTTTGTTTTTCGTACAGAAAATTTATCTTTCGAACTTCGAATTGCTCTGTAAAATTTCGTTCAAGCGGGACGGCACAAGAAACTGTGTACGCTGTAGTGAGAATTTTTATGCATTGACCCCTATGGACCATTGATGGGGAACCGAAAAATGTTCGTTGAAGCGGCATTCGTTGAAGTGGTGTTCGACTGTACAGGGTTTGAATGAAATTCGAACACTGGAGCACATGGCCGTCGACGCGTACTGCGCTGGAAACTGATGAAACTGCGGGTGGAGAGTAGGGCACTGCGAGGGTGTGCGTCCTACTCCAATGTGTTTGAACCTCACCCAGCACAAACCAAGCTTAGAAGCTGCGCCAGTAGTGTTTCTGAAGTTGCGCCACTGATAGCCTTTCATTCTTACTCGATGGTACATTCGGGCGTTTTAAAGGATTCGGCAGGGTAAAGCAGGGTGCCAGAACTGCCTGAACATCGCGGCTTTATTTCCCCTTCTCCTCTCGCTCAAGTGGAATGGCTTATGGGGAGAGAGAGAGAAGAAAGTATGTACAATCGCATGGTGGGGCTTGATGTCTGTACCCATATGGTCATTGCTGCGAGGGGATACTGAAGGCGCTTTTAAAGGAGCCGTGTAGCAATATTGGGTCGGAAAGTTTCTGAAATAACACAAGCTTATTATCATTATGTGATTAGACATAATGATTTTAGGGGAAGTCTCCAAAGTGGAGAAGATATACAAAAGAACAAACTAACTTCTTTCGGTCTAGCTTTCTTGCATCTGGTTTCACCAATGTAAGAAGCGCTCCAGTGGCGTAGCTGGGGGGAGAGGCTTGTGGGGCTTCAGCCCCCACCCCTTCCGGAATCCAGCCGACCCTACAATATACACATGCATTTTGACACCCCTCCACCCCCCAAATATTCCTAACTACGCCACTGACGAGGTGGGGTCAGCGGAAGCTGTTGGAATCCAGCAGAGTGGATGCGTGCGTCAAGTTCTAAGTAAATTTTGTCCCAATAAAATGAATATTAGGTGCGAAATATCCTATTCACGTGCTCAGTAGGGTTTTATTCATTCGTGGTGCAACTAACCGTTGCACGCATTTACAGGGTGTCCGGAATAAAAATGTTTCACTGCAAAAAATAATAATGCTCAAGTTTCTACCCAAAAATGTATTGTAAGATACTGGGGGAGCAGTGCCCACCCCGCTTTTACTGAAAATTGGGTTAATCTAAACATGGGTGCTTGTCTGTTCCAATCGGGCACTTAACGTATAGCTAGCAGAATTCCCAAGTTTGGAAAATGTTAATAGTGAGTGCTTGATAAGTTTCTGAGCTTGCCATTCCTGGTTCAATAGCTATAAGCGATTTTCAGAAGTAACGAAATGGGGGCCCGCTCCTGGTACCCGATATCATTCATCTCCGCACATTCGTGGGCGTCGTCGGCTGCCCTTTCCTCGTTGAATGTTTTCGGAAATCCCTTTCAACGTTTGAAGCAGACAACGACCAGGTCTGAGACTTGGGCATCTGGTCAGAACTGCTAGCACCCCATTTGGGCAGAGACCTGGTATGCATATTTTTTATTTGGGCAAAGAAACTCTACATTTTATTCCAGGCAGACACCCTGTACTTGAGCTTAAATTTAATTTAATATAAAAACAAGTACAGAGTTGCGAATTTGTCTACTGTCAAGTTCTGAATGAACGCCCTTCCTGAAAGATTGCTGTGTCTTACTATGCCTTGCTGGTTTTTGCCCCATTTCTTCTAGGACAAACTTTTCCTACGGCTGCCTCGTCGAACTGAACGAGCTGGCATTCTCGGACCCTACCATGATGGGTCGAAGCTTTGCTGCGGCGTACACCCGAAACGACCGTTTTCTCGTCTTCCGATGAGGCCGAAGTCGACGACCTCTTGTAACATCTGACAATGCGGACTGTGCACGTAACTTATTATCGCTCGGGACTCGAGTTGCGTGAGCAAAGGGCAGCTTCTTTTATGTAGAGTGACTACAATGAATCTTGGCGCCGCAAAACGTGCTGAAAAAATCGGCTCCTTCACATAGAAAGCCCAAACTTTCATTGAATGGGCATTTAGCTGGAGCATTTTATCTAGTGAGATTGTAAGGCATAGCACCATTCCTGTGAAAAATGGGGCCAGCAAACTTGCCAGGGTCAAAGGCAGACATGTTTTGCAGACGACTGAGTTTCCAATGGCTGCAAAATGTGGTGCCATCTTTCGATAAGTGCAGCGAGCGGACGCCGCACTCTTCCATCTGCTCGCTGCTTTTATTCGAAGGTGGCACCACAGGCTAGCTAGGTCCGCCAATGCATCTGCCATTGACCCTGACAAGTTTTGTTACTCGTTTTTCACAGCAAGGGAGCTACATCTTGAAATTTCACCAGGTAAAATGCACTAGCTAAATGCACATTCAGTGAAAAATTGAACTTTTTATGTGCAGGCACCCATTTTTCTGGTTCGTTTTATGGTGCTAAGATACATTGGAGACACATAGTTTTTTTACGTCTAGTCAGGACTAAGAGTTCCACTGCTGCCTTTTGTGTATTGTCTTGGAATGCAAGCGTCTATGGTGGAAAGCTCTACACCTGCAAATGAGTATATGACGATTTGCTTTTTTTTCTTTTTGACCATGTGAAGTTGACTTGGTGCGCCACTTCGGAAATAATAAAGGTCTTCCTTTCGTTCTCACTGATCCCTCCTGTCCAGTGATCAAACATTTGGAACTTTGTCGATGGGTGTTTTTTACTTGAAGCAGTTGTCAGATTATTTCTGCCTGAACTTCTTGTCTATGCAGAGCGTAAGTTTGTCTGCTTCTTGTGCACAAGTTGCGGTGACGTTGGAACACGGAGCTCCAACTGGCTCAAGTGGAAGGATGGTGGTTAGACCTCCATGCAGCATGCATTAAGGTCTACCCGCTATCCTTTAATCAAGTCCAATCAGGACTCGGTGTTGTGACGTTACTGCAACCCTTGCGCAAGAAGACGAACTTGCACTCCGCATAGAAATTTAAAGATGACGACTTCCTTTGGATTGTTCTTGCCCACGCCCCTGAAGGATGTGCCCCCCTTTGTATTTGCTACGAAAGAACTGGGACACTTTTTATAAGCCAACACTGCTCGCAAACAAATCCGCATCTGCCCACACCCGGCGTGGGCATTGTGCGTGCGCAGAACTCAAATTCGTGTGAAGCAAAGCATCTGTTTCGCACAAAGTATTAACTGGATTAACTTGAAGTATTTAACTGGATTAACCTCCATCACATGAATAGGCTTTTGTGTCAGTTTTGTGGTGTGCATTAAGTCGTTCTGCCGACGAGACAATCTCTTGTTCCGAGGCAGGTGCCCTGGGCAAAGTTCAGTTCAGCTCTCCGAATTGCAAACATGCGTTTTCCCACGGACAGTGAAAGGAGGTTAAAGTCTAACTTTATCCTCGCGGGCTTTCAAAGCACCACGTGTTGTGGACGTACATTACACATCCTGTGTGAAATCGCCGCGTAGGCTGAGGCTAGACAAAAACAAGCTGGGCTAGCCAACACTTGCCAGTTTAAAAGTGATATGTCCTCAAATGACATTAATGCATAATCCTTAAGGTAGGACGGAGGTCTGTGCGTCCTTGACTGCTGCTGATCTATAGCGTTGTCCTCGAAGTTGATGACCACTCCATGGCTTTCTGTCCATGGAGTGGTCATCAACCGACACATGGACGAGGACACATCCATGTTGGATGTGTCCTCGTCTTCACGTTTGTCGCTTTCATCCGAGTGACCAGAGAGTGCTCGGCCGATGCGGGTGTCGGATAACTCCGGTGCCTCTGGCGCGCGTAAATTGTGTCGGCGGAGTTGCTCGATGCTTGCTTTTCTTTTGTTTTGTCATTCCTTTATGGAATGCGGCCTTTTGATGATCACAGTGTTTGGGGTTGGAGAGGACTTCATCTTGAGTGGGCCCTCGAGAAACTGGTCTGTCATGCTCGATCTCATTCCGATGCAGTAAACGGAGCCACCGATCTTGAACCTCAGAGTCTTGCTGCTCGCGTCGTACCAGCTTTTGGCCAAAGCTGGAGAGTTTTCCAATTTGGCTTTCGCGTCACGCAACTGTCCCGACAACTTGAGGAGTCTGGTTGTCTCATCTAGGTCAGCTTCAACTCTTCCGATGTTGAGCTGTTCGGGAAGGTTCGGGACGTAACCGTGCACGAGCTTGAGGGGCCTGAAGTGTGATGAACACTGTTTCAAAACGTTGACAGAGGAAACTGCCTTGGATAAAACCATCCCCCAATTCTCGTGACGTTTGACGAGTTTTTCAAATATATTCTTCAGTGTCCATACCATCCGTTCGACAAGACCGTTGGTTTGAGGCCAGTAGGGTGGTTGAGTCACGTGCACGATTCCCAGTCTGTACAGAGCAGCAGTCTGTGGCGTACGAGGACGCTTTCATTGCTGCGTTCGTGTTATGCACGCGCATTTTCTGGCTGGCCACAATTGCGAGCGAGCTCCGACTGGTCTGTAATTTTCGTAAACAGTGGAAATGTGCAAATGAAGTAAAATATTGACATATCAGCAACTTGAAACTTGTCTAGGACATAAAAATACAAGGTTGCGACTATATACTGATTATAAACGATAACAGCAAGACTGCTTTGAGACACTTGTTCCTATTGCACTATGAAAAGCTCAATCAATCATTCACTTGTTTCTGTGACTGTACCTGCGGATATTGACAAGTAATACATTTAGAGCTCTGAAGGGATCCGAGGTCATTTATATTTGGGCCCGCTCTTCCGAGTTTTCCGGAGCAAAGGTGCTGGACTTAGGGCAATAAAATGTCAATTTGCAATGATGTAATAGTGTGGTAACATCTTTTGTTCACATTGTCCACAATTGATCAGTTCTCAGTAAGTTTACAAAAAATAAACTGCCCTCCCCTCTGAAGTAGTGCATGGATGTGTAAACTTCAAAACTACAAGATCAGCTGCATGAAAAAGTAAGCAGCTTCACAATGTTTCGTTGCACGCTAGTAAAAAAAAAAGTCAATTTTTAGGTTTTCATGCCTAGCATTGTATTTAGCTACAATTATTTAAATTCAAAGGCCATTTTTTATGCAAAGTGAAAATTGGGATTTTTTAGTGGCCAAACCTGTGGAAGGCATGTGGCACGCCTTGGCGGAGGACAGGATTAATTTTAACCACGCGGAGGTCTTTTGATGTGCAACTGAAATCTATTGCAGACACCTGATTTGGGGTTCAAACCTGACCTGAAAATCGGAAAGCCGGCGCTTTGCCAGGGGCTCCATCTTATATTCAGCTGTTTCCAGGATTGAAAATTGCCACGTCTAGCACATTCAGAATTTCACTAAGCATAGTAGCTATCTCAATGGCATTGCGACAACCTCTGTGGGGCCACTGAAATTGTGTACTCTTCAAAATTAAATGCATTAGTGTGCTCACGATATCGGGAAGGATAACTCAAATGAAGCGGAGAAGGACAAAAATGGAGCAATGTTTATTCTACAAGCTACAAATGTAGACAAAGGACAATATGATACATCATTCATCAGTAGGTTTTATCAGACATTATATTAAAAATGTGACATCAATAACAAGACTAGAGGGCAAAGTGTATCGCACAAACTTAGAAAATGTTGGGATTAACAAGTTCTAAATAACTGAATCGCATAGAAAAATGTATTGTCTCTTCACAAAACTACATTTCACTGAAAGCCTGTTTTCATTGGCTGTGCATTCCCAACAAATAAGCTCTACGATGCTTCAATCTTTTTCGTGGCGGAAACATCCACTCAACGTTCTGGTGTCACAAAATGCACGACTTTGCGGCATCTTATGCCAACATATGCAATGCGCCGCTTACGATTGCTTTTCACAAACGCACATGCGACAGAAGAAACGTCGCTCTCCGCACTAGTATGCACTCCTCTGCTTGATGTCGGTTACTTTCAAGTAGGAGCAAATCTTCAGCCAACACTCGTAGTTGAGGGAGTCGATCTGCGTGCAGTTGCGCCGCCTCCTGGGCCAGCAGACGACTGGGCCTTTCGAGACGGCTGCAATCGCAAACAGGTTCGCTGTGATGTACCGGCGTGCATTTAGCATCAGCTGCTTCACTGCCTTGGCCCCAGCAACCTTGACAATGAGAGCAGCAAAGGAATCCGTGCAGCACAGCTGCTCGTAAACCTCCGCCGGAAACCGCTTCGTTCCGAAGACACCAGGGTCCATGGCAAACTCCACGGCCCGGCTGAGGAGAGACACGTTCCTCCTCAAAACCTCGTTCACCGCGAAGATGGCGTCTGCACACTCGGACTTGTCCCAAACTCGGAGGGATGTGAGGACGCGGTTCTCCCTCATCCCCTGCGCGATGACCTCGAGCTCTTCCTTAGGTGCGTTAATGGTTCCGAAGTGAACCAAAGTGGTGTTCTTTTGTAGCATATCCAGGAAGGCCTGTGTGATCGGTGGCTTGTTGGAGACGTACTCGACGTCGAAGTGTGTCACGCTGTGGTTGTCCCCGAGACCGTTCATCACAGTGGCCATCACCAGTGGCTCCGAACTTGCCGTGTTCAGCAGGACGCGTTTCAGGGTCTTGGTGGTCGCCAACATTCTGGACAGTCGACGAGCCGCAGAGCCATCGATGCAAGTCTCCACCTCTATGCACAACGTCTCCAGGCACGGGGTGCTGCAGAGCGCTGCAAACAGTTCTTTCAGGCAGCTTGCATCGAAGTCCACCAATGATTCAAGGTGGACAGAGGTGATCCGGTTGGCGTGGCTCTTAATGTTCCTTGAGAGAGCAAAGACCCCGTGGGCGTCATAGCTCAGCCGCACACGGTCATAGACAGCGGCACGCTGCAGCGACCGCGACAGGTCAGGAATAGCGTCGTCGTCGATGTCAACGTAACCCAGCATCAGCTCAGTTAGGGTGTCGTTTCTGGTGAGGGCATCAACCAGAAGGATGACGCCTTCCGCTCCGATGTCGTTCCGTTCAAGGTTGAGTCGCCGCAGGGTTTGGTTGAATGTGAGCGACCGTGCCAGTGCCATGGTGGTTACATCGTCGAAGCGGTTGTGCTTCAGGTCGATGTCCTGCAGCGAAGTGTTGACTTCAAGCAGGTTTGCGAAGGCCCTAGCGATGCCGTGGCCCACGTTGCAGGCAACAAGGCTTAACGTTGTCAGAGTGTTGTTGGCGGCAAGTGCGTCCATCAGTGCGGCACCAGAAACCGGTGTCAGGCAGCACGCGTGCAGCACAAGCGTTCGCAGGCTATGGTTGATGGCAATAGGCGCAACGATAGAAACGACCTGCGTCTCACTGAAGTTCTCTATGCTCTTGAGTGAAAGTTCCTCTAGTTCGGACAACCCGTTGCCAAGCAACTTCCCGATTGCCTCTGCACCAATGTCGCCAAGCGAATTGTCCGTGGACCTCAGGACCCGGAGCTTCAAGTTCTTGCAGAGTCCTTGCATCACTTTGTCCGCTGCCGTAGGAGACATATCATTCTCCAGTAACTCGACAGTCCTCAGAGTCCGACTTCGAGCAAACATGTCCGCGAGACGTGCGGCCAGCTGCGGCTGGACGATCAACCTGTCGGCGCTCAGTGTCTCCAGTGTGGTCATTTTGCATAGGGCGTAGGCCAATGCGTGCTGTGCTTTCATAGACAGTTCCCAGCAAGAAAGCTTCAGGTGACACAGACCCCGGTTGCAGGAGAGTGCGTCACTCAGCACCGTCGGGTACCCCTGCGCCAGTGCGCTGTTGGAGAAGTCGGCAGTCTTGATGCACCTATGGCCCTTGAGCAGGAGGTGGAAGAGAATGCACGCATCAAAGACCCAGGAGTCTCTCAGGTTGACAAATACAAGGGTCTCCAGAGAGCTAATGGCCAGACGCTTGGGCTCGACCTCCTTAATCTCAATTTCTACATGCTGTAGGACAGCGTTGAAGGCAGTTGCCTCATAGAGAATCCAACAGCCCTTAGGGTCTCCGTGGGTGCATGGTGCCTGCATGTCCACGCCGTGTCTCTGGAACTGGTCCTGCAGTCTCTGGAGCCGAGTGACCAGGTCGTCGACGGGTGGAAGATCTGGGCAGTTGTGCTGCAGGTGCAAGGCATAGAGACGGTGGTTTCGGCCCCTGGTTCTGGGTGGATTATCAGCTGGGTAGCCAGGGTTTGTGGTTTGGTGGGGCTTGAAGCCTGTGGGTCGGCTGGACAGTCCATGCCTTGGGTGCCACGAACGGGAGCCATGCTGCAGAAACCGCCACCGGAAGAAAAAGAAACAAAAATTACAGATGGCAAATATACAGGAATGCGGGACATTCTCTTCGGAAAAGATCATGGAAGACAGTCTATGTATGATGTGTGTGATAAACAACACACAAAGGACACAACTAACAGCGTTTTTCTACGGAGTGGGTCTGGATTATACATGTCTTCTCCGCAACAAGTAGCTAATGGTTTCACAAATTACTTCCGAGAGTGCTACTCTTCAGATATAATCCTTGGTGCTACCTCGTCTAAAAATATTGTTTGCGATGACGCTTTGAATATCACTCGCGTGGATACGGTTGAAATCTTAGAAGCGATAAAGAAACTGAAGCCAAAGTTTTCAGTGGGTGTTGACCAGATACCGAGCTTTATCGTTAAGGGCTGCGGACAGTTATTTACGCCTGTTTTGGAGCACATTTTTAACCTTTCTTTGCGACTGTGTATATTCCCGTCTCTGTGGAAAATTTTGATTGTCACTTCTGAGGTAGACAACTACAAACCGGTTCTCGTTGGTGGGCCCCTTCTCGTGGCCCACCGCGACAACCACTGTAAAGCTGCACCCGGAGCAGCAGCAGCCCCCCCCCCCCCCCCTTCCCCCGCTTCTGCCTCTTGGGATCCGTGACGTCTAAGGTACAGTAGCACAAATCACTACGATATACCCTCCGCGAGATCATCTAGCATGCAACGTCATTGCAGTGCATTAAAAAGAAAAAAAGGGGCAGTATATGTAAAGCGAGAACGTCGTTCTTAATGACGTCATGTCGTGTGGTCGCGGCGTACAACCTCCAGAAGATATAAACGCATCGAGTACAAAGCACATGAGTCAGTTTGACGGAATTCACGCTCAACACTGCCATGTTAGCGTAATTTAACGAGATTTGTTGGCACAAAGAAATTTAAGAGTTATAATTATAATGCAATTAAATGCAAAGGTGCAAGCGAGCTGGACAAGAATGACGAAAGTAATCCCTGGAGAAGGGGAACAAGAGGGACAAAGGACAAACATGTTTGTCCTTTGTCCCTCTTGTTCCCCTTCTCCAGGGATTACTTTCGTCAAATTTAAGAGCATGGACAGGCGCTTATGTCTTTAGCCTTTATTTTCTTTTTTTGGCTGTGGAGAGCCACGGCACCACGGAAAGGCAGCAGCCCTTATCATAGAGGCCCGCGGTGCCGCTTCTCATGCTCTCCTACGCCAACGCCCTTAAAACATGCATTAACAAAAAAGAATACTTAGCAGCATCCCGCACAATACGACAAAGACAGCGCGATGTCGTCGTCAAAATCCCGAAGCTCGACGGAGAATCGCAGCCTTCGATGTCAATCAACCGGTCGTTTACCTCCATTGTGATGATCCGGATGTGCAGTCCCTTCCAAAGATGTCTCGTCCACGACCTACGACCGGGTCGTGGTCTCGTCACTAAAAAAATGGCCCCCGACTTGAAGTAATTCGTAGAAGCCCGGACTGCGGGGACGTCGTTGTGGCAGCCGTGTGATATCAACGGAGGCGTTGGTGATATGAAGGGGGACTGGGAGTTGCCGGGAGACAAACGGCGGTCAGCGATCGTGAGCGACGGACGCCGCCCACGTTGCTGGAACGGCTGGAGTCACTGGAGGACTGAGTCAGGCTCACGCAGACTGAGTCGCTCGCTCAGTGCAGGCCAGGGCTACAGCTACAGTGGCTACAGCCACCATACCACCCTGGGACCCTGGTGCAGGCTCAGTGGAGTCGCCACAGTCGCCAGTCGCTGGGACCACAGCAACCACAGCTCCAAAGATGGTGGCGTACTGGGTAGTTGCAAACAAATCAAACAAATATATATGTTTGATATGTTTCAATTTGTGCTGTTTTCTCATATTGGAGTACAGGAGGGTTAAAAAAAAAAACACAACAACATGCAGATGCGTAAAAATTTGGCATGTTTTTATAAGGTAGTAAGGTTCTTCGGACAAAAAGCGCTTAAACTCGAATTCCTCAAACAGAAACCGAAACTTGGCGCTACCCGATAAGCCGTCGCCTTTGCGCGTGATTCGTCTCGTTACCGGGGGTATCGGAACCGCCCGGTGGCGATTCACGTAATGCGTTGATTCAGCGTGATGCCACGCATTTGAGGGTGTCTCTTGGATCCTTGCAATGCTCGCCTTTGACAGTGGCAAAATGGTGGCCGAAATAACACATAATTTGCCTTGGTTTTCTTTTCGGGGAAAATATTGCGGGCTTATTTTTCGGCTCTGTACAACACTCAAATATCGATGACAAACGCACGTTCAAACGAATGAGGTGAGTGAGGTATCAAGCAGGAACTAAAACCGGTAAAGATAACGGTACGATTACCGTTTTTTCTTCAAATCGGTTTCATTTTGGCGTTTTAGGGTTTCGGTTTTTATCATTTCGGTTACCGGGTAACCACCCATAGAAACTTTTTTTTTTTTTTTTTTTTTAATAAGCCGATTTGTCTTTGTTATATTATGCAATCCTCGATCATCCGCACCGGTGCGCACCGGGGCACTGAGGTGCGCCCCTTTATCTTCGATCAAGTGCACCGGTGCGCACCGTACGTCCTCGATCAACGAAGCGCACCCTCCCGGTGCGGCTTTTCGTTGCCCCAACGCGCACCAAGAAAATCGGCGGTGCGCCGGGGTGCAGTCCCATCAGGCATTGCGGCCAGGAGCGGGAATCGAGAAGATGGCGGGAGTAGCAGACGCGCAGACTATCGAGATGGCGATCTTGCAAAAACGAACACGCCTCGCAGCTGCACTAGATGATTTCCTCGGGTCTTCTGACGGCGAGACGACGAGCTTCTCACAATTGCCGCGATTACTGGCGATTGCTGCGGTGGCAAGGAGCGCCCGAAGAGCACGAACTTCGTGGAAAGCGGCGCGAGGCGTTTCGATGACAGCGAGGTACGGCTATTATCTGGCGTTTCGTTTTCTTGAACTAATAATGATGGCCAACATATACATGTGGAATTGTCACCCGCTTCGTGACCCCATCGACAATCACGTCCACGATGTTTATTTCTGTGGGACCGTGAAATCCGCGAGTAAAAAAATAGAAGAAATTGACAGCAGACGGTCACCGTGTGCTGACCTACGCAAAATAAACGAACAAAACGCGAAGTGACGCAAGGTGGAGCTCGCCGCGGTGCACCGGCGCGGCGCAGTTTGTCCTCGATGTTGCACCGACATCGCGCTGCACGACCGAGGAGCGCTGTGCACTGTGCTGGTTTCAGGGCGATTCCGGTGCGAGTTGATCGAAGATGCTATTAGTTTGGTAGCACATCACCTTCACAAAGGTGCTAATACTGGAAACCGGGGCAGTATAGTGCGTTTTCACGTGACGTCAATCCGCCATTTTGTTGTTAGATGTCAGCATGATGAAACTTTTCTTTTTGTGCACTGCCAATTGGTGGGTGTGATGAGAATATTCGAATGTTCGCCTTCTGCACGCGCAACACTATTCTTAAAAACAAAATAGTAGACGATATGACGTCGGTGAAAGCAGCCTTTTCACGGAACTAGAAAAGGACGAAGAACGAGAAGAGACGGCACTCAGCGCTGCGCTGAGTCCCGTCTCTTCCTTGCTCTTCGTCCTTGCCCAATGCGGAGACAAGTTCGTCTGCTACTCGCACATATGTTACAATGATGCCAGAACGCCGAGCTCTTATTGGCTAATTGAACAAAATAGTGGGTAGCTTCAAGGCATCTAGCATTAGGGTGTACCCACTATAGCCAGTCAGAGTTCAGCGTCGTACTGACATACCGTAACTCCTGCACAAGAAGCAGACGACTTGCACTCCACATTGCGCTGTTTTTATATACCGGGTGTCTCAAGTAGCGGCCAGGGTCTTTAAATCGACCGCAAAATGCGGTTTCTTGACCTATCGCGCTACGATTTTGTGCAACGTTGCCCACAGGTGGTGCATTTTTCCTATAAAATTTGCAAAGAGCGCACTTACCCGAGGAAAATTAAAAAAAGAAAATGAAAAAAGGCTTAACTCCTATGGAAATAATAGGGCGACCTATTGATTGAACGCCGGTGGCTTCGTTGTTTCCATAAAAGGTATGCTTTTTTTTTTTTTTACTTTTTCCTTGGGTAAGTTCGTTCTTTGCAAATAGAAAAAAAAAATGTACCACCTGTAGGCAACGCTGCGCAAAATCGTGGCACGATAGGTCAAGAAACCGAATATTGCGGTCGATTTAAAGGACACATGCAAGAGAAAAAAAAAAAAAAAAAACATATTTTTAAACAGCTTAGATGGAAAAATGATGTCATAAAACAATTTTACAACCAAGAAAAAAAATTTTAGAACTATATTTACGGCGCTATACGAATTTGTAGTAGGCGCCGGCGGGCGCCGCGGAAAAGTGGCCTTTGACGGGCCCATATTTGTCACGTGGTGCTTGCGCCCTTTCGGAAGCTTCCTATGGCCTCTAAAAGTAACTTATTCATCTTTGTTTGAAGTATAACACAAAACTAAGATGGATAAGTAACTCTTAGAGCCCAAAGGAAACTCCTGAAAAAGCGCAAGCAGACGTGTAGACCTGTGCGCCGGTCAGACGGCGGCGGCGGCGCCCCGAAGCAGACGAACTTGTGCGGCGGCGGCGACGGCAGCGTGGAGAAACGTGTTGAAGCGGCGTTCGCACAACGCTTTTTTCCTTTGCATGTGTCGTTTAAAGAGCCTGGCCGCTACTTAAGACACCCGATACTTCAATTACATTTTACGATATAGGAATCAACCGTTTAAACTGAGTTTATTGACATGTGTTGCCCCCCCCCCCCCCCCCCCCCCCCAAACAAAATCCTGGCTACGTGCCTGGTGCCTCCCCACCAAAATATCTGGACTTTCCATATGATCGTGTATTCTCTAGCTATCAATCACACTATTTCGGGAATAGAAAGGGCACATACCACGTCGAACAACCTTGAGCCGCTAAGCTTTTTTTCGCCAGTCGCAAACACACAGTGGCGTCAAAAGTATTTTGGAGGGGGGGGGGGGGGGGGGGGGGCGGATACGGTTGGGGGCTATGAAACAGTTCGAACAATATAAAATTTAGAGCGAAATTTCCCGCTAAATTTAGCAAAAATTTCTCCACTAAAGTTAGCGGGAAATTTACAAAAAATTTCTTCCCTAAATTTAGCGGAGAAATTTTTCCGTTAAATTTAGCGGCGAAATATTCCCGCTCAATTTAGCAGCAAATTTGTCCCTTAGCGAGAAAACTGAATTAGCGCTGAGGTACCGTGACGTGAATTTCCTCGCTAAATTTAGTGTGGAACCTTAACCTGCAGAATATAACGAGAAAATTTCCCCCTCTAAATTTAGCGAAAAATTTCCCCGCTAAGTTTAGCGGGGAAACGTCCCATAATGCAACGCGTGGTTACGTCGACACTAACGCCGACGCCGCTCAACCCGGACACGGGCTCCAGAAGAGCTGCGTTCTAAAGCGCGTTATTTTTTCGCTAGAACTGGAGATTGAAGCTAACGAAAGCACGCTGGGATTCCCATGTATTTTGTCAATAAAGGCAACGTGGGCGTTATCTTGTTTGTAGAAGTTCGTTACATGGCACGTAAGCAGCGTCTCGGTAAGGATCATTGCCTGGGCCCAGGAAAGGGGGGGGGGGCCTCTGCCCCCCCCCCCCTCCCCCCGAAGTCTACGCCTATGCCACGGTGTAAGATAATACTCTTCAGGTGAGGACAGCTCGCTCCTCGCGGCGTGCCCGATAAAGTTCGCTCTTCACTCTTTCTCACTATGGTTTCAAGCGGCGCCGGCAGGTGACTCGTCGACCCATGGGCACGTACAAGACGGCTCGTGCCGCCTCATGTGTCATATCTACATTTAATTTTACGCTATCTATACTTCGTTTTATGAGAGATCCACACTTCGCTTTATAGGAGATCTATACCTTATTTCATGAGAGATCCATACGTCGCTTTACGGTCGCGGATGAGTTCGTGGACCGCAAACACGCGTTTGCGTTTCCGGAACTCATATGGGGGGATCGGTGGCCGAGTGGGCTGAAGCGCACACCCAGCTCGACGCGGGTGGAGCGAAAGATCGCGCTGCAGAACCAAGGGATCCTGGGTTCGAGCCCCACCCCTGCCCGTTTCGATCTGGATGAGCATCGTACCGGCGTGCGATCGTGTATCACTACCGCGTGGTGCACGTTAAAGACCCCAGGCTAGCGGTTGTACTGCACTGGCTAAGTTGCTCATCTACAGCGTGTGACTTGTCGCAACTTTAATGGCTGACCAACTATACGCTTTATAAATATCCACACAACCCAATTTTTTTTTAACTCATGCGACCATGGTTGGGTCTACATGAATCATAGCGCATCGATACGAACAGGTACCAATCACACGGACCCTGTCTTTCCACTACTTCCTCTTCTGCCCATCTGCTACCAATCAAAATCAAATCTCGATTCCATGCGCTACGGCCGCATCCATGTAAATGCAATCATTGTAAACGCAGCCGATGGCAGGCTTTAAAAGGGGATGCTTGTGCGAGCGCTCAGGGGTCCACTAAGTTCATCCCCCAGAACCTTCATCCCGGGACACTTCACCCCAGACACTTTATACCAAAAATGTTTCGTCCCAAGACGTTTCGTCCCAAGACGTTTCGTCCCAAGACGTTTCGTCCCAAGACGTTTCGTCCCAAGACGTTTCGTCCCAAGACGTTTCGTCCCAAGACGTTTCGTCCCAAGACGTTTCGTCCCAAGACGTTTCGTCCCAAGACGTTTCATCCCAATACGTTTCATCCCAATACGTTTCATCCCAATACGTTTCATCCCAATACGTTTCATCCCAATACGTTTCATCCCAATACGTTTCATCCCAATACGTTTCATCCCAATACGTTTCATCCCAATACGTTTCATCCCAATACGTTTCATCCCAATACGTTTCATCCCAATACGTTTCATCCCAATACGTTTCATCCCAATACGTTTCATCCCAATACGTTTCATCCCAATACGTTTCATCCCATGTGCATTACATGTCAGGATATTTAATACTTTGAAGTCTCATGATGTGCACGCGCGTTCTTTACGCAAACACCTCTAGTTGACCATCAAGTTGCGTTTAATATACGCTCGCAGCAGAAACAAACAAAAAATGTTCGACGGAAAAGTCTTTGGTTTTCACGGTTGGGACGGGATGGCGAGGGCGGCGTTGACGTAGGACGTGTACTTTGCCACAGCCTTGGTGCCCTCCGACACGGCGTGCCTGGCCAGTTCACCCGGGAGCATCAGCCTGGTCACCGTCTGGATCTCGCGGGCAGTGATGGTAGACTTCTTGCTGTACACGGCCAGCCGGGCCGCCTCCTCGGTCAGCTTGTCCAGGATGTCGTTGACGAAGCTGTTCATAATGGTCATGGCCCTGGCAGAGATGCCCGTGTCTGGATGCACCTAGATGACACGAAGAAAAGTTAGACGTTTACAAATTTCTGTAATGCGATATTAGAGCGCAGCTATTGAGGAGGAGGGGAAAGTATGCCCCTCCCCCTTTCTCCTCCCCTGCTCCTTGTCCTCCCCTCCTTTGCTCCTCTTTTTCCTCCTCCTTCCATCCTCATCCTCTCCCCTACTCGTCCTCCTGCTTTCTTCCTCCTCTACCCCTACCTCCTCCTCCTTTCCTCCTCCTTCGTACCTTCCCCTCCTCCACACGTGACGTCCATGTTCTCGCTAATTCTTGCGGCAAATTGAATTGCTGTTGTGGTCACGTGACCTCGAATGCAATTATCGCCCCCATCCCCTTCCTAAAAATACCTACAACCTTAGAGCATGGTACGACAATGAACACGACCAGGCTTAGAGCATGGTGTCCCCTCCTCGGAACCAGCGGCTTGCCGCTGACGAGGGAGTCACTATAGTCAGTGCCCCTCAAAGGGAATCAGATATCCCTCCGCCACCTTTGCATCCAATAGCGTCCCACCGTTTCCGTGACGTCGCGGCCAACGCGCGAGGAGGGTCTTGCCTTTCTGTACATATTTGCTTTATCTTTCGACTTTGACTTAGCATTGTGGAAGCCACGAGAGGGAGATTAGAGTTCTCCCCCACCGACGGAAACAAATACGACTTTCGGGGATTAGCTTCCTCCCCGATGGATACAAAGGCTGCTTTCAGGGGCTTGGTTCCCTCTCCGATGAACACAAAGGTCGCTTTCTTAAAAAGTGGGATCGGAGACAAGTGGGAATCCATTGAAGCGGAACAAGGAGCGTTTCCAGTGAACTCTTCTTTCGACTGCGGAGAGATTTGAAACGGGCGCATCACACTTGTGGGAGGAGCTTCTCCTACCTTCTTGACTTGTAACCGACTATAGTCCTTTTTTGATTTATCACATTTCGCGATACAGATATACATTAAGTAAGAATTGCAAAAATACTGTACTCTAGAATGCCAATGAAAATGCTGTCAAACACAAGGAGACAGGCTTCGCCCAACTCACTACAGCCAAACAAGTAGTTAAAGGGCACAGTTTTGGGCTGGAATAAATAAATTTATATTGGGATTTTACTAATAGCACATCGTTCAGTGGGCCAAAAGAAAAAAAAAGTAGGAAGTAAAAAGCCCGACTTTCGGTACGAAAGTTTGAAAACACAGCGGACTATTTCGTACCTCCTCCCCTTCGTCCTTTTCACTGTGATACATCCGCGGTTCCCAAAGCGCGTCACCAGGTCCAAACGCACGTCACACGATACCGGACCTCACTTAATCCCTTCAACCCTAAGCTGACAGTGCGGTGGAAGCTACGCGCTTGCCCGACCAATCAGCCGCCTCCCTTTCATCACCAGACCTCATTCTCTGCGCGTGGGTATGCGCGAGAGAGCGTGATCACGTGGCAAAAGTGTGGCTGGCCCAACTAGGCCCAACGAGCACGTAGCTTTCACAGCACTGTCGCCTCCGGTTTAACGGGGTGGGGAAAGCAACTTTTGTCTGAATTTTGAGCGACGGGCTAATCTTCTAGGGGGATTCCGAGCAAGAGGAGGACTCCCCCTTTCCGTCTTCTTGAACTGTTTGGCAGAATGCCAGATTTATGAGTTGAGGAGAAAAGCTAAACATCAAAAAGTTTGAAAAGCGCTTCATGACCCCGTTAATGAGACAGGAAAGTGCGCCCGCAGTGTGAGACTTCGAATAAAATAAGGTATAGACCGACACTCTGTTTACAAACAAGCCCGCGTTTGCCCACACCAGGTGTGGGCACTGCGCGTGCGCACAAACCGAACTCGGGAGGAGTGAAGCGTCTGCGCACGCGCAGTGCCGTCGACAGCGCCACCGCAGCTGCGTGACGTCAGGGCCGCGTGTTGGTCCATACAGTTCAACGAACGATCCACCTACTTTGCGCGTACTCTCATTTCAGTTTTCTTTATAACAGTCTTTCTGTTCGAAATTCAGAAAATATAAAAGTGAGAACGGCAGACCGCTCCAAAATGAGTGCACGAGTGTAGAAGTCACAGATTGGAAAAAGCTAAGAACTTCACCTTTAATGATACGATCTTACAAAAGCAGAACAAAAAACTCCAGCATTATCAAAAGAAAAGTAGACCATGAAATATCAATTTCCTTAAAACAATCTTCTCATATACAGAACCCCAGTTACAATTGATTCCCGGGGCCAATTGCTGATCAACGCCTACCTACTGATTCATTAACGTTGACAATAAATCCAGGCTCTATCTGTTTTTGCTACCAGTAAATTTTTGGCAGTTTATATTTCTGGACTTTGCCATTCATCTATCCCTTCATCTCCCATTAGGGTGACCACCCGTCCCGCGACTCGCGGGATTGTCCCGCGTTGAGGGCTCGTGTCCCGCGTCCCGCGAAGAAATTCCCCAAATCTTCAAAATGTCCCGCATTTCATACTGTCGTAAAATTCACTCTGCAACTCATGGTGCTGCCGAACAACGGGGCACAGGGAAGCGCGGAGGTCAATGGTAATTGTGTGAATCGCAATGGTGTGTCATTTTCTGTCCAAGCATTGCGGGAACCGACCGTCGTTCTTGCAGGAGAACCGACGCGCATGCTCCTTTGTGCCTCTCCCCTTGGTGGCAAAATATTGTAAGAAAACTTGCTCGCCAAAAGTTTAAATATAAAATATTGTAATCACTTTCAAATCGCTGTGTCAATGCTAAAAGGTTGCTGTGGATTTTTTTTTTTTTTTTTGTGAAGGCAGCCACACGAGGCAAAGAGCCTGCAACTCAAAACGGTCGAAAACGAACATAACGTTAATAATGTGTGTATAGGACCATGTTGGTAAAAGTAAGCGTTGACAGGAAACAATGAACCGAAAAGATTTATTCTTTCTTGATTTAATTTGATGCACTAAGTTCTCCTGCAGTTGAGTTTTATGCTTTCAACTTTGACACATTTAATAACATATTTGGCATAAATATATCACTGGGAGTGAAAATTATTTTAGCCTAATTGTTGCAACACAATTTGCAGGTGTGCAAACAGCACAGGACATTAAATGTGTTTACAGAGCCTTGGTTCATATAGAGTGCTTGTTGATAAATCCCCCCCCCCCCCCCCCCCCCCCCCGCGTGTCCCGCATTTCGCTAGTAGGACAGCGGTCACCCTATCTCCCATAGTTTTCGCTATCACCAACCAAACCTTAGCCCTCGATAGGTAATGCTTGGTGTCTTTGCTCCATTTCAGAGTTCAATAAAATCAGCGCTGTCCACCTCTGTCTGGGGCTGGCATACCTTATCAACATTAGTTTTACCCGGAAACATCCATCGTTATTTAAAAGTCGGCATATATGTAAGTGTTAAGGTGAGAGCGGATCGTTTGACAAGCTGGATTTTCAAAGCCGGAGGTTGCTCATGGGGACCGGGACAAGAGTTGCCTGAATAAACACAGATGTCCCAGAGGTTACTCTTCTCTTCCTCCCACTAGATGGACTACCGTGATAAAAAAAGCGAGAAAAAAGTTCCCAATATTCTCTCATTTTCTTGACGCTTCTCGGCCAACTATGATGTAATAACATAAGGGAGTAGGTGGCGAGCTCTTAATCATGCGAGCGGGATGTCACGTGTGAAGGAAAATCCAAAGCCGGCAGTGACAAAGCGGCGTCTGACGTCCCTTTTCTGTGTGTGGGGTGGTGATACTGTGTTATAATCCGCCAGTCGGTTGTGCTGACGACTTGGTGTGAATTTGGTTTAGCGGAACTGCATTATCCGAAGGCGAAGCCCCCCAACCTCTTCAGAGGGTGATCACCACCACTCATGGTCGGAGTTTTTTGTGAATCGTCCGTACAAATGGTTAACAGGGAGTTTTCGTAGATCGTTCCCGCTGTCCCGCAACGTTCTGCGCAACCTGCTACGAAATCCGGGACTCTGCAGGCAAAGCTAGCGTCGCGCATGCGCAGCAGTCTTTTACGGCCCTCGAATGAGAGGTTATTTCTCCCTGCCACCGCAGCTCTATGTGGTGGCTGAGACCTTACTTGCTTCTCAATATTGGCCGCCAGCTTATTGCCTTTTATAACACCTCGGCGCACGCGCAGCCAAAGCCCGGCGGCCTCAATGTTTATGGCCGTACTGCGCAGGCTGGATTTCTCATCTATACAAGGACACATCAGACGCCCCGCTTTTCAAACACTACACTGTTCGCATGCGAGCGTTATATTTAGTCTACATGCTGATAACTTACCATCAACGTGTAATTTTAGATATGCTCACTGACGAACTGGTATTCCTATTTATTTAAATCCTTACTCGTATAAAAACAAAACAAGACTCCAAAATCACCTTTTTATGATCAGTACATCACCGACACTCGAAACCACGAGGTTCAGTACTGCTATATAAAACGACGGGCCTGATTTTTTTTAAGTCATTTTTTTTTATGGGAAGCTATTTTTAAGATGGCTGCCACTGTAGACTGCATGTCCCCTTTCCACCGGACTTCGAATGGATTTACGCCCATGTGGTGGATTGTGTGCACAGCGCTGCTTTTTAGTACGATGACGCTCCATGGCAATCCCAAGGACCCTTTCGAAGCTTTGAACATTTGAACGGACCAAAATGGCGATTGCCACGGCGACAAGAACCGTCTGCATATGTTAGTGTCTGTTTGTCTGGATATGTTAGTGTGTTTGTCTGCATATGTTAGTGTCTGTTTGTCTGCATATGTTAGTGTCTGTTTGTCTGCATATGTTAGTGTCTGTTTGTGTCCGGCTAGCAGGCAGGAAAGACATGGGCGCTACTTTCCCAGGACACGGCCGGACTGGAAGCGCGCGCTCTTTCTCTTCTTACGGCCTTTGCAATTGGGGTAATCGCCACCTCCCACCGCAATTCGCGGGGGGCGCTGTCACCTCACCCCTGGAGGGGCTTTAACCCCTGGGCTACCCTTTGCCGTTTGCACAGAGCGCGTCTGACAGTGTATCTCAACGCTGTCGCAACTTGCGGCCGAGATTCTTATAGTCACACCTGATCCTTACGTTCAGACCCTCATATACTCTAATGCGCTACTGATGAGCCCAAAACGGTAAATATTGGACGCACATCTCCGAGAGATTGGGGAGTAAAAAGTAGTAAAAAGAGACAGCGAATGCGATTGCGGAAAAACTATACTCGTCTTTACCTCCAGGACTTCTGTTGCAACTTAAAGGGGTCATGAAACGATTTTCCTACTTCTTCCTCCTTAGCTTTAATCCTCAACTCAAACGCGAATTGTTAAATCACGTGGTCGTGACATTCCTTCGGCCGGTGCAATGACTCCTAGCTTAAAGGACCGGTGCAATGACTCCTAGTTTCCACTGTGCTTTTTATGCACACTATAGAACTTGTTATTCCCCAGGGACAAGAAGTTTCGTCAGGGCACTCATTGGCCACGAACGCGAATCCGAATATTCGTCGACGGATTGGTTGTTGACGAGCGCATACGTCCGAGTGACGCAGTTCTCGTGTACAATGCAAGAGCTGGGCTCTGCCGACGTCAGTTTGGCGCCGGTGACGCGCTTTTGGAACCGCGGATGTATCATAGTGAAAAGGCGGACAGCTTTCGAAGGCGAAAAGGTACAAAATAGTCCGCTATATTTTCAAATGTTCGTACCGAAAAGCTGGCTTTTGACTTTCTAGCCTCTTTCGTTTGGCCAACTAAACGATATCCGATGAGTAAAGTCCCAGTTTAAAATCATTCATCACAACCCAAAATTCGTTTCATGGCCCCTTTTAAGAACAGGAGGAGATGGACCCCTTCTACATGGAGGAACTTTAAAGGGGCGATGCAACAATTTTCGTACTTTGCGCAAATACCACTTAGAACGGATCCCTGACATTGATATGAAACACGGGTTCGTTCTTCACCCCAAGCAATAGAAGTCCCAGAAAAAAAATTAAAGATAAACGAGCAGCGTTCACCCCCTCAACTCGCAGCCAGAACAAGCGGCCACGTGATCTGGAGCCGATTATATGCCGCCAATGTAGATCATAGCCACGCGCTGGGGTTGGCAAAGCACAGGGCACGCGCCGAGTTCCAGATATTGTTATGGCTCGGCTATTGTCGTTGCAGCGATTGGACACGGGCCCCCTACCCGAATGCTTCTCGAGCTATTAATTATCACGAGCCCAAATCGTGTGCCCACGCAATGCTCGGGTGCAATCTATGAACAGCATTCAAATATCGTCATATGGGTGTACTGCGATACCCAAGTTACGTCATGAAATTTTGCAAAGGAGAGATTGAATGAAAATGATCGCTTTTGTCCTTGAAATTACACCACAACAAAGGGGTTTCTTGGCCAGCGGTGTTGCCTGCTAGTATCCTTGACTCCCACTAGTGCCAGTAAGCTCGTGTATAGTGAAAAACATTCCAACTGAATATCGTTGCACAGCTCCTTTAAATGATAATTCGTACACTCTCGCGAAATGTAAGCAGGCCCAATCTATCTATTGCCGTGGTCTGCATCATCATTTCATAGGCCTCACATGAAGTCGGTCAGCTGCTCTAGACGAGGGTGTAGTAGACTGTACAATTTTTGCACAGTGCATAATATAGCCTAAAGTGCTTCCTCGAGGGCTTGTGCACATGTCCAGCCGATTTTTCGTTACTGTTCGTGACCGTCTTTGCATTGTTAATCAGAAGTATTCTGAGGAACTTGTTGCAAATTAAACCAGCCAAGCGCTTTGAGTGACTGTTGTCAATGCCCTCTGGGCAACTTAGGATTGGCGCGTCTTCAAGATAGGGTGCAATGAGTTGCACCCTATCTAGTTGCAGCACCTCGTTTACATTTGTACGCGGAAGGTGCTTAACAGCCTTTAAAAAAAGCAACAATGTTGTCCAGAAGGGCGACGAACCTAGGATTTGGATAATGAAGTCCGCTTTTATCCTGGCCTTGCAATAAGACGAACAGAGGATCACCTCGTAGTCAACAGCACAACGCAGGCGTCGCACCCAAACTCACCAAGGAGTTTCACCAGATAGCCATCGACGTACACCAGACCAAAGTTGCCAAAAACTACAACCTACGAAGCTCGAACACCAGCGCAAGGCAGCTAGAAGGGACTCTCCGAGTGGGGTGAGGTGGTTGCGCCCCTGGCGGCAAGCAAGTGAACTACATACGGAGAAAAAATGACATTGACTCCCGGGCGATTGCGGAGGCCGTAAAGGGGTATTAATTCACACGAGGTATACACGGGGTATTCACACGAGGGAGAAATCCCGGGGATTTCTCCCCGGCACGCGCGCATCACGAGATGAAAACGCGAGGCTCTTGCACATCGCAAAGCCTGACGTTTTCGTCGTGGGATGCGCGTGCCGGGGAGCAAAGCCTGACGTTTTCGTCGTGGGATGCGCGTGCCGGGGATTTCTCCCCGGCACGCGCATCCCACGACGAAAACGTCAGGCTTTGCGATGTGCAAGAGCCTCGCGTTTTCATCTCGTGATGCGCGCGTGCCGGGGAGAAATCCCCGGGATTTCTCCCTCGTGTGAATACCCCTTAAGAAGACAAAGAGAGCGCGCGCTTCCAGTCCGGCCGTGCCTTCCAGTCCGGCCGCTTGTCCTTTAAAGGGGTACGGAAACCAAATTCTGGAGCTCATTTCTTTGTTTCAACACGACGCAGGTAGCAGCACAACCACAGAAACATAAATATTGCGCTAGAAAACGCAAGAAAACATATTTTAAAGTGAATTAAACGATAATCAAAAACCACCCGGTAGTTGGTTATGATTCATGAAGCTTCAATGGAATGTCGTGACGACAACATGCCTCTGAAAGCAGCGCCGCAGCGGTATGTCCGCTCACTGGTATAGATTGCCTAGGCCTGAACGCAATACCGAGGCGTCTTGCTGGAAAGAGCCAAAACGAAGTGAGCCACCTTGGTTTCAGCTCTCGCGCGACGTGCAAACGCGTGCTTCGGTTGTTCTCAGGTTTGGTGCGCGTGCTGGCCCCGCGATATCTACAGCCCTTGGGTACTTCGACAAAGCGAGATTGTAACGCGTTGACGCCTCCAAGTGGCAAAACTCGTCAATACGGTACGCTTGGTCGTCCGAGGCATGATGACGTCAAGACGTCTGCCGGATCTCCCGAGATGCATCGCGCTCCTCCATGGCTGATTTTGAAGCGCTCGCCAAAATCGCGGCATTTAGAGCATAAAATATAGCCATCTGCTCAAAATACGACCGTGCGATTATTCATTACAGGCTTAGCTGATCATATTGAACTCATTTCTTGATGTTTTCTCTATATTTCAAGTTTCGATTCCGTATCCCTTTAAGAAGAGCTACAGTACTGCTGGTGGTGCGAAAAGCGCCTAGTGGAAGCTCATCGGTATAGTTTGATATTAGCAGCATATAACCTTCATGTATAGATGTCCCGCCTTCAGCGTGAGCTTCCAGTCTTTGGCAACACTTCGTCGCACGTGCTGCCAAAGTCCGGCCGAAGCCAGTGAACGCGTGCTGGAGGCGGAGCTTCTTAGCCGGTCGGTCTGCATTTGAGGTGCGACGATACTCGTCTACGCTGTAGATGGGGAATTTTGCCAGTGCAGCGTACGACTGCTAGCCTGGGTTCTTTAACGTGCACCACGCGGAGATATATAGTGACACTTGACAGCACGCCGGCACGGTGGTCATCCAAATCGAAATGAGGGCTGGGGCGGGGATTGAAGTTCGAACCCGGAATCCCTGGGTTTTGTATAGCTCGAGCTCGAACTCCACGTGCTCCGTGCTGGAACTGCGCTAGCACAATCGGCTAGCTTGGCCACTAATATCCCACCTGTTTGAGCACCTTGAAAATATATGTGGTGAAGCTCTCCTTGCGCCGGCGGTGCCGCTTCTTGGCGCCGTTGGCTGACGAGGGGGTCTTACGCACTGTCGAAGGCGACTTCACCTTCTTGCCGGATACGGAGGGCGGTAAGGCGGCTGACATGGCGGCTCCTTTCCCGTCGCTGAAACGGCGAGGACTGACTGTTTCTGCAGCCAGAGAACGCTGCCCACGCTGTGTCTGCAGGGTGGCGTTCGGTGCTCACAACGAGTATTCTTATCAGGGACGACGCGAGTGGGTGGATGCGTCTCGAACGTATCGGGAGGTGTATTGCGCTGCGTCATCTGATGTGTACCGGCCACGCATCGCGAATAGATATTCCAGATCAGATAAATTGTTTGATTTGTTTGGTTTTCTTGGGAGCTCACGATGCGGAAGGCACTGCAACATTTTTTTCTTTCTCTTTTTAGTACACTTTGATTAAGGAACTTTCTTTTTCTTGTCATGCAGCTTGAATGTATCCTTCTTTTCATCTTAGGGTGAAGCAGAACTAAAGGTACGGTAGCCAGGTATAATAACGAGCCGTCTAGAAATCACGTAGTAAATTTATTAATTTATTTATAGTTATTTCAATATCTTCAATGCCACATGGCATTACAGAACGGAGCGGGGAAAAACAAAAGCCCAAAAGATAGAATTCAACATATATTAGTTGACTGTTAACATAATAGTTTTCAATGGCAGACTTGAATGCGGGAGCGTCTGTGATTGTGGCGATGGAGGTGGTTAGGTGGTTCCTGTCATTAGTAGTCCTTGGGGTGAAAGAATCAAAAAAGAGCTTCGTGTGACTGAAAGGAACGTTGACTCTATGGCGATAATCATTTCGATGGGATACATACGATGGTTCAGAAAAAAGGAAGAGATCAGTGAACCGATTTGATGCCTGAAGGAAGAGATCAGTGAACCGATTTGATGCCCGAAGGAACGCTTCAATAAAGGGCTGAGCTGGCAGGTGCCCTTTTCAGCGTTCGTGCGCATATCGTGAGCTTCGCTCGCTTTCCAAAGCCATGAGCGCATATGTATGATGCGGCCCGTATGAACCCTACAATAATCGCTACTTCGTCTACTGGGCTGGCAACCATGTAACAAGGTTGCCAGCGGGTGACTGGCAACCATGTACACACATCGTTATGCCGGGGGAAGGATGCGGGGAGGAAGATGTTTTTGTTTTTTTTTGTTTTTTTGCCCGATCCCCCAAAGGTCATTTTGGTGACACCCCACACTGCCTGGTGATACTTAGGGGGAGAAAATTGGCTTAGAAGGGCGGGAGGAATCATATGTTTGTCTTTTTAGACTTAAGCTAGTTGGCGCAAGCTATCGCCCTTTACAATAGCCTTTAGCATCCATCCATCCATTCGGTGGATTATCCGGCGTCTCTCAATCGGTTCAAAATCAAACAACGATCAAAGCACTACAAGATGTACTGAAACGTGCGTGCGTTTCAAATTGCCGCACGTTTTTAATTAAAAATTGTACTCTTACTGAAGGTAACTTTGATTTGGTTTTGAAAAGTGAGGCGTTCGAAGAGAGTTTACTATAGTTGGCCTGCTGCCAAATACCATGCGCCGCGAGTTAGCGTCGCTATAGCGTCGCTCTGCCTTCCATGATTGGCGGAATGCTTACTATACTTCGTTTCAGCTTAGGTCCGAGCGCGGCCGATGTAATGAGCCGAAGGGCCAATCGAACAGCGAAAGAGGCACAACGTCATGGCGTGCTCTCTGCAGTTGAAAGGCGGGATTCGCCGTCTCTCTGTGCGTGCTCCTCCACCCGGCTAGTCCTCAAGCGCAGAGAGCACGCCATGACGTTGCGCTTTTTCCGCTGTTTGCTTGGCCCTTCGGTTCATAACATCGTCCGGGCTCGGACATAAGGTGAAACGAAGTATATGACCTCAGCAAAGGATTTCTCATCGACGGAAGTAAGAGAAACATAAGAACTTCAATTTTGACGGTGTTGGCAGTGTTGGTTTCAAGGGCCATGACAATGATTTCATGATAGTGCGGCCACCAAACAACCATCTTGCATGCCTTTTTTTTTTTTTTTTGCTAGCGTTGCGGAGGCTGGCGGCAGCGTGCTAAAGACATGATTTCTACTCGCTCGTCGTCATTCGCCGAAGACGTTCTTTAAGATCCTCTGTGAGGCGTGATACTCGCCGTTGAGAACACGTGGACATTTTTACGAAAGCACAGTGCCGCAGGAAAAAGGCACAACTCGTCGAGAGCAAATTTCGCCGGTCTGGCGGCGCGTTCAAAGCTCCCTTGGCACGCCGAAGTGCCGTGTCTTTGTGCCTTCGCACGCTTGGATACCGACCAGGTACCGACGCCGTGTGGATATGTTTTGCGAGTGCAATCTGCGTGAAGCCGTATGTAAAGATACAACTCGTCGAAAGCAAGTGTCGCCGGTCTCGCGGCGTGATCAAAGCTTCCTTGGCACGCCGAGTGATGCATCTTTGTGCCTTCGCACGCTTGGATACCGATCAAGAATCGGCGCTGCACCAAAGTTCTGAAGGAGTGTCGCGCGTAGATGTTTTTAGATCGTATATATATTTATATATATATATTATGTAAGGATCGACGGGGGCTCCGCGGGTTGGCCGTTAGCACCAGAGTGCCGCCTGTTCTTAGGTGGTAGGAAAGCGTTGGCGTAAACACTTACCGTAGTGGGCGACCTTCAGAGACAGGCATACTTTACGACGCGAGGTTTGGAACGCGCGTTTTCTGCCGAGAAAATAGGAACGTGCGTTTCGGGCCGGGAGAACGCGATGGTTCTGGTATCGGTGTACAGTCTTTCCCGCCCGCGTGTTAGAGAGGGCTCGGTGGCACGGTATCACGACAAGCGTCATACCGCGTCTGGCAGAATGAATGAGGGGATGGCTCAGTCGGCGATATCCACACCGGGGTCGGCTGTCTGACTCGCCTTGCGAATTCTAGACATATATATATATAGTTTGCTTGCATCCGAACCCGACTGACCTTTGGCCATGAGATATACGCAGATCGCGGGGTCTCACGCGGGAATGTAAGCAATAGACCGGTCTCACCAAGCGTTCCACGGATGCGTGACGCCGCCATAACTGTAGTTCGAAGGAGGCAGATGTTCGTAGTTCGTAGTTCGTTGGATGCCAGTTCAAGAGACAGCTCATGCCAATCGTGCTCTGCTCGCGCAGACCTCCAGCAGGGTTGTCGCGCGTGCAGAACGACTACAGCTCCCACGATGCGTGTCGGCAGCGGTGGCGTACTCAAACTAGCTGGGGGGATCGGTCTATTGTACCACGGTGTGAAAGTTAGCCGATTGGTTGTGGCTTTTCGGCCAGTGGGAAACGCTTGCCTGACGACGCGTCGACAATTCGCCGGTCCACGAAAAGGGAATGGGCCAACGAGCGAATTTGAGTGGATACGCAGTAGGCGGTTTCAGTCTGTGCTGGAGCTCGAGAGCTAGCGCCCCGGAATCGAGTCAGGTCGTGGGATTCCGAGGGACCTTTGTCCCCGTATTCGGGACGTAATCGACAATAAAAGCTCTACATTTTTTAGAAAAAAAAAATAGAAACCGCAAACAAGGCCCGCGTTACTTCGTCGATCTTTTTCGCGACCTTCCCCATTTCACATTCTTTCAGTATTTCTAAGACATTTCCTTTTATTCCTTTCAAATTCACCGTGCAAGGCTGGAACAACCGAGACCGCTGCTCTTTATCTCTCTCGAAATACAAGACACCGACAGAAGCGCAAACCTACCTGTCTTGTTTTTTTTGAAGCAGACACCAAACCGGCTTCTGACTCTTTCTTCACCTTTTGAGGTCTATTCTTATTACTTGCTAACCTCGAGGCAGTCTTAACGGACCGGCCTGCCAAACTTTGCTTTTTAGCAACAGGAACTTTCGTAGCTAGGAACAGGAGCTTCGCAGGATTATCGAGGCCCTTGTGTGCTCCCGTGTACTGTACCAGCTTCCATATCTATCCATCACCAAGACTCAGCTCTCCAAATTAAAAGCAACGCTCCGAAAATACACCCGACTAGCCTTAGGAGTGCCACGATTTGCCGCAAATTTTCTAGTGGCCTCGACTGGTCTTTTTAACACACTTGAAGAACGTACCACTATTTGCCGCCAAGCACATATTGCAAGGCTTCAAACATCCCCCAAGGACGCAAGCTCATCGAGCATCAAGGCTACGACACCACCACCTTGCCCACTCCTACTCCTCCCCTCCCCCCCCCCCCCCCCCCCCCCCCCGGTGAGAGTCCCTACCCCGCGTCACAGTCATGTCCATACCTCAACATATGCGTCCGGACAAACATGCTGCCCGGCGCAAACAACTAGTCGAACGGATAGACCGCGAGACACCAGGAACGGATACCACATATTACTACACAGATGCCAGTCACAGTCTCAGCAGAAGCATAGCGGCTGTAGTAGGGCCTGGCTTTGAGCATATTAATGAACACAGCAATGTTCCCACCCCATCCGCCGCGGAGACCCTAGCGGTTCTTGAAGCCATCACTCGACCTCACCATCCTACTCACCACATTTGCATTCGAACAGAAAGCCAGGAAACATGCCGCAATTTTCGTGACGGTGCGCTACCCGGACATATCCACAGCCTTTTGCAACGTCACCTTGACGCGCATCCCTCCCTCCATGTTACTTTGCAATGGATCCCCGGACATCAAGGCGTAGAGGAACACAACCGAGCTCATGAGCTCACCCGCGTTACGAATTTTCCGGGTCCTCCGTGCCTCTGGCGGTCCGACTATGATCCCAAGGAACACAGAAAACTCTTGCACAAGGAGCGTACATCCCTCTTAAGAGAACTACGCGCTAACACCGCCACAATTATCGCTCCACACCAATCCCTCTCGCGGGAAGACAGCGCCATTCTCCGCAAACTTCAAACCAATTTGATCGTGACTCCCCTCTTTCGCCACTATATCCAGGGCCTTGCCGGACGCCCGAAATGCCCCAACTGCGGCGGATAGCCCTCTCTAGAGCACTGCCTGTGGCAATGCTCCTACATTCAACCTACCCTCCTATCCTCTCTTTCCTACCTATCCCACAGTTTTCAACCTCACTCAGGGATGGACTGGCTTAGTCCGCCTACCGATGCCCATATTCTCCTGCCGGCACTCATTCAGCACGTGAAAAACGTGTTGGGTGAGGACTGGTAGGTGAACACATACAACTGAGCGCCGGACCTTGGCGCATAAATAAAGTTTTTT